TGAGTATACGAATATTATTAAAATACAACAATGGAAATTGGCGAACGGTCAAATTTAGAACTTTTCGATTATTTTTTTTCATAATATTATAAATAATTAAAAACAGATTGGATTAAAAACTTTAAAAACTTGAAAGTGAGAAGTTGTTGTATATTTTGTGCTTTGTACACTTGTGCCAATCGCACTTTGGCACTAATACCATTACCAGTGCCGTATATATTATTCAATATTTCCAGACAACCTATACAGAATACTAATAATGAATTGGTTATTAAAATGCCCACGTTTGATTTTCTTAATATTATTGTAAATTTAGGTACATATTTTATAGAAAACGAACTTTCAACTGATAGTTTATCAATTAATCAATAATTTTAAAATCTTGAACATTACTGATTAATAATAATCATATTACACTTATATATATTTTATTTGTATTTTTATACATAATAATATTATACTGTGATGTTATGTATCTAGTTTTATAGAATTTATTCAATTTAGTGACATTTTAAATGTGATTATATTTTTTCTATTATAAAATAAATATAATTTCCTTAGTTTCACCATACCTAAAATATTTAAATACAAAATATTCCGATTGCACTATTTATTAAAACGGTTTGAATATGTTATTTTTTTCCTTACCATATTATATATAGGTATACACGTCGCCGAGTTGTTATTATTGTACACGGTGTGTATTATTTAAAGAAAAACAGGATACGTGTGTTCTACAGAATGTCGGACATTCCAACAGGCGAAATATTCAGCACCGGACAGAATTATTGACTCGTTTTGTATATTATGGGGTCTGATGTAGACCGGAGAGAGGTGTTTATTGCGGGTTAATTGAAAAACCTTGTCCCGAGACAACATTTTTATGTGCTTTCACACAACGGTATTATCTGTGGAATTAATGTGATTCGTTGCTTTTTGGACATTTATTATAAAATAGTAGACAAATTAGTGGACATTTGAATGTGTTTATATAGGTTTATACATATTTTACGAGTACATTTGTATTCAAACAATAATTATAGTATAAAATATTTAAGTAACAGATGTATCGGTGACCCCTACAAAAAGTAAATGATACGAATCATAATAATATACAATACTGAAGCTATTTAAAAAATACAGCATTACACGTTTATGTGTTTTAGATTCTGAGTGATGCGAGGAATGTATTGGTTTTATAATGTTGTTTATATTATTATTTTTTTTTTTATATATACTGTGTACCTACACAAATTCTACCAGAAATCATGCTCTAATTTTCAAGTGTAACACCTTTTCTAAAAATAATTTTTTTCAAGGTAGTACTGTAAGAGGTCATTTTTTGATTTTCTTAGCAGTTTTCAAAATAATTGGGGAAAAACCGAGAAAAAACGTAAGAAATGGAAAAAAATACGAAAATAATGCTTTTATTATTTTCAATTTTGTTCTTTGTTGTAATTCAGTTCAAAATATTCGTTGTGATTTAAAATTCAGACAGAAACCTTCGATTTACCTTTTATAGGCGTGGTAAAAATTTTCGAAACGTTTGAGCTATTTAAAAGCAATCTATAGCCATTTTAATTTCGCGAGTATTTATTCGATAAGTATACTGTGGATAAAATTGTTAGACTAAACAGAAATACTTAAAAATTTAACAGAAAGTTCATTATAAGTTGTACTTAGTGGTCAACAAGAAAAAATTGAATTTAATCTAGTATTTTTTTTTTTTTTTATATATATATATATATAAATGTTAATATCAAATTTTACGAAAATCGTAAATATTACCGCCTTTTAAAATTGTAATGAGCGGAACTGTAAGCTAAACATCGTAAATACCAGTATTACGACCTTTAAAATATATACAACTGCACTTCGTTTCGAATCATTTTTCGTTAGCAGTGGTTAATCGGTGCATACAAAAATACATTCAATTCTTCTCTATATCCTACTTTCCCTACATCTCACCAATAGTAATGGCTCACCCATTGTGCGAAGTATGTGCGTCAATTTTTTATTTGAATTTATCACATTATAATTGCGTGTAATAACAAAATAAATTATACGATAATTTAAAACGTCCGTTATTTTATATTTAGATTATAGTTAGACTAAATTTGATACTGTTTTTAATAGTTTAAGATCCATTCATTATTGTATAGTGTTCATGGTACATAAGTATTTGTTTTAACATACAAAATTCTAACTTTTACGGTCGTATATTTATCTGTTTTAACTGTACGTATTTTCCGGGGTTTTCCCAACCATTATGAAAACAGCAAGGATAATCAAAAAAAAGACTTCTTAATATACCAACCAGCTACAATTTTCTTTCAAAAAATACACTACACCATGAAAGTTATAAGTTTATTAACTTATAGCATATACTTTAAAGTTCACCCCATAAGTCCTTTTTTTTTTTTTTTGTAAAACACTTTTATATTTAGTAAAAATGCTTCAAATTATCCGCATTGTACCTTAATAGATGCGGATGTTATATATTGCCAATTTAAAAACGATGGTGAAATCAGAATTAAGCGGACTAAGTTTCGATATTTTCCTTCTTAAAGCATATTCTTCATGATCTAATGGTTATTTATGCCTATTATTATCATCCTAGAGGTTCTGAGTTCAAACCAGTGTCTCGGAAAAAAAAGTTTTTTTGCATTTTTTTCCCCTTTTACCTAAACAAAGAAAAAACCATTGCATTTTGGATGTACCTAGAGACCCAAACCATCGCTCCCTTGAAATATTATTTATTTCCCTCGATTTTTTATGCAAACTTTTCTACCAGAAATCTTGCTCCTGTGTATCAAGTATAGCTTATTTTCTGAAGAGAAATTTTATCTCCATGGTAATTTAAGAATTTCAGTCATTTTTTGATTTTCCAAGCGGTTTTCATAATATCTAGAAAAAACCGGGGGAAAATGTAGAAAAAATGGAAAATGTACGACATATAGGCATAAGTTAAAAAATGTACAAAATATATTAATAAAATATTACGATTTTTTTTGTAGACAACTTTTCTATCAGAAATTTTGCTCCGATTTATTATAATAGCACATTTTTGAAATTAAATCTGACTGGGAACGTACTTTCGAGAGATCATTTTTCGATTTTCCCAGCAAATGTGAAAAATCGAAAAAACATGGAAAAATCGGTACAATATTAATCAAATATTATTAAAGAAAATATATAATGCCTATTTAATTATTTTATAACACATATATATTGTTGACAAAGCAACACTATCAACTGAACTGCGTTCAGAATCGTTTTTTCATTAGCAATGGCTTATCGTTGCTTACAGATATACATTAAATTACCTATAACAGTGGCTGCGCCCGTTTCTATTATCCTAGGACGTCTTTTTATCAATTTTAAAATACTGACAAAAAATTACATATATCAACATTATTTTCGGTTTTTTTGGTTATACGAGAAAAAACCATGACTGATACTATTTCACTCAAAATCATTTTTTGTTTCCGATGATTTATCGTTTCTTTCAGTATATAAATCAAACTACTTTATACTATTCTATACCTGTTTAACCTGCTACAGTGGCCTGAAGTAATAATGTCATGTTAATCCAACTTTTTTTAACATTTAAATTTATCTTTTTGTATAAATATAATATTAATTGTGTAGAGGCCCTTTGAAAATAAATAAATAACATTGTCCTTTTCGTTCCCGGGCTTACACTGGCCCTGCTAATTGATTTTTAAAATAAAAAATATAGAAATTAGTAATGAATTAGAATTTACTTCAATAAACTGTCACTTAAAGAAAGAACAAAAATGTATTTTCCATACGGTTTATTGTGACTTGTGTGACACAGCGTTATATAAAACACCACGCACTAATGGTATTTTGAAAAACTCTTTTTTCGTTTCATCGTTCATAAAGGTAATGTTCAATTTGCTGTTAATAATAATAATAATACCCACTCGGGGTCGTTTAAACAAAGAATATTACTTTATCCATGGGAAATTCTCTTACTAAGACGTATCTATCTGTTGTATCTACGTGTAGATCGACTTTTTATGACTCGACACACAATATAAAATAAAGATGTTAAAAAACAATAACCCCACAACCCACAATGAATCATTTTCTCAAGATCCAAAGACGTAATTTTATCTTACTAGCAGTCTAAGGAAAACATCCACAAATACATAGGTATAAAAAATTGTAAATTACACACTTAAAAAAAAATAAAAACAAATTATTGGCTTCGGAATGCACTATTAAAGATTATCAAATTAAATACTGAAGACAAATAATACGCATTAACTTTTTCAGTAAATATTATTTACACTAATGATTGTTATCTATAACTGCGTATGTATATAGTATTTAATAAGAATATCTGAGCAAGTACAAAATAATTTACTTTAATTTTTATCAATATCAAAACCAAACTGCAATACAAATTTAGAAAATACAGTATTAAATCATCAAATGCATAGTATTATTATTTGATAAATTTATCGTAAAATACATACAAAAGATTTTACTCCAGTTTTTATATATTTTTTTATTTGTAATTCTTATACGTTTACCAGAAGTATAAAATAGAGAGTTCTATATCAAGGGGTGCTATACCTACTACATGGCCGCCTGGGGAGCTATACCTAATAAATAGCCGCCCGAATTATCAGCTGTTATCTCCGACATCCCCGTTATCACAAATTATACTTATCGTTATACCTTATATCATATAGGTAAGAAAGTAACCTTACTATACTTTCAACTACCTAGTTTTAACAGTGAACATGAACTCTACAAAAATCTGCAGTTTATCTCAAGTTTTAGGTAATCGAATAAAAACAACAAACGAGCGGTTTGGATTATGATTGCTAACAAGAAATTTAGCCAATAACAACCTAGTTTCCGATGTTGGCAATATTAACTATACAGAAGGAGAGAAATTGCTGGATACAAATACTTTTTCTCTTATAACAGATCCGTTTTGCGATAATGTAATGCTTATTAAAATGACCTATCTTGTAAATTGCGAAGGACCAAATAGTATACTAATAAAGGAAGAAATATGCGGATCATTTAATAGCTATTTACGAGGTAAATTTTCTAAATTCTTTTCTGCCCGACACGGAGTAAAAGCAAAATTACCTAAACGTTTGGATACTACGAACAAAATGGGCCAACGAATTGTACAAGTTATTGGAAAGGAAGATTTGGAAATTATAAATAAAAAATATAAAAATCCTGTATCTATTCCGTACAAAAAGGAACTGGCAGACGTTAAATTGGACGATTTGTTAGAAGAACTTCCAGAAATATTAGCACAGCTTAGAATCGAAAATTACTATCTTATGGATTTCGACATTACGCAGGATTTTGTAGGCGTATTTAACAAAACGGAAATGACTCGTTTTCTAACAGACAATCAGAAGTTTTGTAATCGAGGAGAGTACGATGATGGCAGCAATATAATTGTAGATAATAACAAAACAGTTGGTATAGACTGTTTAAAATGGCTAAATTCGAATGCCAGAGTTAACTAAATTCGAATGCCAGAGTTAAAATGTATAACAAATTTGTGTGCCAAATTACCAGTCCTGGAGTTCGAATGCCAGAGTTAAAATGTATAACAAATTTGTGTGCCAAATTACCAGTCCTGGAGTCAATGTGTGCCAAATTACCAGTCCTGGAGTCAACAAACAAATCGGAAACCATATTATCGACTTTATCAACTGTTCAGATGCACGTCTAAAGGAAACATTTTCTTATAATCCAGCGAGAGAGCATGGCATAACAAGATTGAAGGCAACAATATATAACTATACTATTGGAGATTATTATAAGACAAGGGACGTATTTAAACCACTAAACCACTGGAAGATTGTTTAAGTTTATTGGAAAGTTGTAAAATGTATTTCCAAAATGTACCGTTTTATTCGGTGTCGATTGCTGAAATGTGGACAAAATTGATAGACTTTTTTACAGAATAGCTGTTGCATCGTGTTTAAAAATTTCTGGCAGTACGTATATTGGGGCAATTTGAAACTATCCGATAATCGAGAACAGAGAGATAAGATCATAAAATATACTCTTTCTGCGTATAGTTTTAACTGTTTACCTATAAACTTTATAGAAGTCGTGGAGGACGAAGCAAACAACGAAAACATTTCAATAATACAAAAATGTTATATTAAAGCGGGCGAAACGTTTTTCTCTAGATCCGGGACTAGTTTCTCCGCCATCTCAAAGGAAATAAATATCGAGGACACTGGATTGACCAAAACTAACAATAAAAATGTTATTCCCCAGATTCTAAAGAAAAGATCTAACATAACCAATAAACTGTCTCCGTATACAATAAAAGAAATAGACCATCTCTCGTCTGTATACGTAACATCTGCGGGAAAACGAAAATTAGAATTGGAAGAAATAAATACGAAAACAAATCTCCATTAAAGAAGAGCATATGCATCTGTTAGAGAAATAACACGAGACTGCGCGATTAAAAAGAAAAATAATAAACTATTTTAATAAGAAATGGCGAAATTTGGATACAGATGGTTTTGACCGAATTTCCACTTTTACTGTTAATAATAAAAGAAAATACCCATATGTTGGAGTACTGGCCGAAAAAGTTGAGACCAAAAGTGTATACTTTTTAAAAGGCTCTTTAAAAAAATTGTTTATAAATATTTACAACATCAGAGAAAAACTTAAAGAAGAAGGATACGTTTTAATTCCGTTTAACGAAATGGTATTAATAGTCCTCCCAACAGAAGAAACTATTATAACATTTAATACTAATGGAGTTACTACATTTAATGGCAATTCGTTCGCAAAAGTGGAAAATGTTCAATTTTTTTCGGAAGTATTACGAAATATGGATGATCAAAACAATATATAACAAATCGAAGAAATAACCATGCAAGAAATAAATGACTATGTTAAAGTTACACAGTGTCGGCGTTTGGAAGGAATACCGGTCAAATCGGAATTACTCATAATTGGAATAAAACAAAGTTCGTTACATATTTCAGTTCGATAACCTGAATTCATTGTATGTACCAAATTTCTGGTTGGAGAAAGAAATAATTTAAATTATAAGATAAAAACTAAGATGAATAGAATTAAAACTACTCCTAGTAAAAATAAAGAAAGGAGGGTTTTTTGTATGTAATAATATATAATATATGTATAAATATTTTGTATTGTTAAAAATAATAAATAAGTATTAACCTATATAAATTTTGTCTTTTTATTCCAAAAAAAAAAAACAATACTTAAAAGTAGTTGAAAGTATAGTAAGGTTACTTTCTTACCTATATGATATCGTAAGGTATAACAATAAGTATAATTTGTGATAACGGGGATGTCGGAAATAACAGCTGATAACTCGGGCGGTCATGTATTAGGTATAACTCCCTTTGATTTAGAACTCTCTATTTTATACTGCTTTTACCAACTATTAATTTTTAATATGAGTCGTCTTAGTGTTCGTAAATAGGACTATCGAACAAATGTATACACAAAAAAAATGATGTCGATCTGCTACACGAACTAGAACAACTAAACCCGATTTTCAGATGTATCTTATCTACTTGTTCATAACGGGCTACTTTTATCAAATTTACTAACCATCCAATTAGTCACTGCTATTTCCATTCTTTTTCTACAGTATAGTTCAGTTTCATTCAAATTATTACTTTCCAAGCATGAAACCTAAACACATAAATACATTTAATAAGTATAGAATAAGAATGATAAAAAACATAATTTTTTGACGATAATAATCTAATGTAACTAGTATATACATAGTTATCACATAATATGAAAGAACATCCCCATAACTAAAATTACACTGGCGTGAGTCTCTGTGACAATGCAACAATGTTTGCAATACCTAAAGTGTAAGTTTAACTAGCCTATTATAAAAAAATGATTATAAAAGTACCTATATTTATATATATATATATACATTAACATGATAAACGGAGTTTCAAATGTAAGTCGATAAGTATGTGTATAAAAGGTAAATTTTGATATTAAAATTTAAAATTATTATTATTAAATTTAAATAAGTTAAATTAATTAACAATAGGTATCAATTATTATGTCATTTAATCATCATTCAATATTGTTATTGAATTGGTCGAATATTAACTATTTCCTGATGAGTTGAGTATTCAGTGTTTTACTATAAGAAAATATATTATAGTAAATAATAAGGTCCGGTGTATCAGTTCATGTGCAAATATCAATAATAATTGTTGAAACATAATTTAAAACAAATAAACTTAGGATTATAGTTATAAGTACAACTAGTATTATTATTATTATTTATTCTATTATTCATTAGTAATTTATCATTCATTATATAATAAGAAACATGCATTTTATTAAAATTTCAATATGCATTTCATTATTTTATCTTCTGGTTAAAAATGAAGTCGAAGGAAAAATTAGGTACTTACTATAATAGATATTTATTTGCCAGTTAATGTTACCTATATTTTATTATAATACTGATAAACGGTTTAACTAACAGATCAATATATCTAAAGACTATATTCACTTATCCGCCAATTTAATGTACCTACTTAACTGATAAACCGAACCTATATTAAATAGATACATTCTTACTTCAGTTGGATTTTGCACAAGTGGGTTGGATATTGTGGGTACATTAATGGCTGGAATTATCTGGCCGGTCATTGAATAATTCTAAAAATGTAAAAATAAATAATTATTAGGTGATATAGTAATGATGCACATTAATTATTTAAACTACTTAACTCTTAGGTATATTTGTATATATCCATATTATTATAGTTACCCACTCTTATAAACTAAACAGATACAGATATTTAGTATATATTATATCTATTAAAATTTAAAATTAATTTTTAAGTTGCTCAAATTTCAGCGTACATTAGAAATGAATTCTGGATTCATCTAATATACATATCTAAACACTAAAGGTTTGTGTTTAGGATTTCTTTAAAAATGATCATAAATATTAATACTACTTCTTCTTCTCCTTCGCCTTCATCCTAACTATTTGGAGTCGGTCACCCTCGTTCTAAAATTCTACTTGACTCGGTCACATAAAACACCTAACGCTAAGTAGCACTGAGTTCTCTTCACTATAACCAATCACACTGAAAGCCATCGCTCTATTACAAAGAATATTCTAGGTACTTAAAGTTAAAAATCTCAACCTAGCTCATAACCACTTATTGCCATTAGTTATCTTGTCCTGTTCCTCCAAATTCATATTCATTTCCTTAGTCCTTTTCCTGCAAGTGCTATTCTTCATTCTTCAAAACTATTGTTAACTTATTCCAGGTTTCCCCGTATCAAAGTTATATCATCTGCAAACGTCATGCACCATGGTACCTTTTCTCACCTGTTATCTTCACACAAATCCGAAACGAAAAAATCTGCCTAGGTTTTGTTTGAAACTCCTCATACAGTTTGACAGAATTTTACACTGTCAACTTGATGCAACCCCATTTATCGTCTCTTACGACAGATAAAGATTCCGTGGGATTATTCTGATCCCCTCTCACAGGAGGAAATGTAATACAATTAGTAAACATATATTAATACAATTAATAAACATTTATTTTTATATTTTTTTAAAATATGTTTCCCTGTGACTATCCATTCCCTCCCCTATCCCTGTTACAGTTAACCATTGTTGCCTTATTATACACAAATATAGTAAAAAATATAAAACATAGTGTAAATATTAATAGGAATACTAATAATATTCTTGTCTGTGTCAACCAAAATAATGTTGTCAAGGTAGCCTATAAATCAATAAATAAAATTTAAGTTTTGTTAAAAGAAAATACCAAAAACCCTATGTCTGCTATCCTTTAAAAGTGAAATTTTTAAAAATGTTTCTTTAGTGGATGCCATCTGTATAAAAGATACCTACTATGAACATTTCAAGTTTCTAACCCCAGCGGTATAGGCCGTGCGTTGATTCTCTGTCAGTCAGCACAAAGACACTTATAAAGATAAAGTTTATATAAATATTATATTATTATAGATTTATACCAGATAAGATAACCAAGCGTTCTTCATTTCGTAAACATAATTTGTTTCTCTCCAAGACTCAGCTTTACAATTACTTGTTCCAGGCTACATGTAAAAATTCAAAATAATTATTAATATTTACAATTAAATGGTATGTAATTAAAACAAAAAAACTGAAACATACAGATACGTTCTGTGTGCTATTTAAAACACCAGGTTCGGTTAACGTTTGGCTACAATTTGGTACATCATTGATAACATTTAAATTGGCTTTTAATGAATTATTATTAAATCCCTGTGAAGTTTCTGGATGTATATTAAAACGTTCTCTTGAATTTTGATCGGTTGTGTGTTGCATTTTTTCCTGGACTCTGCCTTTTGGTTTTGTACTTGACTAAAAACAATTATTTAAAAAATCGCATCGAAAAATGTACTACAAAATAGATTCTAATCGTAAACGCAATAATATAATACTTGTGTAAAATAATTTTTTTTCATTTGACTTGCAATTCTATGATCATTTTGTATCAAGTTGTTGTTTGGTTTTCTTTTTTTCTTAAGAGTCTAAATGTATAATAATATTTAGTTTATTTTAGTATAAAGTGCCCAGAAAAATGGTATTCATATAAATATATATCTAATATTTACGTTAAAAGCATCACTGTAATGTTGACGATTATTAGGTGATTTCAATGCCCAGTAGTTCTATTAAACATATTATAAAAAAACAAAAATAAGTATTATTTTATGTTCAATTAATTTTTATATTATTAAAAAATTTACCGGTTTAGTTTCATTTGAATGTGAATGTCCGATTTTAGCCCAACGTAAATTATCATTTAATTCTGACATATTATTTATTAATATATTGTACTTTTAAAACTAATAATAATTAAAAAATCAATAATATAATGTTTTACGTATAGAACTGTGTCTTTAAAAATTATAAAACTAGGTACCTAGTAACTAAATAATAATCCACAACAATAATAGTTTTTATTCAAATGATGACATTTTTTTTTCGTAAAATAATACCTATTTATTATAAGCCAACAAAAAAAAATAATTATCAGTGTTAAAAGTGTATAGGTACATTTATACAGTTTTATAAATACACAATATCTCTATAATTTGATTTGTGCTAGACTTAGAAATCAATTAAATTTACCATAAATTTCTTTATTTTTAAGGTGCATAACTATAATTTATAGTCTATAATATAGATCACGTCCAGTGGCGTTCACAGGAATTTATTTTGGGAGGGTGACACACAAATTATTTACAAAATTAGCCGCGGGTGCTACGCCACCAAACTCCTACAATAATAATAGAATAAATAAGTATACATTGAATTTCAACTACACTATTTCATACTATTCAACAAAATCCATTTATTATACAAAATAAGATCTATTTATTTTTTTTTTTTTGACGTTTATGCCATTGTATCAAAGACTTCATCAGGATGAATATTTATTCCTTTATGCTTATAATGTTAATCCATTGAGACGATTCGATCAATTTCATAAAAGCGTAAGGAGAATAACGCACATAATATCTATTATTTGACCCCTTTCTTCGCTCATTGTGTTCTTAAGATAGTTTTTAAGTCTTTTCATACATAAAACAACATAATACTTCAAAATAATAGATACTTATTATTAACATATTTTACATTAAACAACAGAAGTTCTTTTACCTCAATTAATTAATTTTGGTATTTAGATTTTATTCCATGATTATTAGCTATCAACTATCTGGCCTATCAGTTATACGTTTTAAACTGTATACATTTTTTTTTTTTTTTTTGGTTGCAATTTAACAATAATTATCAATTGAATTTAATCATTATTTTATAGGTATATTTTATATTAATTACCTAAGATATACGTGGTAATTTGTTATATTAATTACCTAAGATATACGTGGTAATTTGTTATATTAATTACTAAGTTCATCTTTATTCTTCATTAATAACTACAACAATATTGGTAATATCAAAAAATAATTTGGGTTTGGTTTTATTATATTCTAAATTTAAGAAAATTCACCAAGTTGATGTGATTTGTTAAATTGTTGTATTAATTTATAAATTTAAATCCCCATTCAAATTTAAAGTGTACAGTATTATTACTATTATAATAAAATTCAAAAAAAAAAAAAAAAAAATGTCTTAGTCATTATAAAGTTTTATACATTTTAGTCATTTTATACGTTTTATACGTGGAATATTATAGATGTAACGAATAAAACGTTTCATACGCTGATATTTCAGCGTATGATTAATTTCAGATAATTTCAGAAAATTTTTACGCAAGTCAGTCAATTTATGAAAAAATAATTATTTCATGGAAAATTTAACTGTAACATCCAATTTGAAAGACTATGTACATATTCATATTATCAAAAAATGTCACATGGTTATAATTATAAAACATAATTATAGGCATATAACTATTATAACAATATTATGTATGGCACACAAACAAATATTACAATAATATCAATCCGATTTTGGGTCTTAGAATTTTAAAAAAAGCATACGAATAGTTTGCGTTTAACAGCCAGAAAAGAAAACGATTCAACTTTTACTTGTTTCTCTAAACTCGGGTTACATCGGTATTCACAAGATTAATTAACGTCAATAAATATAACGATAACATCCGAAAAAAATCATTCGATCTTCAGCGCTTTAACGATATACATTCAAGTATAATATGTCATTGTATTATGATTTATATGGGACCGTGCTCTATATATTGAAAAGTATTCTTCGAAACCCAGTGGCTATTAATCCTTTGTCGGGGATTCGTTGGCGCCACGTCAATGGCTACCCCTTCGTCCCCACAATGCCAACACTCCCTCTCTCCTTCCCACCCCCTCTGAAATATAAACCCTGGACCATATAGTTGCACACGCTGTGAAGGGATACTCGCATTCCACGTGGGCGACATACCAAAAACTTCATTCATAAAACATCCCTTTCAGACGCTCGCTGGCGCCACGTCTTACAGCTTCGATTTTGTTACACAGTCCGTTTTTGCTGTACACACATACACACCATACTTATACGTACACACACATATGCAATACATACACAAATACTTGAGTATTTGGTTTTGCTTTTATACACTCAAAAGCCATGTCATGTTGTTTTACACGGCACCCAGTATATTTTTGTTTCTCTTTATTTCAGGACATAAAAAAATATTAAATCGACTTTTCGGCATTCATATAGTATTTCAAATTTCCACCGTCTACAATATAAAAGTATTTAAATCGCTTCTTTTACATTTCCAATATGAGGGCATTAAAATAGCCTGAAAATTACCAATTTCAATAAATTATCTTTATGAACATGATCGATATTTAAATTCTATTGAAGTTTTATTTTGTTTGATATCCAAAATGCGCAATATTATTGAACTATTTTACTTTTTGACTAGTTAAAATATATAACACTATATAAGTATGTTGTTTATATGAGGTTAAGTGTCCATAACTTAACCAAACCCGAATCCTGTAAACCTTATGGAAATATTCCCCGGAGAAAACGGATTATATTCGAAACAATTTTAATTTTTTAGATAAGATATATTATCTAAATACGTCCAACATAATTTTGGAAAAATCTTTAACTTCTGCAACTTTAAGTATTTTATAATAAAGTATAGCTATCATTTATTTGCTGCATTTATGAAAAAACTTCTTAAAAACCACTGTAAATATGATCGAATTAATAATCATTAATAGCAAGCAAATCAAATTTACAAATATTATTCAAATGTAATACATTTGAACATCTAAACATATAGTACTTAAAGCTGATATTCATTTAAGTAAATTTAGTTGCCTATAGCTAACGCAAACTATTGAATTTTACGAAATTAACTATACTTTGCCGTTCCATAATTATAATTTTAAAAATTATACAATTTTAGATCTGAGCGGAGCGAAGAATGTATTAGTTTTACTATTGGTTTCATTTTTTTTTTTTCTGTAACAAATTTTCTACCAGAAATTTTGCTCCGATTTTCAAGTGTAGCAAAGAAACACAATTTGACTGGGATAGTACTTTAAGAAAGACGTTTTATGATTTTCCCAAGGTTTTTCATAATAAATGGGAAAACACGGAAAAAAACTTTGGAAAAACGAAAAAATTTACGAAATGTAATATTTTTAATTTTGTTTTTGTTATGCTTGTGTTTCAGTTGAAAGTATTCGTTAAAGATTTGAAATTTAGACTGAAAACTTATATTTCTAATTATGGTAAAATTTTTAAAATATCTTGGCCATTTTTGAGTTATTTATAGACATTTTAATTTTGCTAGTTTTTATGTAGTTTTTATTCGGTAGGTGCTCTGTGGATAAAAATGTTAAACCAAACTGAAATTCTTTAAAATTTAACAGGGAGTTCATTATAAGTCGTACTTTGTGGTAAATAAAATTGAGTGAAATGTAGAATTTTTTTTATATGAATTTTAATATCAAATTTTGATGAAAATCATAAATACTACGGGTCTTTTAAAACATGTATAACCGATCTCCGCTCAGAATCATTTTTCGTTAATCATTGCATAATGCAGATATACATTAAATTTCCTTCTGTATCCTATATCTTCCAAACTTCTCACTTAAAACAATGGCCCACCCATCGTACGAAGTATGTCTGTCTTTTTATATTACACGAGTAATAAAAATGTATTGGCCATTATAAAATTATATTGGGTATAAATAAAAATAATATGATAATTGATGACTATTTATCATCAAAATTTAAAAAATTAATGTACTACAATTTAATACACTTATTGTAGTTGTTTAAATGATTAAGTTCAAGAATTAACGATATTTTATTGAAAAAAAATCATCATAATTATTATAAAAGTTACATTATTCAATTTCGAAATATACGTACATTATAAGTGACGGTTTTTCGAATTTTTTCTAGGAACGAAAAAATTCTTTGAATTTTGCTTTTTTACAAAAATAAAAAAGAAAAGTTTTGTCCATCGATAATTGAGAATTCAATATAAAAATACTTAATGTGAGTATAATCGTATTTCAATTTAAGGCACAATTTAATCATGCGCACAATAAACAATTTAATATTTGCAATTTCACCCGACTATTCGGTTTCTATGTATGAATAAATCAAAAGTGTATAAACAAGCAAATCATTTTAGATATTATTTTATATAGAAATCATAGTTGAGGTTACCTTGAAAAACTATCTGACCTCATTAACACTACCAATTCGTCTATTGAACTCAATCGACAATACTAAAAATTAATTTGATCAGGGTTCTTGACTTTTAATAAGATGTTTTTTTTTTCTGTGTAAAACTTACTCGGATTTTTAAGTATAATACTTTTTTTAAAAGGAAATTTGACTCGGGAAGTACTTTAAAGAGGTCATTTTTTAATTTCCTCAAAAGTTTTCCTAAAAAATGGAAAAAACCAATAAATACCCGGAAAAATAGGTACAATATTAATAAAATATTTTTAAAGAAATTATAAAATGCTTATGTAATTATTTTACTATAATATAATATACATACATTGTTGACAAAGTAACACTATCAACTGAACTCCGTTCAGAATCGGTTTTTCGTTAGTAATTGTTTTATCGTTGCTTACAGATATAAATTAAATTTCCCCTCTACTAATTTCCTAACATCTCACCTACAACAGTGGTCCACCCATGTACGAAGTATGTCCGTCTTTTCACTTATTAAAATTTTTTCGGTGCTTTTTTAACGTTTTTAAATGGTTCACGTAGATTTTAAGGGCTTAAACCCTAAAGTCTCGAGCCTTAGTGATCATGCTATGTGAGTGCTCCAATATTGTTTTAATTTAATATTAATAAGATTCAAAACCAACTTCTATAATAAACCGATATAAATAATAATACCATAATAACGATAGATACGTATACCCAACTGTATTGCCCAGAGCCATACTGGTATGTCCACACTTTATTGGTTATTGTTCCATAAATCAAATCGAACTTAAAAATCTTTAAAATTTAAATCATACAAAGATAAATTTTAAATTTGGTTTATAAATTAAGTCTACCTACCGACCTATTTCACCGTCTCTCGATGTTTAAACTACCTATGTATTAATAACTAATCAATATTAAATTTATAATCTATTAAACTTTCACTTAAACATTTAAAAAAACTATTTATTTAAATGTAAATATGTTAATTTACCTTTTACGTTCTAATAATAGGTACTTATATTATAAATATATTTCCAACGTATTCAGTACTTGGCAAACTATATTTACTTGCCTACTCAGTGTTTAAAGCTATGATTTAAAATTTGTTTAAAAAAAATTATGTTTTTATCTGTTGTAAAATATAATAAGAAACAAAGTAATATTATGTTCCTGTTTATGGTCAAGAAGATATTCATTATTTGTGTTGTCTTTGATGAGATTCATCATAAATACCGCGGTATCGCAGCCATAATAATACCAGGAAGGCAGGAAATATAATAATAACAGTTTGCCCATATTCGGGCAATGCCACCTACAAGATAACGCGCACTGTTGTTCGACAATCTCGTGTTCTAGTCACATACGCCAACCAGCCGACCATTATTATTACGTATCGAAAAACCGTATTCACGACCAGTTTGTTAGAATGTAATAACCAGGTGGTTTATGATCATCGGGAAAGATAGAGACGTCAAACTGGTAACAATATATAACAAACATAGATAACTGACGGTTTTTCATTATGCTTATGATTATTAATAATATTATAATACGCATAATAACATTAAGTACCTAACCTACTGCATTTGATAAATGTCAGTAATTAAATCATAACGCGATAACCGCATTATGCGAGGTATATAGGTCAACAAGAGATATCTTTAGATTGTTTGTAAATTATATCTCCCTTGTCCAATTCTTTGCACAGACGTATTTTGCAATTGTCTTTATAACTTTGAAAATTATACGAAAAATCCGGGTGAAATGGACTCTTATTATTTGACTTGAATCGTTTATTAGTTTACCTTAAATATAATATTAATGTAATCATTTATTTTTTAAATAATTCACTATTTTTGAATTAATAATATTATTAAATCTACTCTTTAATTGATTACAAAATGCTTTTCTAAACTAAAAATATACCATATTTGTATTATTTAATTGAATTATCACTGAGCGACGGTTAATATAAAAATTTAACTAAAAATAAATTTAATTACAATACAATAGTATTTATTATTCAATTAAATAATTTGATAAATAATATAATAAAGACCCATGCGGTATGCATTACCCAGGTTTTTGTGCGTCGTCTAAATTGAAACCTTGTATTTTTATATCGGGACCAATAGGTATTCCAATAACTCAGCATTGTGCAGAGGTCGTAGCGGGACTGTAATCCTATACCAAATGGGTATATAAATCATAAACTTAACAAAAACACCTTTCCATACGTGTTAAATGAAATCGCAATAATATAATATTGTATAACACATGTTAGCAATAAATTCAACGTACCTACCTATAGTAGATATATTATTGATACGGAGACACGTGAACTGGTTCGAGCGCCTCGTGTCTTAGCAATTTAAATAGTAACCCTTGTAAAAATTATAATTATAATCTAAAAAAAAAAATATACAATGCAGTCTTATTAAATAATAATTTAGTTTAAACGCAACCAAAAATATAATTTCTCTTTTATATAATCTATAAGTTATAAGCCTTGCACGTTTAATAATATTACGTATACCTATTTCACAAATAAAAATTATCGTTTTTTTTTTTTTATAACTTGAACGTAAAAAAACAATTTTATTTGTATTGCATGTATAATTCCTAGAAAAATAATATTATACATTTATATAATTATATGTAAACTGATTATTTTTCAATAGTTTATTATAGTTCAACATCTCTATACGTAATTATGATTTCATGTATGATAAATTAATATCTATTTAAAACTAACATTACGCACAATTGTTTTTCATAAGTATAAGAATGGCAATTGTTTTACTTGTTTGTAAATGTTATCGACGTTCACTGCAGCAAAGAAAATACATATCAGTAACAGCCAAGCAGTACACGAGTAGTATAGATATTTGAATATTTCATACTAAACCAACAATATACGCTAATATATTATAACAGTGTGATGCTAATAATTTCTGTATACGTAACTTTATTTAACTTTTAAATATTTTTGTTAATAATAATAATTATGAAATTATGGATTTGTTTATTGTTTTATTTGTTTTCACAGATATATTGTTTGACGCAAAGTATACAAAATGTTTATCCAAAACTGTTTAACGGATTACATTATTCTATTGACGTATATAGAAATTACTTTAAACCAGTACACGGTTACACTATCAAAAGATTCCCAAAAAATACCAAGAGAAATCATTACTACAAAAAAAGATCTAATATCGAATTCATAGTATTGCATTACACCGATGCAGATTTTCGTAATACAGTTTTGATTTTTACTACGGCCAATCCTGCTGGAGTCAGTTCGCATTATGTAATTGCAAGGCCTACAGAAGCTGAACAAAATAAACAAGTACTGCAGGTATAAATGTTACATTTACCATTTACGCCTATGATATTAAATATATGGATAGAATAATATACTATTAATCAGGGCTTACAATTATGTGCAATAGATAGCAAATGTGCTGTGTGCAGTTCATCACGAGCGTAATCTCGAGGGTGTAAGGGGGCACACTTGCATTTCCTCGAACTTTTGTGGGAGTGAAATACTATCATTTTTCATCCACTAAATCGTCTATATTTCAAACGTACAAATAATGTCAATCTATTAAATATTTATAATGTAATGATAACGACGATAATAGATTTACAGTTCTTTGATTTTACATATGTAAACCGTTAATTTTTTATATCTTCTGTTTTTCCTATAGTGAGAATACTGTATTCTCATCGCAGTTGTTTTCATTATATGTACCATGGACCAGCCCGTAATATTATGTACCCATTAATCTTAACGGATATTGCTAGTTGTCAGAAACTTGATAAAGAACTAGATACAATATTTTTCTGTGGCCAACAGTTTTCTTTCGAAATAATTTTACCATTAATAAATACCATAATTTTTGTATTACGGCTCTTGTGCATTATCGGCTTTTCTATTTCAAAATGGGACTTGTCGACGCTATTTTTCCAAATTCACTGTGGTTATAAATTTCCGTATTATTTTCTGAAAACTAGGCAAGTCTTTAATCTTAAATGGGGATTGTGATACCGCAGTATAGATTATTGGTGATACCACGCGATCACGAAAATTGTTGCATTGCTATTAATGATCAATGATCAATCCTATTGCGAGTCTTTGCGAGCCGTATTACTTAGAATATTATTATAACTGATTATATTCATATTTATTATTAAATACGATTCTTTTAGATTTTCGTTTACTTAAATACGTAAATGTCAACATTTTGCACCCCCTGAATTTTAACGAAATTACGTCTATGCAGTTCACAATCGATTGATTCAGTACCTACAATACTTAAATACAATCGCATATAATATAACATATTAGGTGATTTTCCATATAATTGTACTCGATTGAAAAATTATTTCGAAATTCTGAGTACATTTTCCAATTTTTTCACGCCACCGTACCTTGGATAATGCGGAATCTCCCCCCGGCCATACTTTATTTAAATAATTTTTTGAAATTCTCAACAGTTTATCCTCTAGATCCTCTATTTGGTTTTATTCTCAGAAAACATTTTTTGGTCAGGATAAAAATGGTATAACAATTCTGTGGGACATTCGATAGATATGATAATACTTATTTAAATATTTAAATAAATAAAACAATTCAATAGTAATTAATAAGTATAGACAATTTAATTAATATCTAAATACATTTTTTTTGTAGGATAAATAATACTAATGCATAGAGTTTTAAAAAACGATAAGAAAATATGAACGAAGAGGGGGATTTAGGGGTCTATAATCTTCTTAACTTAACCTATAGCTAGAACAAATAAAGCAATGCGGGGTTAAAACACCCCATTCCCCCCCATGGCTACACCACTGATTATAGAAAACGCTCGACAATGAAAAATATATGATTTTTTTCAAATGTTAAACAATTATATTTTTAAAATTAAAAAATTAAAAATGTAATATAATTTCAAATGAGTATTATAATTAATATTATTTTCAGGTAGTCCCGGAAAATTTTGTTGCAAATCACGCCGGAAAATCTATGTGGGGCAAAACACATTATATTAATACCAAATCAATAGGTATTGAAATTGTAAACTATGGATATAACAAAGACAACGGTACGTGGCAACCGTTTTATCAATCACAAATCGACATCGTCGGCTCGATGGTGTCTCGAATGGTCAAGCAATACAAAATACAGGCCAATAATGTGATTGGACACTCGGATATAGCACCTAACCGAAAAATCGATCCAGGCGTCATGTTCCCGTGGAGACAATTGTATAAGGTCTATGGCGTAGGTGCTTGGTTAGATGACCACGAAATGAACGAGACATTTATCACAAGAATGTACAAGCCAAAAATACCGTGTCCACGTGTAGTGAACCAGAAGGTGTTTGTTCAATATTTAAAAGCATATGGATACAATACGAGCAGTTGGAAACAAGCTACTATGGCTTTTAAGGCACACTTCACAGCCAATCAAAAGCCTCTTTTGTATACCTCAAAAATAACTAAAAATGACATGTACTGGATTTGGGCTTTGGTAGCTAAATATATTACGCATTAATTCGGCAAGTATCGTGGAAAACGAGACTGGATGTGAACAACGTAACTATGAATCGATTGCGACGATACGACAATATTATTATCAATTGATCATACCTATCACATCGAAATTAAATTCTAACCACAATTCATTTTAATCGGTCAATACTACCAGCTATATCAGCTATTTTGTAAATATAGTGGTTTTCGTATCACATTACATTAGTAAAAATAAGTTATACGATTAGTTCTTCGTTAATTTTATGGTACCAGTGGCGGTCAAATTATTTTGTCTCGTAGTGGGAGGGGGATCGAGATAAGGTTGATTTTTTAATAACTATTTGTTACATTATTTACTATTTATAAATATATAGCTAATATAATATGTACATATTTTATCAAAATATTGAAGGGACAAAGTGGTTGATCTCTGGCTTTCAGGGTGAAGTATACAATATAAATAATCAAAAACCATACGGAACAACTTTTTTTCATATATCCTCATTAAAAATAAATCGATGAATTTGGATTTTCACATTTTATGCCAGTTCCATAAGCCATGAGATTTCCGTAAAATCGGTAGGAAAATGCGAAAATCAAAAATCTGACTGAAAGAATCCTAAACGTTTTTGATATTTTGAAATTTATTTTCCCGTCCCAAACGCCATGTATCGTGCGAAAAACATCATTGGGAAGGATATATGCCCCTCATATGCCTCTATAAGGTACCTGCCTATGTATTATATTATACAATCATACAATATGTGTTAGAATATTATTATATTATGTTTAATGGTACTATTATAGTCCATACAGACTACGTACTCAATACATACCTACTGTAATCAATTTTAAAAAACGATAATTTTTATTTATTTTTTTTTTCCATCATCAATGATTCACAGCGTATAGTATGTCCAGTCTGTATTTTACCAGTCATTCTAGTCTATTGTGTGGTCTGAATATAAATGTATAGCACGCGACTGATTGTCATGAACTGTTAAGGAAACTTGCCTAAGCGCCATAATGGAATGTCAAATAGCTTTTATCCATAGAATAATGATTTTTCATTCATACGCTGTAAAATGTAATACCTATTTACTAGAGTTCTCAATAAAAAAAAAAAAAAAAACAAACATTAGTACTCTTCTTTTATCGCATACTCTTAACGCGTACTTATATATAATAACATATCCTGCAATGAAAACACTTAAAACATAGTAAAATTAAAATTAAACGAATCAATTTAATAGTTTTAGTCAATTTGAATTAAAAATAAATAGTATACACTTGTTTATAAATACAATATGTTCATACGTATTGAATTAATTGGAATAAAATAACTATTGGGAAAAATATATAAATAAATAATAAAATTATTAATTTAAAAACATTGTTTAGTAATAAAAACGATACATAAAATACGTTTTATTTGATTATAAATAAATTACACATTTTGAAACTCCAAAAACAATTGAAAAGTATTTTAAATAAAGCATTAAAAAATATTTAAAACTCATTTTGAAAAAGAACCATTATGAGACGGATTGTAAAAAAAGATTTAGATAGGTAGGTAGAATTTTTTTTTATAAGAATTATTTGAATATCAAATTTTGACGAAAATCGTAAATATTACGTAGCCTTTCAAAACACGTGTAACCGAACTTCGCTCCAAATCGTTTTTCGTTGTCAATGATTTATCGTTGGTTACAGGTGTAAATTAAAAAACTTTATGTATCCCACCTTCCTCACTACCCACCAAAGTCGAATTGATATCTATCGGCCCATCAAGATTTTCACTTCTAAACGGTCCATTTACATATTCACTGGCCCAAAATTATGTCTAAAATTGTTATGAGTTATTAGATTCTGGGTGGAGCAAAAAATGGTTCTACAAGTTGTTTTTTTTTTCTGACAACTTTTCTACCAGAGATATTGGTTCGAAGTATCAAGTATAGCATCTTTTCTGAAAGGAAATCTGACCGGGAAGATACTCTAAACAGGTCATTTTTCGATTTTCTCAGGAGTTTTCTCGTAAAATGTGAAAAACCGAAAAAAACGGGAAATCTACGAAATGTAGATATGCTAAAAAAAAAATATATTACAGCATTTTTATAAGGCATATTATATATTGTTGACAAAGCATCACTATTTTTTTATTTTCCCAGGAATTTTCACAATAAATGGGAAAAACCGGGAAAAAACACGGGAATACTGGGAAAAAAAACGGTAAAATACAACGACAATATTTAACAAATATTATTAAAGAAAATATAATACATATTATGTAATTATTTTACCATAATAATATGTCATCATACGCATCTTGTTGACAAAGCAACACTACCAACCGAACTCCGTTCAGAATCGGTTTTTCGTTATCAATAGTTAATCGTTACGTATACAAATACGCATTAAATTTCCTCTCTCAGTGCCACACGCAGAGGGAAAGGAATAAGGGGTCACTACCTTCACTAATTTTTTTTGTAAATTAAGTTTTACATTTAACAACCATGCACGTGCGCAGGGGGAATGCCAAGTATGGCATCCCCTGCGGTCTGCGCGACAGTTTTTAGTTCTTTACTATTTTATAAATCTTGTTATAAACAGGAATCAGTTAAGAAATGTTGACAGTTAAACTTTCGTTTTTTTTTTTTTTCATCACGGCTTTAGGTAATATCTTTAATCGTGATTTTCTTCAATTTTACATTTTATTGATACTGGATGATTTTGTTAAGGATTGACAAAGGACTTCGACGCCAATAACGTAGCCATTCACGTTACCTTGCATAGGTGCAGAATCATAATTTTTACTACTAAATATTGACTATTGTTGTGAACTTTAAAGTCGTGTAAAAATAATTTCCAAAAAAAATTCTGATTTATGTCTTTAAAGAAGGCAGTTAAAAATTCGTCTATTTTGAAATTTACCCACTGGCATTACCTATGAAAAATTCTACGCACGCCTATGTCAACAACATAATATCTTATACCACAGAATAAAATACAATTTAATTTCATCAAAAATCATTTATTCAGTAACGATAGTTACAGTACTGTGCTGATAATATTTGCGCTACCCCCTTTCTAGAAAATATGTACAAACAGTGTCCTGAAAAAAGATATATATTATTAAAAATATATATATAAGATATATTGCGTGTTCGTCGCGATCTTACTGTCCCCGCTACGTTCCCAACTTCTCACCTACAACGGTGGCCCACTCACGTGCGAAGTATGTCCATTTTTGTTTTGCAATAGTTTTAGTACGTATACGAGTAAAAAAAAAAAAAAAACCCATTTTAAAAATTACGCAATATTACCGCTATAATAAAACATACTTATTCGGACAAACTATGAGCATACGCGTGTACATTGTCCGAATGAGTATTTAATAACTGGTGTGTGTACACATATTTGATACGGCCAAGACAACGACGACGTGACTGTGTACACGAGAATCCGATTTCGATAGGACCCGAGCACAAAAAAGACGCGGACGACAATGGAGGAGCGTTAGTTATGGCACGGCGCCTAAACAAAAACGAAAATACTTACGGACGTACTATGACATCTGCTAATCCGTGATCCATTTACCGAACGTGCGTTCAAATCGAACGGCGTGCGATCACCGGTAAGGTAAGTACGAACGCGGAACCGGAGCCCGGGCTGGAAGTGAAGGACCGTCGAGGAAACCGTCCGGAAGTGAACGGATAAACGTGACGCCAACAGCGTCGGGCGGACAGAAGGGTTTTGGATATCGAGAGACGGTGAACGAGTAAGCGACCGATCGTGCGTTGGGACATAATCGTTCGTCGATAATGCAAACGCGTTCGGCGTTGCGGCCGATAACCGTTGATAAAACCGATTATCATCGTTATGAATTCGGTAGGAAATTCGTCGGATTACGCGATTATTTACGATAATAATAATAACAATTACAGACGTTTACAGACATTCCTGGGAACGAATTATTTTTATTATTATTATTATTATTTTTTTTTTCTCGTCCTTAATTACTTACGTTATGAAAAGCGAATGAAAATAGCGCACGTGTATACACAAATACACGAGAAGTGGCACAATATAACCACGTAAAATATTCGCGCTTCGGGCTCATCGAGCGCACGGTGAGCGCGCGCAATGCCGGAAACAACGTCTCGGTTACGCGCGCGAGTGATAACGGCGCCCGGCGACGGGATCAGTCGGCGCCGCGTCGGTCGCGTTTTTCCGTCCACGCGACGGCGACGTCGATAAGTCCCGCCGTTGGCGCACGGGCCGGGCGAAAAATCCGCGCGTTTCGGAACTCGGTTTTTACCGGTCGGAACGGTTCGGTCCGCGTGAAAATAGGACCGGGGTGTGCGCCGGTCGACCGTTTCGGCGAACGTTTCAAATAAAAAATAAAATAGCGCCGAACGGAAAACCAAGCGTCTTTGGCGGTGTTTATTTGGTGTTTTTTTTTTTTCTCTCCGTCCGCGAGCAACTCTTCTTCCGCGGTTCCGCGTGCCTGCAGAAATCTCGCCCCGATCGAAAACCGACGAGATACTTTTTCGGTGGAATTTCGAATCAAGTTTAAGCGCATTCGGAACGTCAGTTTTTATTCACCACCCAGCGGCTTTCATAGAATAGTCGGAAAATACCGTAAAAGTGTGTACGGCGTGGACGATTTCATTGTTTCTGTTTTTCCGCCGGAAATCTTGTACTGCGGAAATTCGAGCGCAGTATGTGTTCTGAAAGAAAATTGTGTTCAGTCGGCGCGTAAGTACCGGGTTGTCCGTGATATTTTCTAAATATTTCCAGGGCAAAACCGAGAAAAACGTAGAAAAAACTGAAAAGAGCGGAAGGTTTACGGAAATAACGACTTCATTATTTTCCATTATGTTTTTTTGTTGTTGTTATCCGGTTAAAAATGTATAGGGACTTAACATTTTCACAGAATGCCGATAATGGACTTTTCCGGACGTTTTAAAAAGTTTAAAATATTTTGGCGATTTTCGAGCTGTTTATATGGATATTTATCGTGGTTTTTTGGATAAAATTAAACAAACAGAAACGCTCGAACGCGAGGCTTATCATAAGTTTACTTAGGCAGTGTTAAACAGAAGAAAAAAAACCGTTTCTTCTGTGAACCCCGTTTAAAATCGAATTTTGACGCAAATTTGTACAAATCACGCGGTATTTCAATACATTGTATACATGTATTATAACCGATTTTCGCTCGGTTTGTCAACAGTGGGTTTTATCAGATAAAAATTAAACAATTTCAAATGTCCCGTCTTTCCGACTTTCCGTCCGGAACCGCGGCACGCCCGTCCGTCTCCGCTTTTTTTTTTCCATCTCGTTTTCACGCTTTCAAATTGTTCCGCGACCGCAAATCGCTCCGAACACGTCCCGTTTGCTTTGTGTAAGACGCAATAAGTATTGTCGCCGCGAGCATTCCGACCGCGGCGACACTGCGGGGGGGGGTGTGTGCGTCTGATAATAATAATTTGATTTGCGCGAACCCTTCGTTATTACCGTCGGTTGTCCGGGGGAGGGGGTACGGGGCACGATCGAATTTGCTAATCGGACTTCGGTCTCGATACCGAGTTAAAACACACACACACACACACACACGTCGTGGGCATTACCCAACATGCGTATCGGCGGCGCTTGTATACGAACGTATTATTTATACACGTGGCGTAACGCACAGAGCGCGTACGCATGGTTACGGGAACGCGGGGACGGGGCGACGCGGCAGTCGCGAGAGGGTCGGCCGGTCGGCCGGAGAGAGGAGCGGTACACGTACATGCGTAGGTACGGGCGGACAGGTAGACGGGTACACAATAATATTGTGCGTACGCGTGTTCGGAATGTTCCGACGGTTTCGGAATGCTACTGCGGGTGGTACGCGCACACGGCGACGCGTCTTCTTCTGCTTTTTCCTCTCGGTCTTCTATTTTACACGGCAAGACGCGTATACGTGTATAATAATAATAATAATAATATACCCGCGCCGTCGGTGTACGCGCGCGTCCGACGGTGGTCGGAAAACGATACACCGTCACTAATTGACGGCCGCGCGCTTCGTGGGGTTACGCGCGCGCTCGCGGTTATTGTGTGTGTGTGTGTATTTATTATATACGTACGTGCGTGTAAAAAAAAATATAATACACGAAACGTCTTAATGGACGTTGGATGTTCGGCGAACGGGCGGGCGGGCGGCGGGATGCGGGGGGGCGCCCTTTAAACAAACGACCGGCGGCCGCACGATCACACGCACACACGCGCGGGCCGCCGCGCTTATCGACGGTTTCGATCTCCCGCGGGATAAATCACCGCACGAAAACGACCGTTGCCGGAACACGGGTGCGGCCCGGCCGGCGACCGCGGCCGAAAGACAAGACGGCCGGCGACGTCATCGCCGCGCGATGGGATTCCGAACGCATAATTGACCGGGCGGTAGGTCGACGATGGTGCGAGAGAGCGAAAAGGAAACCAGGGAGGTCCGTGTAGTAATGACGACGACGACGACGACGACGACGACGACGACGACGACGACGATGATGATGATAATAATAATAATAATAACAATTACGCGTCCCCGTTTACCTACCAACGAATCGCCCCGTTCGGTCGGACGACAACCGCCGCCGCGTTACCGGCGCACCCGGCACACGTACCCGTAACCGCGCGCGATAATGGGCGACAATTGTGTAAACACCGTGCCCCGTACGCGGCGACGGCCGCTCGGCGTTCCCGGGGGGCGCGCGCGCGAAACGGCCGCACGGGCGCACCGCGACGCCAATACGATTACGGCCCCGTACGACAACGTTAGCCCTGTCGCCCGGCGGGCCGACACCGCTCGGACGGCGCTCGAGTTTCGCGCGTTCCGGACGGCCAAGCGCGGCGGAAATTCGGCCGCGGCTTACCACGCACCGTCCCGACGTCCGATCAAAACCGTTCGAAGCGTCCGTACGTGGGCTTTTCCGCGGCGAGCCGATTTCGCGATTTCCCGGTTTCGGAGATCTCCCCGCCACCCTCGAAATAACGATTGATGTCGTTTTTTTTTTTTTTTCTTTTTCGAAAAATTCCGCGAAAACGCCCACGTTGTTTGTGTTCGTCTTAGGTGGGCGCGTCAAAATCATCAAACACCGACTGCGGGTGTACGCCGTATTCTCTCAGGCCGTGCGCTCGTGTAGTAATGAGGGGTACGTTGTCCATGCGTCGTCGTGACGTTAAAGCGTTCGGACGCTTTCTACGCAGACGCGATTCGACGATTTTCCCGGACATTTTCGGAGAGTTTTTACGATCGGTTGGACGGCCGTTAGGATGTCGCGAGTGACTTTTACTAAACCGCGGCGGAGTTACGCGGCTGCTCGTTGGACATTGCATACTTTGAACCGTCATCACGACATTGACAGTGCCGTAAGATCTAACGCCAATGTCACATGCACGCAGTGGCATGTGTATTTACACGTTAGAACGCCCGAGGGCCAAATTTGTTTTCAATAGCGCTGTGACAGTGGTTTCGCCTGAGAATTTACGTGTGCTTAGAACAGCGGAACCCAACCACGCCTTTATTGCATTAAAAATTTACTTTTGATTTTAAATTAAATAAATTTACATTTACCACCGTACATAATCTAGAGGGTATATTTTGTAAGTTTTGTTTACATCAATAGGGACCAAAACGCTAGAAAATTTCGGGAAAACCCCGTTTCCCCCCCCCTTCCCCGGAGTCTTTGAAAATATAGAAAAATAGTCGAGTTACTAAAATAATACATTTCCGAATAAACGCGACGTTTGCTTTTCACGAAAATCCATGTTAGACACGCATCGAAATTCACAGCGGGAAAAAATACCTTTGCCACCGGCATTATAATATCTGCTAGCACGGCGACTTTGTCAAACGAACATTGACGAACATCATGCAGCGTGCGAGAATACGTTGCCTCACTCGTTCGGTTTATATCGCCGTGAAAAAAACTAGGTAAACAATTCGTCCTCGGTAAATTTTCGACCGTAGGACGTTTCGTTCCCGATATATTTTGATTATAGTTGCGGTTCGTCCGCGCGGGAATTTGAATTACCAATCAAACGTAAATAATAGGAAACATACGGACATACTTCGCACGGTGGACGGGTCACTGTTGTAGATGAGAAGTTGAGACGGTAGAGGGGAAATTTTATGCACCTGTACGCAAACGCAACCGTTAACCACCGCCAGGTAACGAAAAACGAGTCTGAGCGGAGTTCGGTTAACAGTGTTGTTTTTTCAAGAATATATATGTCGTATTATTGGTAAAATAATGGTACATGCGTACCTGTTATATATTTTCTCTAATATTATACCGATTTTACCGTTTTTCCTACTCTTTAGCAATGGTGTATCGTTGCTTACACAGATATAAATGAAATAACCCTATGTATCCTACCTTCCCAACTTTTCACTTACAACAGTGGCCAATCCCATCCGCAGTATCGGCTTTTCTTTTTTTTCACTCTTTGTGACCACGTAAACCCGTCTGACATGTTCGCTTAAGGCCCGCGAAGCACTTAACACGGCACTGGGTGTCGGCAATATGTCCGGCTTCGGTTTCTGCTTTTCGTCAAGTTTACGTGACAAAAGGCGTCTAATTGTGAACGATTGACTTTTTATCCCTTTTCATTCAAATGTTTCAGTAAGAGCTTCCCAAATTTTTAATAGAGTGTCCTTACATTTTAAATATTTCAGACGACTGTTAGCTATTCTTTTGATAAGTATTGACTTATTTTTTTTTCTTAAGTTTCTTAACTTATCAGCAACATGCGACGCATCTTCTTCAATCCTCAAGGTCCACGGCAAATTTTGTTCTTCATTTAAGATTTCCATTTGGCTGTTACTAGTTTCCAGTACTAAATTTTCTCCATTGAAGATAGGTATTTTACAGTTTTCTCCTTCCATATTACTAAATCACTTACCGACCGGTTAAAAAAACAAATCCGACGTGGCTTACGGAACAACCACGTGACTTCCTCAATCGAGCATTAATTATGCCAATTTTATGCGTTTATTTGTTGACTTTTATTTTATAAAATAGATTCTTAAATATTTAATAAGTATTTAATATTATTTTTTTTTTAAGATAAAGTTTTAATAATTTGTAATTTTCATTGATCAAAGCATTTCTTTGCTTCGTTTTTATTAAATTTATTGTGGAAAATAAACTTTCACGTGCGTAAGTAGAAGAAAAAATCGAATATATGGAAAAAGCAACTTTTTTTATGTACTGAACGTGTCTGAAAGCAATAGTAGCTCGAAGTACTTTTACCTTGAATCACTGATAAAAATTGTCTACCCAATCACTCCAAAAATACCACCACCCTACTACACATGTATTGGAATTTGTTAAATTTCAATAAAATTTTTCAAATGTATAGAATTTCCGCAGTTTAAAATTCTTTTAATAGCTTGTTTTGTAAAAAAATAATCTTTTTTTTTTATATTTCTGAACGCCCACGACCCAACCACACAGTTATTTTGTGAATCACATGATTCAAATATACATTTTTCTAGCCGCCACTGTCTGAAAACAAGTTCCAAATTTTAAGAATTTTATCATCTGTACTTTCCACCATGCTTTCTTAATGACAATTGATTTCTATTTCTTCTATTAGTTGCCTTAAATTTAAACCAATACATTTTTTTCCACGTTTTATTTTCCAATGCCACTGTAAAGGTATCGATAAACATTCACGTAGCGATCAGAGTAGGTAGTAGGTACTTACAATCATACATATCTATTAAAATTGTATAGGAGTTTTCTTATTATTACCTACTCATTTGTAAAATCGTTTCTTCAAATTTCTTTTACTAAAATGTTAAAGTACAGGTAATTAATTTGTTTTTAAGATAAATATTTTAATGGCGTGTAACTGAAATTTGGCCAACGTACCATAGGCTCGTGTAGAAATAATAAAAAAAAAGCTGATACCGCTGATGGAAGTACCACTGTCATTGTAGATGAGAAATTAGAAAGATTAATTCATAAAGTTATTTAATTTTTATCCGGAAGCAACGATACCATTGCTGAAGAAGTACGAATCTGAGCGAAGTTCAGTTTTACGTGATATTTTGAAATGCCGTAATACGATACCTATTCACAATTTTCGTCAAAATTCTTTCAAATTAAAAATTAAAAATTTTCATTAGTAAATTATACTTAAATCACACTTACACTTTACTTACTTGCCGATCTTAGGACATCAGCTAGATATTTGATACAATAGGTTCGTCAAGTTCTATACTGTCATAAAAAGTGAATATTAATTCGTTTTTTTCTAATTTTAAATTTATGAATTAGTTATGATTATTAATTTTTGTAAGTTTTTTTTTTTTTTGCTTTTACAAATTAATACAATTTTTAACTGATTTCCGATCAGAATTGTTTGCAATTATTATTGTTTCATTTAATAACAATCTAAATTATCCTATATATAATATGTAATCTTACCATTCTAACTTTCTACAAAAAAAAAGTGGCCTACCAATTTGTTTTGCCTATATTTTTCTATTTTTATTTTTTTTTTAACCGCATTCTAGCAGAAGTCTTATGTGTGAAAGATCCAATGAACGAGCTTAAATTTTTGGTATAATGTTTAATGAATCCAATGACTTTAAGCGTTCTATTGAATGTGAAATTAGTGTGATGTTTTAAAGTAACAATGGAAACACGTTGGGATCCTGAAAAATAATGTATATTTCAAATCTTTAAATTATTTAATATATGGCTCTTGTTTTATATATTTTGTTGTAATTATATTGGTGGTTCGGAAGACCAGACCCACTCCCCATAAATCTGCCATTGTTATAGAAAAAAATTGTTTAGGGTGTAGTTGTGTTATAACCTAGAAAAGAAAATTATTTGGCACTTATTCAAGTTTAGATAGTTAAATCATTAACATTGAAACCTATTAACATTGAAAATTTAACGATCAAAAAGTGAGTTAATTTTAGAAAAAATGTTTATCATTAGCATATAATAAAATTTTTACCTTATTTAGATTTAAGTGAGAACCGATGGAATTTATAATTAGACAGAACAAGAGGACTAATATGCCTACCTTGGGGAACTCTAGATGAAACTTGAACATGATCATGACTTGAGTGGCTATCATTAAGTTTCACAAATTTAGAACAGTCTGTACAAAAAGTTATTTGAAATAAGAAATAAGCCAGGATAAAGGAGGGTTCCCAATTCCAAGGTTTGTCAGTTCATTAGCAAGCAAGTTGTCTACAGAATCAAAACCTTTGAAAAAGTCAGTCAAACAATGCTGACTAAAGAACCAGTTTCAACACACTCAAAAATATATGATAAAAAGGAAATACCACTGATTAAGGTTGATTTACCTGGTCATAATCCATGCTGGTCAGAGTTCATGGATTAATATACTATTGAGGTTACATTTAATACAGTCATAGACAATTAACTTGAACAATTGACCAAAATGTGATAAAATGGAGATCGGTCAGTAGTTAGCAAACGGGTCACCAGATTTATAAACTTGTGTAACACAACAAATTTTCTATATGGATGAAAAGATACCTTAATCCAAATAGTGAGTAAATAGAATATAAATAGGAAAGAAGTTAATGGTAGTTGTAGAGAAGATAAGTAGAATTTTTATCTTTGGGTGAAAAGGAAAAATTAGAGGAAAGATCAAAAGATATCCAATGTATATAATATGCGTGTGCCTATAAAAAATGAATTGCAACCCCCCTCGTGACTGTATTACTGTATACAAACGTATGTAGTGATTAATAATCGGTAATGATCAATTCATACTAGTGTGCATATTCGAAGTGTTCTTTAGACACGAAAAAACGCACATTTTGAATAGTTGACTTATTAATCATTAATATATTATACAGTTTTAATTAGTTGTAATAATTACTTGGATATAATTCTAAGATATTAATTAAAACAAACATTTAACACAGATGTATAGAAAATGTTTGTCAGTGAACAGCAATTTAGACTAGTACCTACCTATATTTTAGATTATATTATTGTCATTTTCAAAGACCCTATTAAATTAAATATATTTCAACTTTTTATTTTTAAAGATGAATAAAAGAATATATTTTAATACAACATTACTAAATTTGTATACCATCTAGAATATCGATAAGAAATAGCCTTTACATATTTTAAACTTATATATAGGATAATAATAAATAGTATAATATTCATATACATATTACATCAATTATTCACTTCCAGCCATACCAATAATCGTGAACGTTTACAATATCATTTGATTAAAACCAGTTTTTGACACAACTTATTCTTTTATACAACCAACTTAATACAGTATTACTATGCAAAAGAAAAATAACATATAATTACTAATTAGTACTTGAAAATACAATATTAATATAATTTAAATACAGTGATTAAAATGTAAAAATGGTACTTTTAAACTATTTTTAATTTGTCAAAACTGTAAGATCCACCAAAAATCTCAATCATAGCCATTATGTAAAATTGTAATGTAAATAAAATATAATATTAAATATTTAGTATTTATAATATTATAGTATAATCTACGTACTCAATAATAATTATTGGACTTAAATGTATCTATTTATTATACTGTTTATTTTTAAATAAATAATCTACGGAAATTATAATTATTACAATATTTATATTACTGTTAAAAAAAAAAAAATCATATAACCAGTGGAAGGGTAAAATGCAAAAGCTGTAACAATGTTATAATAATTAATTTGGGCGTTGATTAGGGCAATACACATAAACAATAAAAATCATATTAGTTGCATGCAATTATTGACATAGCTTCAGCAGCAAAGTACTTAACATCCACATCTGTATCTGTATTTAATTTATCCAACACTGGTTTTATTTGAGATTTTACTGCAGCACTATAAACCAATGAATATTAATAAATTATTATAATTTAAGATAAAATTATTTAATTTTAGTTACTAATGAATTTAAATAAATATACATACGATTGTGCAACAATTGGTCCTATTTTTTGGAGGGTTTTTGCTACATTAAAACGAACATTAGCGACACTATCACTTGCCATTGATAAAACAGTTGGTAACATTGTTTTTGCAGTAATTTCTGGACCACATACATCAGCAAGTTCCTGCAAATTAATACAAAAATTTAAACAATTTTCAACCAATCTAAATACAAACATTAATTTTATTGTATTTACATTAATGCAAAATAAGAACGTCATTCGGTGTAAATAATTTGGATCTCTAGCCATCAGAATGACTTTTGGTATAACAGATATTTGTGCCCATTCTGCCCCAAATTTCTCCACTAGCTTCTTCAAATTTAATGTGGCTGCCTCTCTTATGGCATACACTAAGAAAAAATACATATTAGTTTTACATAGTTTAAAAAACATTTTAGGAGCTCAACTACAGTAAATTTGCTGCGATAAGCATTTTGCACGTCATGGAAAGTCGATCATTGTATTGGATTTATTTTATATTAAAAATATACAATGAAATATTACCAAGACAATTTTTATATAATATTAATAAAACTTCTTTACCAGTTCAAACCTAATGATGCATTTAGAATATGTGTGAGCATATTTAAACCAGTGAGTAACTCTGTAGTAAAATTGTAAATCGTGAATTATTTAGCTTAAATTTATCAACAGTAAGAACCAATTTTCCCATACAACTTGGCTTCTAAAACTGAGCACTGGGTACTTTTACTACTTTTTTTAAATTTTAAATTATAATTTTAATTATTATAGTACTTTTTTTTTTTTTAGCTAACTCATAATTGATTGATACATAATTTTATGAATTGATAGTTTTAAAGTCAAAATGTATTTTATTTATCTAATTGATAATAAATTTTAGGTACAAGAGACTAGATTCATAAGAGTGATCATCAAGTATACTGTTTTATATTTTGAAAAGTTAACAATCAAAGTGGTATGGTTTTTAGCACAAAATTAAATTGTTTACATATAATAAACAGACATTTATATTTTTTTTGTTTAAGTTTTAGGAATTGAATAATAATATTTGATATTAATGCTTGATATGTTTGTACATTAAATTAAATATGACAAAGGTTTAATGAGTTGACCACTTTCTTAATTATAAAGTCAATCTAGTGCACAAGGTGGAGAAAAATCCACAGAAGCAAAATTATATAGCTATGGAAAATTGGGAGGTCGTAATATTACATTGTAATTTTCAGTTTCCATCGAAACAAAAAAAAATTAAATTAAATTAACTAGAGAAGATAACATTATTAATATCAACAGTAAGTATAAGAATATAAATGTGCAAACCAATAGAATTGTTAATTTTCATTAACTACATGTTAATTTACCAAAGATCACCTCTAGTTCTCAAAAACAATTATAATTATTTTTATTATTTTGGTAAAAATTGTTTACCTGGATCTCTAAATTATCCCCCATCACTTAGTACAAATATTATCAATCTGTATTTAAAATGTATAAATAGCATTTATAGTGTCTTTGTTTCTACAAATTTTATCTTTGGCTCTACAACAAGGCTAAAGTTTTACTTTTAAAGTACAATATGTAATGAAAAAATAATCAATATCCCTACCATTTTTCATTCTTTTTAATGTTAGTATTTTAACTAATTTATAATATTCAAATAATACTAATTTATAGTAAAAGAATTGCAGTTTTGATGACAAAAAAATTAAAAAACCACCAACTAATTTTCTTAATTTGGATAAAAAATAACAACTAAAGAAAAGGTAATAAATTAAATAGATCAATAAAATATACTATAACAAATTAAAGTAGTAAATACATAATTGTTTTAATGTAAAAATCAAAATTTACCATGATCAATAAGCCATGTCATACACAAACTATTGAGTTTATCATCAAAGAATTGTACACCTAGTTGACTTGCTAATAATGGCATATATTCAATTATAGCTAAACGAACTCGCCATTTAGGATCTTCAGCAAGTTCAACAATAGCAGGTAAAAGTGTTTCAGAGAGCTATAAAATTAAACATATACCAATAAACGGTAAAATAAATAAATCATATTATTTGTATGTAATATTATGTAACATTGTATGTATTCATTATTAAATGAATAAAAATTTAAAATAAATATCATACCCGTTGGATTCCGATAACTTCATTAACACAGTCCAAATTTGATATTATGTTTAAACGCACCTCAGGACATTCATCTTTTAATTGAGTCAAAAATAATGGTAACAGATGGTCAAGAGTTCTAAAATAATTAATGTCTTTTTCTATAGATCAAAACATAAGTATTTATATTATGATAAATAATTACCTTTGCTTTCCAAGAATAGGAGATAATCCCATAATTACAGAAGCTAAAGCTGATTTGACATGTTGATTAGTATCTGCAACTAATGCTTTTACAACCGGAAGAATAGATGTCATAATAATGGAATCTGCATTTTGTGCAGCATTTGGATCACTAGCTAAAGTACCAGAAGCAACAGGAGGACATAAGTTACGACAAAAGTCGCAAACTTTATTAGCAGCTGCCGCTCTCACTTCAGCTTCAGTATCACGCAACAATGATTGGAAAGTCGGTACCAAATCAATACGAGTTATTTCAGGTCCAACAGCTTTTTGCAACTATAAATTATAACTGTATATACTACAAACAAGAACTCAATAAAACAAATTTAAATGACAACTTTAAGAGTGATTATTAAGATCTGCTAGTGTTAACAACCTAATATACAAATAAGGGACTAAGATTTTTTGACAACAAAAGCAGTAACCTACATGATCAAAACCTATATATAGTAATAACTATTATTTTTATATTAACTAATTTAGTACAAAATAGAGTAATTCCCCATGGTCTATAAAGTCAAAAATACCCATAAACAAAACATGTTAATAAATATATGATATTTTGGTTTAACATGAGGACAATAAGCATTCTAATACATTTCAACCTGTCTAACAGGCTCTTTTTATCGCGGATACGAACAGCAATATTTTCCCCAAATATCTTAATAATGGCCAACTATCTTAGTTTAAAGTCAAATAAATTGCAAACATGTACATACATACCACGCAACAGTGTCGCTGATCTATTTCAAATACAGATTATAACAGATTTTATGTTCAACAATAAGACTAAAGTTAATTGCAAGAACAGAAATAAACAGAAACACATATAAAAAACGTAAACTATTTAGTGCTTATTCCCTAGTGTTTCGCTATTTTAGTATTGTACATTTTTCTCAGTTAGTTTTAATTTTTTTCTTTGCAATGCTACCTCTCATACCTGTCTACAGATTTTTTACGGTCCTGTAACTGTCCTTTATATACAGGTTTCACTGTATAAACATATTTTAATACATTACTGGAAACTGCATAACTAAGTTTAAGTAAATAAACTTCTATTTTATTATAAAACAATAAACAAAAGTAAATTTTTAGTAAGTATTTTTTCTTTTTCCTCAAAAAAATATCACTGAAAAAGACTATGGCCAAAAAATCCCATTCCCAAAACTAAGTATTTATATTCCAGTAATTAAAAAACTCATTACTAGTACCACTCAAGTAAATACCTCAGTAAATTTGTCAGCAACCATATATCTCACTCTCCAAGAACTATCTGATGTACACAAACGCAAAGTTGGCATAACTAAATCATTGACATCTTCATGTGTAAGTAGTGTCGCTATACTAACACAAGCTTCTATGGCCAAAAGACGAACTGAATCCTATTATAAAAATAAATAGTAAAACAGTTTGATAAGGATAATTCTAAGAAATATAAATAGTATTAATTTATTAATATAAGTACCTGTTCGTCTTGAGCAAGTGATGAAAACATAGGTATAAGATCATTTTTTAGAGAATCCAATTCAACAACTTTTGCAAATTCACCCAATTTGCCAGCAGCAGCTCTTCGTACCATAGGAGTATCATCTTGACACAAATTACGAAAGTAATTGCGTAATTCAGCTATAGAAATAAAATTTACATTTAATTAAAATAGTATTAGTTCATCCAGTGTCAAACAAAGCCTTCATGTGTTCGTTCATCTTAAAAAGAACACATAGATGATTACATAATTTATTTTTTTTACATATGTTATTTCATCTAAGTAATTATTTTGTATGAAAACTATAATTGAACATAATTTATAAATAAAGATTGGTTCGTCATTAATTTTTGTAAGTGCACAATAACCTTAACAGAATCAAGATTTTGAAATAGTCTCTATCACTATATAAAATGTCTCATAAAGATATATCTATACACACGATTAGCTATGTTATGCATTTCTTATCAGACTGTTATCAGTAATAATTTGATTGTTTAGATCCAAATAATGTAACTGTACAATCAATACACATTTTTAAACACTCATTCGGGAAAATTGGATAAATATTTCAACAAAACCCATGTGTTTAGTTTTTGGATATCTAATCTTAATAATTGAAAAAGATTGTAATGTGAATAAGAAAAAATTAATTAATTAATATGATACAGACCTAAAGGTTTGGTAATTCATAAAAATAAATAAATATTTTAACATTCATGCTACATTAAGCAAAAATCAAAAACATTTTGATGAGAACATCAACGTTTAATCTCAATACGAAAATCATCACTATTAATAGATGTGTAACATTGTTTGACCTAACAATAACTAATTGTATATTATAATTAAAATGTATAATTTTTTTCCTTACAAATCTTAAATATGTATGAGGCTATTAAAAATGGAAAATTTAGTAATAATTTATAAAAGTAAGTAGGTAAAAAAAAATATTACTTAAAATATCAATTCTATTAAAAATACTCACTTTTAATCATTGGATTAACTCGAGCATAGCAAACTGAAAATAAACCGCAAGCCGATGTACGTGAAGTGAACCAATCACCTGATGCCAGTCTAATAACAAGACTAACAAAATGATTTTCTAGATCAGCTGGCGAATGCAATACTGCTATTTGACGTAGTGACTCTACTGCTTTATCCCTAACAACAGTTTCTTCTACAGTAGCCAATGATTCCAATGGAGGCTGCAAAATACATTATCAATAGATATATATTTTAACTGACAAGAAAAAGAAACAGTTTTATAATATATTACTAATAATGTGTATGCAAAATCTGGTCCTCCAACATAATTGGTGAAATTTCCCAATTGTTCAGCAAGAGCCAACAATACTTCGTCTTCATCATAAATTGTTTCAGTCAAAAATGGAATAAGTTCTACTCTAGTGCGCTCAACACCAAGAGCCAAAGCAATTGTAGAAAGTTTCTTGATAGAATTTAAACGTAACTGTATAAATTAAAATATGAATACAATAAATAATATTATTATAAGTTAAATAATGGCTTAATACAATGGTTGTAATAGGTAAACTCGATAACCATAAGTAATTTTTTTAATAATTTAAAATATGACTAATACCTATTTATTACAAAATTGACATTCAATTTACAAAGTTAACTTATTCAAAAATAACATAATAAATGCATATGGAAAAATAATTTATTGTTTTATTATTATTATTTCCATGTTAAATTATTATATTATACATAATATTACAATATATAATAAATATAAGGGTGGATATTACAAAATGACAGTCCAAAAATAAAATTTCTAATAAATAGTTTATCTATACTACCATATATTATCAACAATATTACTTAGACTACTGTTATTTTTGCATATTTTTAATTTCAAAACTTAATGATTGACAATATAATTAAAAAAAATTAATAAAATAATTTATTGGTACCTACAATAAGTATTGGAGGGAAAATATGATACTGAATTAATAAAATTAGTACTGTTTAGAAGGAAATATTTTTATATCTTTCGAAACGGTTTTAAATAGGTTTACATTAATAGGATTTTGATAGCACATAAATACTACTAAATACAAGTCAGTGGTGTCATATTATTTATCAGTGGATTTTACTATGCTACTTCACTGGCTCCCATTATTTTTCTACATTTAATGTCTGGACCATTCTAATAGGGTTAACAAAATTATAAATCTGCTTAACTGTACCCAGCATCACTTATTTTTACTGAATGTACCTACCTACATTATAATATACTGTATAACAAAATGGTAGGTAAATTCTCATTCTATGAAGGCAGTCCGAATATATTAAATCACCCATTCCGTAATTTATATCCTATGCCTGGTAAACTACAGACCTGTACATCTTCGTTTTTCAATTCATCAATGAGTACAGCGATCGGATACAAAGATGTATCTTCGGACGCTGGCTCGCCGGACGGCAAAGTAGTTGCAGCCATTGATCGTCGGTTTGAGAAAGTCGTCGGATTCAGAGACCTGTGCGCGTACACAATACACAGTGACGATGTTTACTAAAATAAAATAAACCTTAAAACTAAAATAAAATAAAAACCTATCAAATCGGATAGCTAAAAAAATACACGAGAATCAAAACAAACGGGATACAGCCGATACAAGGGACTGGGGAGACGTCCATTTTGATTAAATATATTCATGGAATAACATGACTGGCAGTAATTGAGGTTATTTTCATGGCAAAAACGGTATAAAGCAAGGCTGTTAACACAAACAAGACTCGCCTTCAAAATGTTTGGTCTTATGATTTCACTATTCAAGTACATACTATGCAACTCTTGTATGCGCTTTACAATTTATTCTATACATTACGAATGTATGTAAATATGCAATGTACATGATTATTTAAAAATGCATTTTATAAATATCATAGATAAGGAATATTATCTTAATAATTTTATAAAATATGAATGAATGGCCACTAGAAACTAAGAAGATGGTAAACGTGCATTTTAATGACCATGAACAACCTTCTCTAGCGGAAAACATAAATTGGTTTGTAACCACAGATATATATAAAATGCCAATCTTTTATATATATATATATATATATATCTGACATCTGTGTAACATGGTCATAAGCTTTATTTTGTATGTTTGGAATTTCGATTATTATAATATTAATCATAACTGTTAATAAAATGTATACAATATTATATTATGCCCATGGTTAAATATATTTAGCCATGATTATACCTGCAATATGCGTGAAATGAGCATTCTCATGTAGAAATTTATGATTAGTAATAATCCAAAAACATAATTTTTAGCTAAGAGTACTATCAATTGCCATATCAGACCAATGACTATTACTAGATGACGTCATTGATATGAATCTAATTTTTTTTTTTCAATCCGAACATGCATTCATTAATCAATTATCATTTTTCAGTGTCAGGCCTACTTACCAGCAGATGATTATAGCTGAACAATTAAGGGGTCTCAAAATTATCAATAAGATATAAAAATATCATTCAAAATGAAAAATATGTGTACGTTTTTAAAAAACTTTGATTTATTACCTAATGAACAAACATCTACTAAAATTTAAAAACAAAACTATTTATGGTAGTAAATTAAATGAAATTCTAAAAAATAAAAAGGAATTCAGAAAAAGTTAATAAAGTAGAAATACCACATTATAAAGGTAAGACATTTTTTATTTGCACATAGCATATTAAATCATCATAAAATTACGGTAGATAAAATATTCATGGTAGAAACTTTATTGAACAAGTACCAAATATTCTTATATTGTTTATTAATTTATTTATTTCCATTTAAAATTTTTTTCAGATTTAAGTCATTTTTTTGCAAGAACGGACATTTTCCAAAATAAATTTGTTTTGCGCATTAAATTTAAAAAAAAAAATAACAATTTTAATTATTTCCTATTTCCAGAAAAACACAATTTTAAATAAAATTGTTTGAAAACAAATGTGAAGAATCACATAAATATATTATTATCACCATTTCCTCATTAATATTTGTATTAATAACAACTAAATAAACATTAAACAAAATAATATTACTTTTGAACTTACATAGCCAGTCTTGTAGTAAAACTTAAATAAAAACATTTTTATTTAGTTTTTATTAAATCTTTAGAAAAATAAATAATTGATGTTAGTTAACTGGTATTTATGAGAAACTAAAAAAAAGTTAATTTTAAGAACATTTGACTACCTATAGCATTCCGTTTTCATCCTCTATTTTGCTAATATTTTCATTAAAAATATTATAAAAGTTGTGTGCATCAGGTAGTAAGTACTGTGAGAAATGTTAATAAATGCCCTACGTCTTTCTATTTAGGTCGTTTAACATGATTGATTTTTGGTAATTTTTTAGTTGAACCTACTTTCCAAATTAGCTTGCTTTTATTACATTTACTCATATTGGTTCCACTTCATACGATGGATTTAATCCATATTATTTTTATTCAGTATTTTTAAAATCAATTTTTTTTATAACATATTTAGATGATAAGCCATGATAGTATAATTCTTCTCAAAAGTTTTTATTGTAGTATTTTTTTAAACACTATAGTATTTATTTAGTTGTCATAAAAAGGTTTCCATTTGTCTCAACTTCTTTTTGATTCAACCAAATCTTTGGTCATGTGGAATATAGTTGTATCCATGTATGAGATTTTAGTATTTAATGTCATTGCCAATGTAAAATAAATGCCAAATAAAATTACCAAAATAGTATAATAGTAAGTATTGTAAGTATTAATAAAAATGTCATAGTATAAATATTAGGGTGCTACTTATTTTTGAAGAGTGTTGGAATTTGTTCCAATGCATCTAAAAATAGTGTGTAAAGTTTGAGGTTGATCAAACATAGTTAACACGTGGGGACTTAAGACAGTTTTACTAAAAAACATAAAATGGCACGATTTGTCACATAACTACTTAAAATTTTATTTTACAAAAAATTGTATAGAATCATTGTAGTTCAAATTAATTTCTAAATTTAAATTTAATCTTAATGTATTTAAACAATGATAACAATTGGGTTATTTTATATCTTAATTATAAGCAACTTAAAATCGATAGAGTACCTAATGTCATTTAACTTGTTCATAAACGTACATATATTGAGGATATTGAGTTATTAGTGTTGTTATAAAGTATTATAGTATTAGCGTTTTTTTTATTTTATTTTTTTTTTTGAAAAGTGCATTTATTTTCATATTTATTATATAACATATTATCCACATATATTTTTAAAAATACCTAATTGTAATTTTGTATTTTGGATGTAAAAATCATATTTGTGAAGTAGTTTTAGCAATAGTTTTTACAAGATATAATATTTCTTTAATTTCTGGGCCAGATATACCTTTAATTAAACAATTTAAATCAAGATGGGTTGAAATAAACTATAACTATTTACCAGGAAACATCGATGAAGAAGTTATTATTTATATGTTAGGAAATGATTACAATACTGCACTAGATTTTGAAAATTGTACAATATTGATCACATTACCGAGAAACAATTATAAAGAGTTCTTAGAATTTATCATAATTATTTTAGGTGGTATTCTTTCTAATGGAATACAATTTAAAAAGCCTGGAGCATATCACTTGACAAGATAGATAACTAAAGCAATTTATTTGATTAAAATATATTTATTTCGTCTAGTCATTTGAAAAAAAAAAAAAAAATTCTATTACAATTAATTTTATTTATTATGAAATGTTATTTTAAGTATTGGTTTTCTTCAAAAAAAGCTCACAAAGCTCCATTAAACAATATTCAATTTTTGAGAAAATTATACGATTATAAAATAAGTCGTGTTTTCATTATTTGATGAAAGAGTAAATAATGATGACAAAAAAAAAAAAAATTGAATCAAGTAATTCAAGACGGAGATTCGCAACGAAGATGATACATCAAATAAATTAATATTAAAAAAAAAAGAGAGAACTTGGAACAATTTTTAAAAAATGAAGATAATAACATTTTAGTTAAGCTTGGGGATAAATCAATGAAGTTTTTCGAAAAATTAAAAATTTCAACAGGATTTTTAAAATCACAACCTAAAACACGGAATGAGGTAATTATTCATTTTATTACAGACCATTCCAGATTAATGTAAAAAATATCCCAAAAACACTACATTGGAAGTCACGAAGAAATCATTTAACGATTATCAAACTACTGTTTGATAAGTATAAATCTGAATTGTATGTTAATATTTTATTTGAAAACATTTAATTATATACCTTTTCCATGCATTAAATAAACCTATAGACAATATATTATATATGATTGATCTACTCTGTTGATAAGAGAGGAGACTTGCGACCTGGGCCCCCGTAAGAGCGAGTAAAAGAACCGACAAATATTTTGGCCGATAATTATTTCGGTCGAACCGTGTATTACAAATGTACAAAAATCACAACTTTACTGTTAGTCAAAGAATGTCTGTTGGGCAACGCTCAATTTTACAGTAGTACAATTTGAAAATGAACATTCACCGAGAGCACTGGGAGGCGCGGTTAGTCCGAACGGATTAAGAGAGACAGGTTGATATTTATCCTAGTGTAAGAGAATCAATTTGCACACCGAAGACAGCCAATTAAAACGCTCAGTTTATTATCTCAAAAGTTTCTGTCCTCGAAATGAAACTCCATCCACTGGAATACGTTTTCATGCTGAAATGTTCCGTCTGAATGTATAAGTTTAGGTTAGATTATAATACACCGGTTCTCGCACTAAATATTTTGGTTGAAGTAAATAAAATTAAAATGACTGTCCTAAAATTATCCAATGTGACCATAAACCGTCATTTGATTTTTTTCAGGAGCGGCGTTTAGATAATTACCTATTAATTTAATCTACAATAGTTTATCTAACGTATGATAAAATTTAAAACAGTCCATGTGGCCACATTGGACAACTTTAAGACGCCCATTTTAATTATGTCTCAAAAAAAAAGAAAGTAAAATACGTGTGATAACAGTCGAACTGGGCTCACCGGAAAGCACGAATTAAGATGTATAGGATGTCGAATGATTGTGTAATAGACACGATTTAAGATTTACTGGTTGTCCAACGGGGCACGGGCCATGAAATTGTGACTAAAATATTACTGGGATGATAAAACAATTCTGTAGCGCTTGCAGACCGCAGTGGAATATGTATGTACTATATTATATCGCAATTCACAAAATATATTTGTGAATGTGAAATTTTCAATCATTCGTGACTACGATTTACGATTATATTTATAACTAAAACTTCAGTCACAACTAACAATCTAAAGTACAAAATTAATACAATAAATATGTATATTAAATTATAATATTTTATTCAAAACAATCATTACTATTAATACTGGTGATGTGATGTGTATTCTCGAGAAACTTAGACTTAATTGGAACTGCGATTTCACGAAGCTTTGGACGTCTTAAAGAAATTTGACCTTTTTTTTTGTTTTTTTTACAGAATATTTAGTTTTATTATTAAAAAAATAAAGAAAATGTAATTTTCTGTGATCAACACAAAATAATAAACCAATCAAATAATTAATATGTATTTACATTTATGTAATTAAATAACACAATTATGTTATTCCTTGTTCAGATACCCATGTGTTTAAAATGCCATCATTTTTAAATGGTGTCGACGTATTCTAAAATTTTCTCCTAATGTAACACCTAAAGCTTTTTCCCATTCAACCTTTTAAGGAATTTTCTTTGGTACCCCAAACGTACTGGTCTTTAAACATTTATAAGAGCAGACAGATAAACAATACGACATGATTTTTTATGTAAAACCCAATACCTATTATAATTTATAATGTAAAAATACTTTAGAACGTACATTATCAGTTATGAGATTGGGCACAAGGCAAAGTACGGAGAAAATAACACGCGTTTGTATAATTTCTTATCGGAGTATTTCTTTTATATAATACGCAATTATCAACGTGCGTTAAGAATTATATTTGTTCAAATATAAGTGGGCACACGCGCACAAAGTACGGACGTGTTTAAGTGAACAAAACTTCAACCTGAAATTATTTACAAAACGTTCATACTGAAATTATCGCGTTGGACATTTTCTTCAATTTCTCTCCAAAATGGCAAGTATAAACAAACAGCTGTTAATTAGCGAGATCAAAAAATATGAAATTTTACGGAGTACAACTGATGAATACTGATTGGATGAACCCTATGTTTTGTTTTAGTGTGTAAATACACCAAAGAACTCAAAATAAAAACATCATTGGTATCCATCGATAAAAATCGTAAAAATTAATCGAATTACACTACCACTAATCCAGTGGTATAGTCGTAAATATTGTTTTGGGTATACAGAATACACCTATATATTCTGAAATATATTTTACGTGCGGGGAGGTTTTGCTCCCCCCACAATGCTGTACAGGAATTTTTTATGGGGAGGAGTTACCCATAATACTTTCATATTATAGTTAATTTGAAAAATAACTTACATTTATATACTTTCCGTGTTGTAAGGGGGGGGGGGGTCAACCCCTAATCCTTCTCCGTGTCTACTGCCCTACCCCCTCCATATAACAATTAACTTATTATATATTCACTTGAAAAAAATTATTTAGATTTGAAAGATTTTATTATATTAAATGTAATAAATTACAAGCGTATACTATCCGTGCCTAATCTATTAAAATTATGTAAAATAGATACATAAATATACTAAACGTTGTCAGTCGTCACACAAACACAATTTGTCCATATGTACTACTTACGTCCTGCGTAGTATTCAATGTTTATAGTTTATTAATAACTTCCGATGATAAATAAATAAGCCACGCGAAAATCGCGAAGTTTTTCTTAAATTTCTTAACGTTCGAAGTTTTCCTATTCCTTATCATTTTATAGTTAATGGTTCTCTCGGAGTGATGAGATTAAAAAAAAAAAAAATTGGAAATGTTCAAATTAATAGTTATATATATTATGGTCATCATCAAACAGTCTACGATCGAATACCCGCGTATTTGTATTATATTCTTTCCTACGCGCATTTAAGAATTTTAGCGTTTCGGGTACACGCCGTATACCCGCGTATACCCTCCACTACGCCAGTACACCACTGCCAATACGGCTATACGCAAATAAGTGTTATACCAATTAAAGGTACTTCCACCTAAAATACTTTTCACTTTTCCTTGTTCCTGCCCGACGTGGTTTTACACAACAAATCGAGGGTTGTTTTCGATTAAAATTGGTCGAGTGAGCACAGCGAGCGAGTGGCCACCACGAGCCTTCAGTTCCACGTTTTTAATTTTCCTTGCTGCTTACCCGACGTGATTTTGTTGCACAAGACCGGTTATCATCTATAAATAATTTGAAACAATATTTTTTTCTGCGTTGGTGTAACTACATTTTTAATTCAACTGTTGTTTCTTAACGTTGGCGTTCGTGCAGACTTATATGTTTACGTTTTTCTGAAAACTGAAAACAAAACTTTATTCCATATTAGTTTGGACAAATTCGCGCACGCGTAATTGCCGCCGGAACGGTCGAACCGCTATAACTGGCTGTCGGCCTCTCTCGTTTCTCGTTGCGATCGGGCGGCCGATCATAGATATACATAGTTATATACATATCATAGTTATACATAGAACAATTAATACATTAATTACACAGAACTTGTTAATAGGTTCGTATGGGTACGTATGGTATACGCGGAGTGCGAAGTGTTTTGATAATACAGCTCATTACGTATGTTCGTTGTTTTTGGGAGGCTGGTCGACAACAGCATTCACCGTCGGCAACGCACGTGCCCCACCTGCGCGAACAATAACGCGTTTGCGTCGTAATTTTCCCGAACTAATATGGAATAATAGAGTATATCCGCGTAAAACAATGGTTTCTATATCTGTGGTACTACCCAATACCCACAAAAGAAATATAAATACTCAACTTCAAGACGGTTATAATACGGAAAGAGTTTAGAATTTTTTTTGGTTTCATATTTTATTACAAAAGGTAACGTTAAATAAAATTAATACTCTTTTAAAAGTCAGCCAGGGTGTAATAAGAAAAGGCAGCACAGACAACTTAAGAGAATAATATGAAGTAGGTATAATTTTGTTGAGAATCTTTAAATTATTATATAATTATTTGATTTATTGTTTTAGATTTCCATTTATTGTATAATTTTAGACATGTGATTGGCATGACAAAGCAGTCACACAGCCGCAACAATTACTGGTAAAGGTGGGTTAATTATTATTTCAGGTCATAGCGCCAGTTCCACTTTAGCCTTCTTAATGGATTTTCTAGAATAGATTTGAAGTTAAAAGCAAAAATTAGTTGGTTAGAGTGATTGAATGGTTTGTGCGATGTAGACGGGTATGGTAAAATAAGTAAGTAATTTTTGTTGATTTTTGAACTGTATGAATTTCTAAGTCTGGATGCAAGTTGTGATTTGAAATAGAAGGTCTGGTACATGCAGTTATTCGTAGTGAAGTTGATTGGAATGTTTAAATTTTACAATGACAAACGGTCCAGTTTGAAGATCTAAAATTATAGGAACCATAAATGTCTACTTAATTATAGATTATTATATTTAAAAATTCTAATGTAAAATTACTAACTAATTGTTAATACAAAATAATTATAAAAAAAATTGTATTTTTTTTTATTTTTTGAGGGGTATTTTGCTAATATTTCCATACTAAATATTTTAATCCGAACCCTAGTTTTATAACTATATCCTGTTTAAAAAAAATTTCATTTCCAACATGTCTATGTTAAGAAATTACATGTCTAATATGTCTATGATCTTGACCAATGCTACCTGGTGGGGATGCGGGCCACCGAATGAAAACTGATCACCAAAGTGGTATGTTCTCTTTTGAAACAGGATTTAGGGTCCAGATTAACATTAAGTAGTTAATAACTTAAACTTAACTTTATATGAATCACTATATTAAATATATTACCTACATCCTCCAAATATACTTGTAATGTAAACTTTAGTTGAGCATTTGTTTTATTCTTAGGTAAACCAAAAAGAAATGTTGAATTCAAATTCCTTACTAGTATGGAGTGATGTGGATGATATGCAAACTATTTATCTTTCTTCTTTAATTATCAATTCTTGGTAAATTAGAACATTTATTTGTACATAAAACTCTTTCATTATCTTGGTTTTCATTAAATACTATTAGTTATACTTTATTGTAAACAGTGAAGAAACAAATAACGAAACTAATCAAATTGAAGTAGACCATTCCATGAAAATCCCACCTGAATTGATGGAAAAAATTGTTTGTTATCTAGATGGAATTACCTTGCTCAAATTCAAATTATTATCAAAAACATGCTATGATATTGTCAAAAATGCGCTTAAGTACAATAAACTTTGGAGACAAATTTGTCTGAATGAAATACCAAATAAATATTTTATTGATCTGTTGAATAGGCAATTCAATAAATATATTCCATTAGATTCCCTTTCAGAAATTCAATATGAAAGGTTATACAAACATTGGCTTCAATGGCAAAAAAGTGTTCTTAATACAACACTTATAGGAGAACAAAATTTTTTATGCCTTGAGGAAATAAAACAAATTATTTGTTATAAGTGTAACATTTTAATTATATTTTTAAATCATACATGCTTGTTTTCACTTATAAAAAAAGAGAATACAACTGATGATTATATAATTAAAGAAAACCAATCAGTATCCCGTAATTTACTTAAACTATTTAAGTTAAATCCTCAACCACAAACAAACAAAAACGGCGAAGAACTTGATCCATTTATTTCTTACCACCAAGATAATGTCAATGCATGCCCGTTACATAACACAGTTCATACAATACATATTAGAAACGTGAGGGATGTTTACACAGGCAAACTTATCGATGTAGATGCTAACATTTATACAAATTTATGCTGTTGGGTCAGAGAATCATGGTATGAATGGCATTCAAATATAAAGTCAAACATCAATGGACATTGTTGTCATCAATTAAGTCGCACTTTATTTACATCTGTGGTGCATGGAGTGATCATTGGTCGAATTCATCGGAATAGCATTATATTCCATAACATGTTTAAAGACTTGTGCATGACAGTTCATCTATGGTTGGATCATAAATATATTGCAGCTACTGCTGTATATATATATACAAATATTTTATTCATAGGTACTCAAAATGGGTACTTATTGGCATTTCGTTTGAAATGTTGGGATGATTTAATAAATCTTAAAAAAGAGAATATGTTATTAGAAACCCGTTTGAACATTGGGCAGATTGTAAGGTTAAATATCATAGACTTTAAGAATATCCAAGCCATAATAGTTGCAACAACAGCAAGTGTTTTTTGGTTTAAATTAATTTAATACATAAGATGTATTCTTTAACTATTTTGATTTGTTTAATAAATTGTAAAAATTAAAAATAATTTACACTTTAAGACTATAAATTATGATTTAAAAAAAATCATGTATTGTTATCAATAAAATATAGGTTTCATTTATGTTAAAAAGCATCAATTATGTTTTACATAGTCATGTATAATTTAAACTTTTCAAATATGAATATATTTTTTCTATGGTTATTATTATTATTGTGTTTTTCTTTGAAAAGATAATTGGCGCCACTGAACAGATTTGTGTGGGGGCCTAAGAGTTCACAATTTATAACAAGAAAAATAATACATTCCTAATAATAATTTAAAATCACAGTAGTTATGATGTTATGGTTATAATCTAAGCATAGACAGGTATTATTAATGAGTATTTACTTTGTAGAGTAATTTTTACTATACCTGTATGTATTAAGCTTAAATTAAATTCATATTTGTTGGCTAATTTTTAAATTCCCCAGTTTTCTTTTTTTTTCTATGCTACATTTATTTATATCTTTTATATATTTATTTTTATGATTATTTATATATTTTATTTAATTTCTTTCTGAAATTACTAATTTTAAGTTAAGAACACTAGCACATACAGTCAAATCACTTGTCAGCAAACATGGTAGTTAACACCATTCAGGTAATAATAGTTATTAGTTTACTTTTTTACTGGACAATTCTTAAATAATTAAGGTAAATGGGTAATACCCATTATAAAGAACATCTAGCTGCTATAAAATTAAATATAATTAAATTTTAATTTGTATACTTTATTTTCATACAAAACTATATTTTTGATTTTTTCCCCCCATTTGTGTATTTAAATTGAATTTATACATTTATTCTAAACCTAATGATATGTACAGGGTTTTCTACAATGTTATCCAAATGCTAATAACTGTCAATATTAATGTTTTTTAAAAAAAATCGGGTTTTGTGTTTGGAAGACAAATGTATAGAAAAATTAAATTTCCTTTTTTCATCCCTTAATCAATGAAAACAAAAAATTATTTTGTAAAATATATTATTCTAAAAATTTGAATACATCATTCATTCATAACTGATAAATAGTTGTTTAGTTATAGCCATTTACATTTCAACATTTTTTATCTTTTATTACGACTATGATTCTTTATCACATAATGTGGTAGTCTCGTTTTTCACACTTTTCAAGTAATATTAAGCAAATTCTAATAAACTATTGTTTACTAGTTTATAAACTAAAGTTATTTTTTTTTTTTCAGTGATTAAGAGATTTAAATAGGAATTTAATTTTTCTCTACGTTTGTACCCCCTGACACAAAACACGATTGAAGGAAAACTGAATGTTAGGAGAATTATTAGCATTTGGAAAACACTGTAGGAAACCTTTATAATATATAGATATTACGAAAGCTTTCACCATTAACAATTTTAAATTTTAATGACCAACACCAATTATTGTATTTTGATGATTTTGATATCTGGTAATGATTCTGGCCTTAAAATCAACTGTGCACCTATTATAATATCATCTTGACTTCCTAATGTTTCAATTTGCATTTGTCTAATAACAGTTGATATCACAGTTTTCATTTGATGCATAGCATATTTTTGTCCTAAAAAATAATTTAATTCTATTAGAAATAATGAAATTATTAAATAATTTAACTGTTTTAATTTATTTTTAATTGAATATAAATCAATAATAATTACCAATACAATTTCTTGGACCAGCACTAAATGGTATATAAGCATAAGGATGCCTATTGCAACTATTTTCTGGTAAAAATCTATCTGGGTTGAAAGTTAATGGATTTGGATATAATTTGTCTTCACGGTGAAGTAAATATGGAATCACACCAATTACTGTTTGTGATGGAATTTTATATTCCCCTAAAATAATTAGTAAATTTATTAATTTAAACATCCTGAAAAATGTAGGGATGTAGTAAATAGTTTTTCCTTTATCTATACTTATATAATTGAGTAATGAATTTAGTAAACAACTTACTAATGTTAAGACACTGTCTAAGTGTCCTAGTAACACCTGGAACACTTGGGTATAATCTTAAAGTTTCTTTTATTACTCGTTCTAAATACGTCATAGATTTAAGGTCTTCCATTGTAGCATCTCTATCACTATCACCAAATATTGAATATAATTCTTCCCTTACAGAATTCTAAAATCCAAATTCATCACACACATATAGGTAGGTATGTTTTTAAAAATTCTACCATAAAATAATATTTACTTGTACATCTTGATGCAATCCTAAAAGTATTAAAGCCAGTGTCATAGCAGTTGATGATGTGTCATGTCCCTCAAAAAGAAAAGTATCCACTTCTTCTCTGATATCCAAGTCGGTCATTATTTCTGGATTCTGTTTTGATAGTCCAATTAGTAAATCTAAAAATGATTCTACTCGTTTTTTTCCTATAATAATTTATCATTCAAATCATTTATTTATTAATACTTATTTATAATCAATATAATAATAAATTGTATTTAAATAGTGCAATACCTTTTTTAATTAATATGATAATATAACATATTAATATTTAATAATGGGATTATAATTATACTTAAAAATGTCATTTAAAATTTATTATAACTATATATTTGTCTATTTATCCATCAAGATATATATCAAAAATTTCATTTATAACAAATCATAAAACAATTAAACCATCATTTTAAATATATGTATTTATTAAATATTTGAACTACAGAATTTCTATTGATATGAAAAAATTAATAATTATCTTTTTACCATTCTCATTTTGTTTTCAGGACTAGTAGTCTACAGGTAAAATATCTACTTTTAAGTCTTTTTGAGAATGTCTACAATATTATTGTTCATAATAACTAAATCATTAATAATATAATATAAGATGCGCAGTGTTTGAATATTGCTCTACTATTCTTCCCCTATCTAAACTTAAAAGTGGAATATCTTGTGAAAGGGTTGATGGAAATCAAAAATGTTAACATAAAAATGTATTTAAACCTATACTCAATCTTTATATGAAACTTTTAACCATTTTAAAATCAAAAACTGGTGTTCGTTTAACCGTTTTAATTCGTTTCAAAATAATTAGGAAAAAACCAGAAACAAAATTATAGGGAAACGGCAAATATTTACCGTGTTACTGATTTCATTGGTTTTAATTTGTACGCACTACGTTTTATACTAAAAATATTGCGTCAATCAAAAAATTCCAAAAGGCCTTTTTTTAGCAGTTTGGATTTAGTTGCTGAAAAAATAGGTCGTTATTTAGTCTTAGGTAGGTTTTATAATACTTAGGAAAAATAAGTACAATTCCATCATTCATTATTTCATTATTTTAAATTTGTACAATTTATGTTTTCTACTAGAAACATTGCTACAATCGAAAAATGACAAGTAACGTATATTATTGTAGTCTGGAATTAGTTAATTCAAAGAAGTTTTTTGATTTTTTATAACGATTTTAAAATCATGTATAATTGAAGTTCGCTCAGAATCTTTTATCTTAGCATTAGTTTATAGCAATTACTTTATGCCTACTACCTCTTACTTATTAAATTTAGTATAAATAAATTACCAATACTTATTTCTTCGGTAGTTAAAGAATTAACAGTTTCAAGTTTATATCGTTTTTCTCTTATAACCTGAAATTGAAAAGAGATACTATTAATTTAATATAGTTTTTATTCTTCATTATATTTAACTTTTTATGTAGATATTATAATTTTAATTAGTAAAAATGTTTCTTTATTCTTACGTTTTCAGTAAATGTGTGTAAAATTTTAAGAGATTTCTTAAAGTCTCTTCCGCTTTGACTAAGACGAAAAATATAATTATTCCAAAGCCAAAATTTGAAAATACGTTTAATCATAACATCAGTTACTCTAAAGCAAATAAATGTTTTATTCATTAATTTTTAATTTTATTAACATAAAAATGTGATTGTACGTACCTATAAATAGCTTTAACATATTCCATAGATCTGCCCTCTTGGGATCGCAATTCAGTTCCCATTATTGTTTCTAATACATAAAAGTTGTATCAATATAGGTGAGTAGTAGCGTAACTTTGAGTAATTTGTAAGTAAGGTAAACAAGAAATAGATTTGTTGTATGTTGGAACGGGATGGTATAGCTTTCCCCAATTGCCAGATTTAATAAAAGACTGAGTACTTATAGAAATACAGCACTTGTCCCTTTAGGGGAACCTTTATTTTTACATATGATTCAGTAAACTACTAAACAAACAATTATAGGTTACTTACCTATACCCTGTCCAACTTAAGAGTATACCCGTTTACGCATAATTCTGTAGTCTGTACACCACGCGCTGTCGTCGTCATCACCGCCGTCATGTATACAGTGAGTTAAAATGTCTATAATACCTATCGCCAAATAAATCGTAATATACATGCAAACCTATACTGTTTCAATTAAATTAACGGGAGTTATAGAAAAATTGCATTACTTAAAACGTAAATTGTAGCGTTTATTTAAATTAAAACATAGCATTTGTGCGAGAAAATACGTGTACGCGGTAAGGCCGTTAAAACAAAATGTTATCAATATATTGTTCTCTACGTATGTCGTATACCATGTATATTGGCGGTGGCGAGAATGATAGGCGGGTGAGTGGATGAGCGGTACCGGTAACCGAGAAAGGGAGCACATCCGTCGTCGGGTATAATCTTAAGTTGGACGGGGTGTTTTTATATATTTTACTAATTATAAGTGAAAATTGTTTCAAGTTATATTTATTGTATTTCTGGACTAACCACTAATAATATCCAAAGCACATAATGTCATGTAAGAATAAAGAGACACCCGTTGACCGCTAGATACCATCTTTCCCAGTTCTTTTGTCAATAGTTTAGCATGTTTGTTAAACGTGGGAATATACGTTTCTAATATTTTGAAATGGAATGTGTATGTTAATAGCTTTCTTCTTGAATGCCATTTTTGATCTGTATTATAAAAACGTATAATTTGTTATGATTAAATATAATATATTAATAATTATTAAATATTATGATTGGCTTTTAAAATGTGTACTTCCGCTTGTTAGAAGCCCTTTATTTAGCCAAGGCTTAAGCATCCCATATTCAGGTCCTTTGTTTATATGTTGTGAACTAGATAACAAAGCCTGGTAAACATATTAATTTGATACTTCAGTAAATATTATTAATAATAGTAAAACATAAAACAATTATTTAAATACTTTTATATCGTCTGGATCGTTTAATAAAACGTATGAACGACCCAATACATTCATATAAACCATAGGTCCATATTGTTTTAGAACTTTGGCAAAATATGGTAGGACATCTAAAAATCCAAAAAAATATAATTTAAACATAATATAATAAGTAATTAATAATAAGTAATTAAAACCAATATTATTATTATTTTAATTTATCATTTTTAAATTGCTAAAAAAAACATATTATTTATATTAGATTAATCATATTTCATAATAATGAATAATACCTAACAATAATAGAATTTAAAAGGAACAGGTACCTAAATAAAGCTAAGCCATATTATAAAAATCTTAAGTGTATATTGGTAGTTAAGTATAAACAATTACATTAGATAACCTATATTACCTGCCCTACTTATAGTTAATTTAACAAAATAAATCACAAAAAGAATTATATTCAAATTAAAAATAATGTCCAATCTAGAATCCTGAGAATAACTATCATTATAAAGGATGACTTTTTATCATAAACCAGCAATTATCTCAGAGAATTTTAAATGAATTTTAATTTCTGTTTTTTTTTTAATCATTATAGAATCGTTTGGGCTTTATTTTAAAACCATTTTTAAAATTTACCCCTACTCCATATACATTAAATAAGTACATATTTTTGATTTTTAAATTCTTACCCCTACCCACTTTTAACACAAATTTGAGTAGAGAATATTTTTCTAAAAATTTTAATATACAAAACACTAATATCAGATACACCGTTTATGAGTTATAACAGTTTAAAGTTTAGACCGGAGGAATAAGAAAGGGTTATTGATAGGCAATTTATTACAATTAAAAATGGTTTTAAAAATAAAGTTTAAACGATGCTACAATGATTAGAAAAAACAGAATCAAATTAACTTAAAATCCTCCAAGATAATGGCTGATTTATAATAAAAAAATCACTCTGTATGTATATAAAATATATATATATAAATGAATCATTCATTCATCAATGTTGTAAGTAAAATTAGATATTTTTTCGACAAAATGAAAATAATTAGGAAGGGAATTTAATTTCACGCTCCGTTACTCGTTAATAGAATCAAATGTTTTCACGCCTATTTCGTATTATATAAATATAATTTTTAAACAATAAATAATAACCTTATATGTAAGTATTTCTAAACAAATTGTGAAATTTGAATACAATAGTTAATAATGGTAAGGGTTGGAGTTTAAAGTGATAGTTTATAGTATATAAAATGGATAATATTTGTCTAAATTAGATAAAACTAGGGAATCCAAAATATAAAAACAGATTTGTCGTTTAGTCGAAACTAAAATCACCAAACATAAAATGTATAAATTACTAATTTACCACATGTACACACATTTTAAAATCAATGCTAATAGTATTTATACAAATGTTTATTTATTTAGAAATCAATTGGTTTCACATGTTTTTCTTCGTTTTTTCTTCCATTAATACTTGTTCGTTTTTTTTAAGATTCGGAGCGTAATGAAGGATCTATTGGTTTTACTATGATGTGTATTTTTTTTAATTTAATTTTTCTGTCTGTCAACAACTTTTCGAAAAAAAATCTTTCTTCAATGTATATATTATAGTATATTTTTTCTAAAAATTAATTTTATTGAATTTTATAGCTGGTGCGTTAGAAAGATCATTTTATGATTTTCTATAGGGTTTTCGAAATAAATAGGAAAACCCCGAAAGAAAATTATAGGTAAAACGGCAAATATTTATTACACGCTGTGTGCCGCAGCGTTACCGTCACTAACAGAGAAAGTCGTTTTTTAATATCCAAAGTATTTTAGTTTCTGAGTGGAACGAGGAATATAATGGTTTTACAATGATGTTTATTATTTATTGTTTTTATTTTTTTTTTTATGTGAACACTTTTTTGACCAGAAAGCATACTCCGATTATCAAGTAAAGCACATTTTCTGAAAGGAAATTTTCTCTGGGTGATACTATAGAAAGGTCATTTTTGAAATTCTCATAAATATTTAAGATAATGAGGAAAACCTCGGTCTTTAGGTTAAAAAATATTGAAAGATTAAAAATAAGGTTATCATTGGTAAGCGTTTTTGTTTATTTTTTGTTATTATTAAGTTTTTATTATTTTTAACTTTTTTAAACAATAATTGTTGTCATGGAAACGCGCATTGTTTTAATTATTTTACCATAATATGATATTATAATACCATGTATAGTATTGTTGACAAAGCAACATTATCAATTAAACTCGACTCTGAATCGTTTTTTCATTAGCAATGAAATATCGTTGATTACAGATATACATTAAATTCCTGTCTGTATCCTACCTTTCCTACATTCCACCTACAACAGTGGCTACACTCACATGCGAAGTATGACCATCCTTTTTCATAATAATTGAGAAAAACAAGAACAAACAAAAAAGACAAAAATACGTTTTTTTTTTTTAATTATAGCACAACGATTAAATTATTTTAAACTTGTCTGGCTTATATTTTCCACCAAAAATATTACTTCAATAGAAAAACAACAAAAGATCTATTTTGTTGAATTTGTTATCTAGTTGGTGACCAAGAAAATGGCGGAATATTGTCTTCTTTTCATTTTATAATATTTAGGTACTTTTCTCTAAAACTGAAATAAAGCAAATTCTACGTGGTCTGCGTAACATAAATTTTACTATATTGTCCGTTAGTTGGACTAAGAAAGCACATGGGGTTATAACATCTTATTAAGATTATTCTGAATTAAGGAATACAATATATTAGGTATCACAATAAACCAGCAATTATTCATGTTATTAACAAGTAGGTTGGTGGATTGACATTTACTATTACACAGCTATAAATACCTATTATATTATTTTTACTAATCTACAGAGACGTGTATTAATAACGATATTAGGCATTGTTATGATTTACAGGAAGTATAGGTAGGTATTATAAAAATAACATTCAATAAGATGTGACTACAATAATTAAATTACCAATAGGTATTAAAACAATAAATTTGTACGAAAATAAATTCTTAAACATGTGCAAGGTCGATGTAATACTATGTATTACATATTCTTATGAGCATAATATTTTTTTTATTTTCATTGTAAATTATTTATCTATTTATTTCATAATATGATACAATATAAAAAGTGCCAAATGGGTTTACAATTACAAATTAAATTCAATTTTTATATAGAAATATTATGAAATTAAATTTTAGATCTAGTTGGTGTATTGAATATAATCATTTTTTGAATGTTCCTGTAATTTACGGTTTTCATTGTTTTTGATTTAAAATAATCGTAGACTTAAAGTTAGGAATTTTGGACATAGTAAAATTTTCAAAAAATATTGTCGATTTTTGAAGTATTTATAGGTATTTGATATTTCCTAGTTATTTTAAATTTTTATTTGGTTTTTATTCACATAAAATGAAACAAAATCGTTTGGTTAAACATAAATTTTTGAAAATTTAACACGAGATTCATTATAAATTGTACTAAGTAGTCAAAACATTAATTAAAAATTAATTCTTAGTGGTTGCCTACTATTATAATATAAGGAACCTCTATGGAAAATGTCAAGTTTCTATTCACAATTATTTAGGTTGTGTGTTGATATGTCACTGACATAATATCAGTTAAGTAAGTTTATTCTTGTATAATTTGTACAAAGATATTTATATAGGTTAATTTGTGGGGTAGATAGCAACCGGCTTCAGTAAAATCAAATATAAAACACGTAAATTACTGCTTAGTTCTTATGTAATTGAAATAATCAAAGTAGGAAGGTAATTGCTAAAAAGAGCAATTTTACAGCAGATTTTTAATTTTTAACCGTCTGTAGGTATAGGTTATGGATAATACCTAGGTGTGCAATTAAAATATTCTTAGTAAAAAAATTATCAAACTGTTAAGTACCCTATAAATATTGAAAACACGAAACGTGATTGATCACTTACGTACTCTAACTTACAAACAACACGGAACAACAAACATATTTGACATTATTGTTAAATCATAAATTTTGATAATTATAATTATAATAACTACCCTTAAAAAAAAGGGATAAAGTATACAAAAATAATTATTTACCCGATCAGATAAACATATTATAGCTATTTACCATTGAAAGTTTCAGCGATACATCTAGTAGATATCTAATATTAATATAATATAATAAATGTTATAAAATTAATGAGTGAAATATACCTACCTAATTCAATTATTGAAAGTAATATCATGAACCTTTTATCACTTACATGTGATATTACAAACAATTCTACTTACTCGGACATTTGTGAAAAGAAATATTTGTAATTAAAATACAAAAACTACCTAAGTACCTAATAAAATAATAAAAATAACAAAATATAGGTACAGAACTTTACTTCACTAACTCATTAAAGCTGTTAAATTCCCATTAAAATGCAATAAAATTCTATAAATACCGCGCTATTAGTTTTGAAAGTAGAAATAAATCTATGTAGCTATTTCAAATTTTGAAGATCATATTATTTTATTAGACCTAGGGTGCATAATCATTATGACATAATTGTACCTCAGATAGCCAGATATATTTTGTGACTTTCTCTAACTAATAATAAGGCACCTACTCGTTAAGTATGCTATCTATATCGTAAATTAATTTTGTTAAGTATATGCTATCCGCACACATTTTAATATTCTAGAATTTCTTCGTCAAAAATTAAAATTAATTTAAAAAAATATTTATTAGTTTTACCCTTTACGTCACGTTATTATATTTTTCACATACAAATTGAATTTATTAACCACCACTATTCTTTTTTAAACTGTCTCTAAAATAGACTTGTAGCACTTTTTACCTTAATTCAATTCCTTTGTTTTGTCAACTTCAATGATTTGAGCATGGGCCCACGTTAATTTTCGAATCAATGGAGTTTTTCTATAGTTTACGATTGAAAATATTATGAAAAATCTATACTTATCATGTTATGCCTGGTTTAATTTCATTTAATACCATAGGAATAAATTATTTTTACAACGTATAGCGGACCGGGTCCATAATCTAGGGACCGGGTCACGTCGATTAATACTTAAATCTGAGTTTAATTCTGAATTTTCAACAGTCTCTATTATATTTTCTTTAACCTTGGACTAGAGTAAATTTGCACTAGTGCTTCGAGCAATATTTTGACCAATCCGAATTCCAGATTAAAATTTACTGTTAATTAATGTGAATTTTATATCAATTGATTTTATCAGGATTTTCCGATCCAATCCGTTCATTTATCTAAAATGGACTACTAACAAATTAGAAACTATAGATAGTAGATATCATAAAATGCGACAATTTGGAATATCTATTATGTTAAATATAATTGTATAAATGTATAATTGCCGTGTCTGCACTGTTTTTGAGATAATCGGGTATATTCTTTTATTATCATTATTCATCTTTAGATTGAAAAAATAGAAATAATTAATTGAATTATTAAATTAAAATAATAAATAATATTGTTAACATAATTCGGATTCAACGGATTGCAATGTTTGTTTCAATCTGGATTGGTAATCCGAATGCTCGGTATTTGATACTCGGCATTTAATACTTATTTGCCCTAGGTATACTACTTATATCCGATTTACCCCATTTGTTTTCATTTGTTAAATATTGAAACACATATATCTTGACAAAGAAGTAAATTTTTTGTACAATAGGACAACCATGGTTTGCACATTTTTCGGTTTTTGGCACCCTTATTTTTGGGAGTGAACCGATTATCTATTTTTGATTATCAAATGAAAACCTAAATAAAAAGTTCCACAAATAGACGGAGTATTTGACATTTTTATTTTCCATCAATCCGTATATGAGATATTCCACTTTTGAATTTGGATAGGGAAGAGAAGAAGAGCGTCATTTGTGTGATAATAATAATAATTATAATATTGTAATGTATAATATAATTTTCAATTTACTTAATGATTGCAACTCTAGTAAGTATCAATTTTTTAACGGTATTATTAGAATATATTTTTAGAATATTATAAAAATAAAATAAACAATATACAATATTTAACACAAAACATATTATCATTATTAATTTAGAGAAAGTCCAAACATTTTATTGATAGAAGTTCTCTTCCATATTTAATTAAGCTTAAAATGAAATTTACGTACCTATTAGAAATTGTAATTAGCAATTTGTTACTAATAAGTTGGATATTATTTAATTTAAAAATAACATTAAAAAGACATTATTATTTAAAATAATTTTAATAGTTACCTGTACAAAGGTACGTACATAATATAATATATTGGCTGAAGTGATTTTACTTGCCTAATTTATTGTATATAATTGTAAAATGTAATATAAAGTAAGTTTTAGTATAAATCCTTCACATCTCCGCCGCCTTGCTATATAGGGTAATATAATTACATTTTAAATATTCATATTATATTTATTTGTACAACTAACTGTTAAAGTTATTTGTAGAAATTAGTGTAGGTAATTACTTAGGTACTTCAATTTTTAAAGGCATCAAACTACGAAATTAATAATTTACCGTCTATACCTACCTATATATTTAATTTTAAGTACTTATTAAAATTGTTCCATGAGAATTATTGAAAATTTTCAAAAATATTATGTTTATCATTTTTTTTTTACAAAAAGAACAAAGATAGAAATACACAACTTATAACAATAAATACTGGAATTGTATTATGTTAGATAGGTACTCGTAGTTATATCATTAAATTATTCTATTTATATGGAGCTATTATATTAAACAGATCGCAGACATCCAGACATGCCATTTTAAATTGAACAATAGTTCAATATTTTCTGAATTGTAATACAAGATTATATTATGGCAATGCCCTCTCACATGAAATTGAAATTTAAATAGTTGGTCAACCATAAATCAACGCTTTGTGTTTTTTCACAAATTATTTGATTAAGCAATTATATACTAGGTATTATTATGTACTACCTGTTAATGACGTACCAATGATATAGACAGTGGTGTAGTAGAGCGTATACGCGGGTATGCGGCGTTACCCACTTTTCTGTTTTTCTGTTGTTGCGTATATTTTAAGAATGATAATTGTTAAGCGTATATACGGATGCATTTATTACATAAATCTACCAATTTGACAAATAATATTTAATTGATAAATAAAAATGTTGAACAAACCTTATCAGTTATCAGTTTCCATAATCGAAACCGAAGATGTTACATATTAGAGTTCATCTATGGTTCTAGTAGGTCATAGTTATTTATAAACATTGTTGGAAAATTGGACACATGTAACCACGATATCTTTAATCGAGAATGTAACTGAAATGCTACATAGCACCACTACCAGTGAGGCAGTGACCAGTGCAAAGGTGCAACTACGTATCTTGTGTTGACGTGTGTTGTATAGTCATTTTAGATTCTGAGTGGAGCGAAGAAGTTTATGGTTTTACAAAGAAGATAAATATAAAGTACAAGAGGCTTATTTATTTTTTTTTTCATCAGTGAACAACTTTTTTACTAGAAATATTGCTCAGTTATTTAAATGTAGCATCTTTTTTGAAAGGAAATCGTTGTAGGGTGATACTTTAAGAAAATCATTTTTTGTTTTTCTCAAGAATTTTTTCATCTAAAGTGAAAAACCAAAAAAAAAAAACAGAGGAAAAACGGGAAAATGTACGAAATGTATTACTAAAATATTATGGTTTTTTTTTCTGTGCACAACTTTTCTACAATTAATTTGGCTCTGGTTTATAATGGTATCAATTTTTCTGAAAGAAAATTTAACAGGGAAGATACTGTAATGAAGTCATTTTTCGATTTTCCAAAGAGTTTTCCCAGCAAATGTAAAAAACCGGGAAAAACATGGAAAAACCGGAAAACACGTAAGAAAATCGGTACAACATTAAACAAATATTAATAAAAATGTATAAAGCCTACCGAATTATTTAATATACCTATATATTTATTATCTCTTAGTATTCAAAATAGTAAGAAATTTAAATTTTATATAGTTTTAAATCAAATATTTTAAATTTATTAAAAATTGTAACCTAATGTGATTTTAAAGTAAAAACTAATTTGTTTTATGTAAAATAATGTCAAATATGGAAACAGAAAAAAATAAACATAGAACATTATTATCATATTTTTCCAAAATAAATCAAGTAATTATTATTAAACTGTTTAATTTTGACTTTGAAAAACTATAAGTATTCAATGTTTATCTATATAAATCTTTAGTAAATTTTTCTAAAAATTACTTATCAAACACATTTAAACGTATACTCACTTAAAAATGTACGACTACATCACTAGATATAGGTACCTATAATCTATATGTTAAGACTTGAAATAACATACATAAGAACGTAAAACTAATACGAGTGAGTACTTAATATAAACTTCCTAAAAACATTTAAAAATTCCTATGCTTCGATCAGAATAGTTATTATAGTATGTAGATACTTAATTATGTAAGGAACTTAATATAGGAACTTATGAAAATATGCCATTCAAAATTATTTAGTCGGAAATGTAACTACTAACTACCTACCTAACTTATGATAACACATGTTCGAAATAAATTTCTGCTGATGCGGGGAAACTGAGAATGTTAAAATCTGATATAATATTTGTAGGTAATAATAAATTCCGACTTAATTTTTAACTAAACATGATTCCAACCAAATTTTTTCTGATTCGTGATTATTATTGCGATAAATATTTTATTAAGTACAGGTACATTTATATTAATAAATGTATAAATATAAATATATATTTTCTTATTAATAACCTAATCTTACCCATCAGCACAAGCAATTATTTTTTTGAAAGGGGAGCTGTGCAAACATGTATCTAACTTATTGTTATGTTATGTATAAAAATAAATACGAAAAATAAATATCGAATATCAATATGAGTATTATTACAAAAGTATAGGTTATAGATATAAATATAATGTAAATAGTTTTTTTGTTTTTGATTTTTAAACAAAAATTATATACCAACCTTTGGGGTTAAGCGTAGCGTGCCGAAAACCCAATTTCAAATCGGCTATGTAACCACGGGGCATAGACGGGAGTTTAGCACACATTCGATAATGTTCTTCGGATCTCCGAACACAGAAACATTTTATAAACAACAAAATCGAAACAATAAACATTAACACCAAAATCAATGGTAACACAATTAAGTTCATCATTTTAGATGAATAATGACCTAAGATACGAAGTATTATAAAGTCGATCTAGTAGTTTGGTCACTTGAGTCGAAATAACAACGTGCACACATTGTGTCTACAGACAAACTTATGGCGTTTCAGTAAGTACCTACCTATTATTGAAATGATTTTCGAAAACGATAATTTCTTCGATCGTAATTATTGTGATTGTATATTAAGTATAAGGAAGCGCAATAATATAAATTATAGTGGCGGGGATTAAAAATGAATCAGAGACAAACATCGACCGGCTACTGACCACACTACTAATACGACCCCCCACACTATACATGCACATCATTCGCTATCTGCGATTTTTGGATAATATGTCCATACATATTCTGAACATGCAATACAAATGTATGTACATATATTTTTATTATTATTGTTTTTTTTTTTTTGTATCCTTGCAGGTAAGAGAATTAATTTAAATGAATATTATTATTGCAACTTGTTTATTTTTATTATGAACATGTCAATATATAAGCCATTCTGAATATTTCACAAAATCAATGTATACAGAATAATATTATTACTAATGCATTTGTTTAGGTAAAAGAGAAAAAAAAATATAAATAGTTTTTTTTCGAAAAACTGGTTCAAACTCGCTTACCCTAGTATGAAAATAGGTACATATAATCATTTAGCTAAGATAAACAAACTTAATATAAGACAATATTTAGTTATTTAACTAACATATAATCCGCATAATATCAGAACTTCAAAAAGCTATAATTTCTAAACTTAGTTAGTCCGCTTAATTCTGACTTCATCATCAGTGTCAGTGAGGTCAGAGGTCAGTGAGTATAAATATTTCGTGTTACCATTTGAGTAAAACACACTCTATAAATGAGCATAACAGTTTTCGAACAAAATTGTACCTTTCTCTTTTCTGTCAAATTTAAAAGGTCAATTCCCTTTTCGACCAAAATCGTACCCTTCCCTTTTCGGCTAAATTTAAAAAAGGTTAATTCCCTCTTAAACCAAAATCGAACTAATCGAATTATTGTTAGAACCTTTACTTTGTGTCATATTTTTTTGAGTCACATAAGTGGTAGAACGATATTAAAATGGATGTTTTGGATGACAACATTAAAAATTAGATTTCTGAAAAGAAATTTCTCAAGTCATCATACGAATATTGTACCTAAGGGTCTCAAAATAAGATTTGCCCCAGTTATCCAAAAGTCTAAATCCGGTTTTGACTCCATCCCACTATACCTCATGTCAAAACAACTCTTTTTCGTTGTCGTTTTTGCAGGGATTATACGAGTAAATTGTCACTGTGCTAAACTTCAAAACTGTAATAAACTTAAATTATGAAAATTATAAAAAAATTCTTTTGAACATCTATCTAATCATTAATTACCTATTGTTATTATGAATCATTTTTTGTATTTTCGATAATACTAAATTTATATATTTATCTTAGCTCATGCTGCTGAAATTTCTTTTCTAATAATATTTATTATATTTCATTTCAAAATGATAATGTAACCGATTTAGATGTCTGCGAAATGGGATGAAAATAAAACCCCATAAAACCGGTTTATTGAGAAAATCGGAAAACACCAAGAAAATATGATTCAGTGACGTCGGAAGACACGCCCACAATAAGATTTCGCAAGGAGTCTTTGTTCTATTTACTAGTAAATGGTTTGGCACACGGTATCCTGTTTTGGATCGAAATATAACATTAAAATTTATATTGTTAAATGTTACCCTATGTATTTGTAACCACTCATTACGAATTATAATAATCCGAAAATGTAGACCTCGATCGAAACGGCATGCGAAAACTCGTCTCTCATTTCCCGGACTGTAAACATAGAAGGTCAACTGGTGTGTCACGAGTGAGGACAGGTCGCATAGAATTCCGAACTGGATTCAACCGGCGATGAGCTACCCAGAAAATATCATCGGGCCGCTCGAAATCATACTATAGTTTATTATTAAATGTACCTAAATTGTTAATTTTGTCTAATTTGTATAATTTTAGGCCGGTAATAATCTTAAAACACGGTTGGCCGATATTCTATTCGATATTAAGTGGATTCGATACCGATCATGTTTTCTATCAAATAACACTTCTATAATGCCAAATATACCGACTATCCTAGTAAACGGATAACACTTCCGAAAACCTATTTAAATTCTTCATTAAGTTGACTTGAAAACTTTTCCGTTTTTTTTAAAAATTGAACCCTTCAAAATAGTTTTTAAAATAAAAAAAAAATTTTAACTTAAAATCAGATTGAAGGGTTTAAGAGATCAATTTCAAAAAAGTGGTTTTCAAGTCAACTTCATGACGAAATCAAATTTGTTTTCAGAAGTTTTATCCGATTACTAAGACAGTAGGTACTATATTGGTAAACAATTGATACTTTTAGACAAAAAAACCGATCAGTATTATTTTGGTAGCATACCTACGCGACATTATACAAAAATAAAAATACATGTTACCTGTATACTTAGATACAAATACAAATACCTTTATCTTTATTACCTTTACCTTTATTTTTATAATGGAAAACATTTTAAAAATAAAAAACGACTAAGAAAAGATGTATCCAAAAAACATAAAAGAAATGTTGGTTTTCTCGACAAATGACGGGGAAATTGTAAAATTGACACGGTAAGTCAAATACTTACCTATACTTTTAACTGAATTACAACAAAAAATAACAATATTATGAAAACCGCTTGGAAAATCAAAAAATTACCTCTCCAAAGTACTATTTAAACGACATTTCCTTCTAGAAAAGATGCCACTCTTACATGTCGAAGTAAGATTTCTGATAAAAAGTTTTGTCACAGTATAAAAAAATGATGAAATCCACAACAACGTCAATGATTTGATGTGATTTACGTGCATTTTCGTTTATAGATTCATTAAAGAACTGAACAACTTGAGAGTTTATTCCAGGACTATAGTTTGGTCTTTCATAAATAGGAAATATTGAATAATAATGAAATTCCTGACATCCCAATGCCACCGCAACTGGTTTTAACTCGTTGGGAAACGTGGTTGAATGCGGCTAACTATTATTGTGAGAATTTTAAGTTATAACAAATATAAACAAGTTAGATGAAAATGACGCTAGCAGCATCAAAAAAACTAAAAACATTTTTAACGACCCACATTTGAAAACAAACTTAGCATTTATTTCTTCAAACTATAGTTTTCTTTCAACTTATATTACACGTTCGGAAAATCATGAAACTATCTGAGTCTATTTCCGTCGTAAAAACTATCAAAGAAAAATTACAAAGGTCCACAAGGAGAAATAGGAAAAGCTATTTACAAAAAATTTAGAAAACGTACTGTCGAAAAATGAAGGATTTAAAATCATTGCAAAAATTTCTAATATTTTAGAAGGATTAGACGATTCTATGAAAAATCTTGAAGACTTGCAAGTCAACGACTTACAGTTTTATAAATTCACTCCAACAACATCTGTCGATGTCGAGCGTTTGTTTTCAAGGTACAAACATTTATTGTCGAGTAATCGCCGGTTATTTACATTTGAAAATGTAAGAAAAATTTTGGTCACACTGTGCAATTCATTTGGGTAAGATTTTAAAAATTTAAATTATGAAATCATAAAAACAATATATAATTTTTGTTTTTTTTTTTTTTGTTTAAAGGCAAGCTAAAAATGATAAAATGCAAATAATAGTAATTATTATTATATAATTTTTTTTAATGAAAAATAAAATATTTTTAAGAGCGTATTTTAGCATTTTTGCATATTTTAATAGCAAATATGATAATTTTTAAGGGCATAAATAAATGCATATTTTAAGGTTTTTTAGAGCATGAAGTCCATAGCCCTAGTTATCAGAATTTTTTTCTGGATTTTCTATTGGTTTATTTTGATTATTTGTTGAAATACTTTTTTAAGTATTGGTGAAAAATGTTCTAATATCGCCAAGACGTTTCAGGTTCATTACTAATGAAATAATGAACAATTACAAACATACTTATGTATTCACAAACGTCACAAATACTGAAACTAAAACTAAATAATAATATTATTATGTAAAAAACGGTATTTATAATTGACTTTCTGCAATATTGATAACAATATTCAACAATAATAATAGTTTATGGATATGTATAAACTATAAATAGCCTATCCCATTGAACCATTAACACCTATTGCGTAAATCGTATTTCATTGAGACAAGTCTTAGTGAAGAAAAAAACACTATTGTCAACTTGTATTTTTTGATATCAAATATAGCAGTAGTGTCATAAAATTCCAATAATTTTTTCCTTTAATGATATGATGAATGTACAAATGCTCGAGAAGACAAATCTTCACTAAGTATTGTCACTTAACCATGAGACAATTTTCCACATATTTAATCAGGCGTCCAGGCAGTTACTTATTCGCTCGTCGATTCTATGACGTCACGCGGCTATTATATCTCATTATCTAGATGAATAATTAATATTTTAATTCCGAATTTTTACCTAAACGTTTTTCATAATTTTGACTACACTATCAAATCATTAAATTTAAAAATTAAAAAAAAATTAATGTTGCTTGGCATTTTAAACAGTGTACTTATGAATAATGATGATAATGTGAGTAAATGCGCGGAAAATTCGAGTTTGTTCAAACGATCAGAAAATATTGTCAACTATTGAAACGAACTAACAACATCGTGTAAAAATGGAATATGAAATAGTTGCAAAGGAATATAATTATGCAATAAATTTGTCAGTTTTCATTTAAATTTTTTCCGGTTTTTCCTAATTACTATGAAAACTAATTGGAAAATAAAAAAATGACTTACTTCGTGCGCAACTGGATCCAAAATTTAACAAAAAAAGTCTTATCGTTTTTGAGTTAATAATAATAAAATCGGTAACGCCACGGCACTTCCTAATTATTTTTAAAACCCTTTGGAAAATCAAAAAGTGACATTTCTAATACACCAACCATATTGAAGATAGTACTTTAAAAGTATAAATATAATATTATTAACATATTTATTATCAGGTCTATTATGGATAGTATATCGTGGCATTAACTATAAATAAAATAGATAAAATTATAAAATGATAAAATATCATAATTGATAACATGTTATCGAACAAATTACTCACGTAGATAACAAAAACAAATTCATTATTGTTTACTTTTTAGTATTTTTACTTTGTTACTTTTGTTGCTTTTATTAAGTCTTCATCTTAATTCCGTATTGTGTGTTTCTTTAAATGACAAATGACAGTAGATATCCAAATTAAATATACCAAATGTATTCAACGATTTTATTGAAATTTCAAATATGGCTGTTCAACTAAAAGGATTTGCAAAGGGCATTGATCAATCAACAATTAAAACTTTTTTATTTGGATCTGATGAAATACAAGGTACAAAGTACAAATACTATTTGAGGCATTCAGTTTAATAACGAATTAACTCTTAAATTTTTGATATATAAGTTACTTAATTATATTAATGAGAACCATACACCTTAAAATTAAATTCAAAAACAGACTAATCCATCCTAACTTAATATTCACTTGATGACCGATCTTAAACCTTTATTGTATTTTAAAGTTATTTATAGTTTTAAGAGCAAGAATAAAGTAAATAATTATTGTGTAATATTGGATAATGGAATGGAATAAGTCCATTAAAGCACTGAATGCTTCATATTAAGTAAATAGGTATTAATATTATTTATTTATTAACTATATTTTAGTTGATATTTTCAATGACACTATTAATTGTGTATCTCCTGGAGGTGAAATCATAATATTTGGATACAATAATAAAATTATCACTTTCACACGTATGTATTTGTAAAATTTGTGTTTGAAAAATAATAATATGTATTAAAAATGTTTTTTTTCTATTTAGAAAAATGGTCTCCCGATCCGACCAATGGTATATGTCAAATGTTTCGAACAGTATGGAATAAAGTTACCGAAGTGGACAAGTTAGTGCATTATTATGAACCTATTTAACTATTTTTATTTAGAACTATAGCCAATCAGGAGTCAAGAGAAATGCTAATATCTATTGCTTGAGGTTGACATATTTTACTGTTAATGTTGTATAAAAAGTTATAATAATTAGCATTAAGTATTAATTTTTTAAAATATTATATTTAATGTATTATTATTAAATTTGTTAAACAAGTAGATTTTATAAAATATATTAAACACTTCTAGTGTATTGCACAATTATATAAATGTATTAATGTGTTCATTTTTATCGACATTGTTTGTATATAAATACTATACAAAATTATACAAATTTATTAATCAATTTAAACATAATTTCAGTGAACAAATTACTTCGATTATATGTCTTCCAATAGCAGTGATCAATACAAAACTGTCTACTCATAGTACTCCTGATTGGTTTTGCATAGGTATTGGATTTTCAAGTGGTTATGTCAAATTTTACACAGAGGTTAATTTTTGATGAGTTATTTTTATTTATTTATTAAATAATAAATTATCTATTTTGTTCCAAGGATGGGGATCTATTATTATCACAGTTATTCCATAACAGTGCTGTTATTAAATTACGATGTCAAACTCATCAGCCTGCAAAAATTAATCCACCAACTATTGAACAACCTGAAGAAATTGTAATATTATACAATACAGTTATTTGTACTATTACTGGATCAACGTTTTTGAATTTTTTGAAAATTTGTAAATATGATTCATCAACAAGTAAGTATAAAACAGATATAGATAATTATATATTATATTAAATAATATATTTTTATGTAACTTGTTTAAGGTTGATAACTTAAAGGCTAAAATTCTGAATACAGATCATAGAAATTAATATACTTTTTACAAAAAAAATGTTAACAATTTATAAATATGAGCAGATAAGCTGATAGTATTTTAATAGTTAAATTTTAGATGAAATATTATTTGTTTTACCAATTTGGTTTATTATGGGTAAAGACCAAATTTAATTGCTTTTAAAACATAAAAATTGCATAATAAATTGCACTATAAAAATGCAAAAGTTTTATAAAAAAATTAGATAAATGTTACTTTTTTTAATTAAAATTGATAATTAGATCCATTTCTAAATTATTTTCATTAAACTTAAATCTTCTATTACTTAAAATATGTTTGTACAACGATAAACTATGTTCTACGTCTACGCTAGTTATTGGTACATATTTAAAACAATTTAATAAAGTAAGTGTTATATCTAAATTAACATTTGCTTTACCTGACATGACTTCATAGTAAAACTTGCAGCAAAAATTGTATTACATAAATCTTCAAAAACTACATTTTTACTACTCGAATTTTGAGAAGTAATCAGAAGCTATTTTTTTTCTTTATTCCTTTGTAACGTATTTATGTGTTGAACTAAAAAATATATACATGTATTTTTGAAATAATATGTAGTATATTACTTGTAGTATGAGCATAAAATACAAAACTTACTTGTTTTGAAATGATGATCTAATAGATATTTTTTTTCAGTAGACAGATTTGTTACATACTAGAAAATATATAACCTTTCCATCTGATGAAAATACTTCTTTATTTTCATGGTGAGGAGAAATCCAATTCGAAATTTTACTTTTTAAAGTTGATTTTATTTTAGACATTACATCGAATATGTTTACTGTGCGGTCAAACTGATAAAGTAATAGGTACTAAGGTACCAACAGGTAAACGCACACGAATCGTACTACTACATTGAATTTAATTACCTCCATATATATATATATGTAGACGCTTATTGCTCTCTGGGCTCTCCAAGCTTCTAGAAAATTCAGACCAACAATAAACGCCTATAATATAAAAACATGGGAAAATTGAAAAAAATTGCATTATAAAATTAAATAGGCAGAATACTTTTAGTATATATTGGTTATATATTTAATCAGATCTGATTTATCTTTATTGCAAAAAAAGTTATAACATCAATTAAATCCGGTCTTTAGTTATAAATCTTATAATTCTATAATATACCTTATAATCTTATAATCCGGTCTTTAGGGTTTCCAATTTATAAATGATACCATTTATTTTTTTTAAGAGCATATTTTGATAATTTGCATGATATTAGTAGATACATATATATTTAGTAGATTTTTAGTGTATTATTTTTTAATTTTTTTAATTTGAACACTCGAAACAAGTTTACAGAATTAAACAATGTACAATTTAAATAAATAATAATAGAGATTTATCATTAGCTAGTTTCTTAAGATATTAATAGGTTCATTTTTCTAGAAGTTGGTAGTATGTTGTGAAATAAGAAATTTTTTCTTAAGAAGTTTTTTTTTTATTATTATTATTCTGTATTCTTACCAACATAATCTTTGATTTTTAAATGGATTTTATAAAATAACTGTCCAATCGTGGTCTGTTAAAAGTCATAAACTCAGATTCAAATTTAGATAAATGAAAGCATTTATGTTAGTGAAAATATCTCTTAAATAATTCTATTTTTTTTTTGTAATTTAAGAAATATCTAATTTTTACTTTTTTATAAATGAAGTAGTAAATATGTTTATAAATATTAATAATAGTTTAACAAAAAATAAATATATTATATAATTAAATAATTATTTCAGTCCCAACTAAATGTACAAATACCTCGCCATTCAATCATAAAAAGTGGGCTTTTGACTCTCAGAAAAAAATTAATGATGCTGCTGTTGGGGCAAGATATGATATCACTAGTTTTCAACATGTAGTAGCTACCAATATCTGCAGAAGTATTAGTGGTGATAAACAAAATTGTTTACCACAAATGACTCAAATCATAGCTGCAGGCCAAAAACCATACTTAGCATTTCATTACACTATTGGAAGACAAGCTCAACCCACATTGGGGAATATAACCAAAGCAGTCACTGATAAATTGAAATCTACTTTTACGCAATCAATACTGCCGTAAATAATTTATTATTTTTCTAAAACATTTAACATTTTAAGTTTTACGTTTAAATTTATAGTGGTTGGCTGTCCAACAATTTATTTTCAAATGAAACAACTGATAAATTAGAAACACCTGAACAGCTTGGATGTCGGTAATTTTAACAAATTAAATTCATCTAAATGTGATTTTAAATTACTAATAATGATTTTAATACCAATATTATAATTAGTTTTAGTTTAAATGATGTGGAATGTGAAGCTTTAAAAATTGAACTAAGTCCTCAATTATCTATTGGTGTAATCTCTGATAATTTGGACAGAGCGATACTTTTTGAAGTTAATAATGGAGGAATAATAAGGTATAATAATATATGTACAATTAATACAACTTCTATTTTTACAATATACGTTTTTTACCAACACAATTTTAATTGCTTTTTTTCAGCTAATACATAATAACATTGACTAAGATACAATCAGTATTTTTTGTTTTTACATAATTTTGAAGTTATCACAAACCTATGTTTCACATTCTTGTCAAAGCCACCAGTATTTTGTACAAACCACACTAAGTACTTAGAACCCTCAATCTCACTTTTAAACACTTATTGTCTACAGTTTTTTTTTTTATTCTGTTCCTCCAAACTCATAATTTCTTTTACTCCTACTAATCCTTAGTCCCTTTTCTTCAAGTGCTACTCTTCTTTCCTCAATCCTATAGTTGACTTATTCCAGATTTTCTCCTATAAAAGCTATATTGTTTGCAAATATCATGCACTATGGTATCTCCTCTTACATGTCATTCCTTCTCAGCATTACACATCCGAGATAGAATAATTTATCAAATTCTTATTTAGAACTCCTTATACTGTTTGATAGAATTTTACACCAGATGTCGACTGATGCAATTCCATTTGATTTCTCTTACGGCAGGTAAAAGAACCATGGTAGTCTAATCCTATAGGTAGAATGATATTGTCAACTATAAAATGAATTTACCTATCTCACAGAAACAATACCATAAATTAACTGGAATCGCCTATCTGGGTTTTATACCAGTAAGAGCCTGGGGTCCCTGGTTTGCTAAATTCATAGCATCATATGTTTCCATATGGTAGTAAAGAAACTTAATATAATAATAAAAACGTATGTAAATTTATTTAGTCATACATTTCAAATCATGATTACTTCAAAACAATATGCAAACAAAATTTATGATTGCATCATTATATTCATCAACATGTCAATTGTTGGGTTGGTAACATAACATACATTTAAACAATTTTTTCTTTTTTAGAACTTGGGAAGGGTATAAAGATGTACAATTTGGTTGGATTGTAGTTAATGAAAATAAAAGTTCTAGTTCTAAACAAGCTTTATTCTTAGTTATGTATATACCAAATAGAGAAGCATTAGAAATTTGGACAATGCAAAACTATGAACAAATATCAGTATCCAAAGTTTCTAAACATGGAAGGTATTTCCTAACAGATTGAGTTAAAACTATAGTTTTATGTTACTTGTATTTATATTTTAGACTATTTTACACAAATTTTGGTCTACTTGGAATTCTTAGTACTTCAAGGACTAATATATATAATGCAAATTATAGATGTTATTTTGTGGATGATACCGGAATTATTCAAGAAATAATTATACCATATCATTGTATAGAAAGGTATTTTAATTTATTATTGTGATTAAATTTATTTATTATATTATTAAATTTAATTGGATCTATATTTAGTGGCCCAAATAGTCAACTTTCACAAGATATGTATGAATTTAAAACATTTAAGTCATCATGTAAAAGAGAAAATGTCAATGATAAAGAATTATGTGTAGAAGTAGTAAAATTGGTTAATAATATAAGGACTGATAAAGTAAGACAACTACTGTTTGATTATATTACTACCAGTAAACATTTGTCACAAAATGTAATTATTCAATTTTTGAAGAGCTTGCAAATGATATTAAAAGAAAAAAGTAATTTACTTAAATTGTTTAATTATTAAATAACTAAATAGAAATTTTAGTTTTTACAATGCAATTATTTATAATTTTAGATCAAAGTGATCCTGAAAATAATACAAATTTGTTGAAACGTGTTGATTGTCATCTAAAACTTATAATGTTTTTTATATTTGTATTTAATTTTCAAGAAAAGCATCTTTTTCAATCATCATCTTCGTCAACTGAAGATAAGATCCAAGTATGTTGCACAGTATATTTATATAAAATAAACTCATTTAGCCAAACAAAATTTTTAATTATTTAAATAATTTTAGAATTATTATTTCTAATATTCACACAATTTTTACTATTTATCAGGTATAATTAACATATGTTTGAATCCCTAATAATAAAATATTAATTTTAATTTTAATTAAATAATTATAAATTCCAGTAGATATGTGTGTATACAAATTTAATGTCAGACTAAAGGTTTTGTAAGTTATAAATTGAGGTTTAAATACTTGAACCCATTAATATTCCTTAAGTTAATACTATTAATCATTATTATATATAGTATTTCCACTAGTCCAGTACTTTATTTATGTACATTTAAATTTCTATAAACTATCTCTACTAATTTACCTATTTAAAATTCTAAGTTTATTTAAACTTTACAAAATTGAAGATTAATAATATATTTCATATTTTTTTTTTTTTTAGGAGTTATGTAAGACACTTCGTTTAAGTGACCAGGATATGGACAAAATAATTTCTTTACTTCCTGTAGAACAGAATAAAAAAAAAACTGTAGTAATGTTTTGTGATGATGTACGACTGATGAATTTAGTTGAATTACTATCGTATTTTGACACAGCTGGTGACACTGTATCTCTTAAAATGAACAAAAACATTGATGAATTATGTTAGATTTATTAGTTTAAATTCTAAATCATATATCATAAGCAATTTTTTTTTTAGGTAAACGAATATTTGAACCAATTATGAATGCTGCTAATGATATAGGAGAGTTTAATTCAGCATGGGTTGCTAGTGGTATTAAACTATCAGATATGGTTTATTTGGCTGTTCAGTATTGGGTATCAAAGCCACTCACCTTAACAGTTGTAACAGAAATGTTAAATTTTCATAAAATAATTGACACAATGTGTAACTCAAGTGGTAAAAATTTAAACCATAAATAATTGTTTTGTTATTTAACAATGCTTAAATAAAATGTATGTATTTTTTATCATAGAGGAAAAATTTGATTGGAAAAAAATACAAGAACAATTTTCAAATAGTTCAAATACATTTGCTTGTTTAACTGGAACTATAATTTGTAAAACAATTGCATCTACTAGAAAAACAGGTTAAATTTCATATTAGCTTTTTTAGGTGTATTTAGTATTAAAATTTCCATTACCAAAATATCAAGTAATCTTAAAAAACGTTTTTAAAATGTAAAATATTTTAAATACTTTTTAAGTACTTAACCCTATTAAAGTATTTAAAATACAATTTTTAATATTATTGTCCATATTTAATGTAAGCAATATGCTCTATGGAAGCCAGAGTTGATGTTAATTTTGTATTTTTAACAAATGTATATTATTTGGGCATTCCTATTTATAGTAAAAGTTAATAATGAATGGGAATGTGTTTCTGGAGAAGACTATCAATGGAATTTAATAATAGAAAGACTAGAACAATTGTGCCATCTTAATGCAACATTAAAATATTGCTCAGAGGAACCTATTGGAACACTGTATTGTATACAATATGAGTATTCATCAATAACACTGACTGATTTACTTAAATTTGGACGAGGTAGTCTTATTAATAAATTGTATAAGACTTATTATTTAATTTTGATATTCATTTAGGTGGAGTGTCTACAATTATTAGTAAATGGTTGGCTAGTATGGGTTTTGATCCGAGTTTAATAATTGATGAGTACTTAATAAATATAAATAATACAATAACAACTAATCATTCAAATCTAAGTAAATCAATTATGGGTATTCAAGAAGGTGTAACTGTAAATACAGAAATAGCAATAGAAGCTAGAGTTTTAAGTATGCAAGAAAAAGAAATATTAGATGTTTTGAAGCGTCTCAAGTTTTGGTTCCCATATAGTTTGGATTGCAATACTCTACTAAGTAATATTTGTTGGGAATATTCATCTATTTGGCAAACTTGTGTGTCTGATTTTAGACCCTTAAATGCAGCTTTGAATGTCGCAGAAAAAATACCATGTCCACATACAAGACAAAGCAAGTAGATTTTTTATTGTAACTATATAAATTTATTATTTTGAAAATTATTAAATTCATAAATATTAAATTTTTAATTTAGGTATTTGTTATTTGATATGGTCTACACATTTAGTACATATTTTCCTATCAGCTGTGCGGCTCATTGATGGTGTGGGGAAAGTTCCTAAAGAGAAATTGTGTATTCAAGATGTTGGAATGCCAGATCAATATATTATAAAATTTTTGGGTTTATGTGAACAATTTTTTGAAATCATTATTATGGTGTTTATAATTATTAATTATCTTGTTTCATTTAAGTTATTTTTAATATTTAACAATTTGTTAATATTTAAGGCATCTCTATCTACTGATGAAGCTGAACTTGCTGAAATAAAACATGATTTATTTTGGGAAAATTGGAAAACAAATAATCAACAAACACCTACACTTGTTCAAATAGCTTTAAATAAACAAAATCCTGATCAGAAAACTCTTTTATTGATTCATCAATTTATACGTGCATTTCATATATTAGGTAAATTATCAATTCACATAAATAAGCCAATCAATAGTCTGTTTGACTGCAATGTAAGTCACTATTAAATAAATCTTATAAATTATTTTACACATTTTAATAAAAGTACTTTAATTATAGATGCATGAAATAGATTTTTTTAATTTAAACCAAAGCACCTTTAATCAAGAAGAACCAAGAACTAAAATTAAAAAATCAAGATCTGAATTTCTTGCTAACTCAATTATTGCAGCAATTGATCTTATTCAAAAAGACTGTGAGGTAAAAAAAATATGTCTTTGTTGCTACTATATTAAAAAACCAATATTAACTATTTTTACAAATATTTAAAAAAAAAAATAAAAGCTGATACTGGGGATGGGAGCAGCCACTGTTGTAGGTGAGAAGTTGGGAAGGTAGAATGCATAAAATTATTTTAATTATATCTGTAACAATGATAAATCATTGATTGACAACAGACAATTTCAAACACAGTTCGATTATACATAATTTGAAGTGCTGTAATTTTTTTTTTTTTTTTGCGAATTTTGGTTTAAATTTGATTTTAAAAAAAAAGTCTTCATATTATTTTGCAAATTTTACCACATCTAGATAAGTCCAATATAAGTATTTTTACCAAGTTTCAAGTCTGTGTGCATTTATAACCGAAAAACAGCAAAAAAAACTCCCAAAAATTAAAATCCATTAGCTCAAAAAAGGTTCAAATGTGTTAGCGATAATACCGTAGGAAAGTAAAACAAAAAGACAACAAAAAATGTGTCTTATGATATTTCGATTAAATCATTTTTTCTGGTAGAAAACATCGTTTGTGTTTTTATAAAATAATTAAATTGTGAAATTATATGTTTTTTCCATTTTAAGAGCTTTTGTTTAAAAAGTCTAAACAACTTGACCTTTCAAAAAAGTTACTACACATAAAAATCAGAACAAGTTTACTAGGAAAAAACGTGTCCACAGACTAAAACAAAGAAGAAAAAAAAAATAAACAACATTATAAAACCAATAACTCACACGCTACGTTCTTAATCTAAAATAAATGTCTAAGAGTAATTCAGTATTTAAAACAAATGTCTTATAGTAAATAATTAAAGAATTTAGACCCATCACAAAGTTATGACTTTTTGTGTGTATTTAGCTTTACTTTATATGATATTATGTTATAAACTTATAAACATAAACAACTAAATAACAAACACCAATCATTTTAGAACAAATAATTATAATATTTTGGTTAAATATAAAACTTTAAAAAACCAAGTTTGTAAGTTAACATCATCCGCTCTTTCACTTCAATTTGGGAGGGAAATGACAATACTGTTTTTCTCTTTTTTTATGAATGAGGTAGGGTTGTAAAGATGTTTTAGAATATCTTATTTCTGTATCTCTCAAATATCATTGTCCTGAACTACAAATTGAGACATCACTTTATCAATGCTACGGAATCTTCGCACAATCAAAGATCCATTAATGTTCACTTTATTTATACAGTAAACATTTTTGTAATCTGGAGTGATTGAATGTTTTTTTGATTGGTTAGTGAATCTTACTAATACATATTCCTCTGTATAACAGAAATAAACATCTTAGTAAAACCAATAGCTCCATCGTTACACTAGGAATCTAAAATATCAATTTTAACCATAATTTCTATATATTAAAATTATTATAAACTTCCCTCTTATTTGATTCTAAATTGAGCTATAACTGATTGCTTTGAATTAATTTGTTTATGGTAACATTTTTTATAGGATGGCCAATTTCAATTTGAGGGTAAGGATTGTATATTTTGGACAAATAAAATATTTCAACTAGCCATTGATTGGCAGTTACATTTAGATGATCTAAGAATCCATCAAGTTGTTACACTATATGCAAAAGGGCATGATTGGTTAGCTGAAGAAGTAAGAAAACTTTTCTTTTATGTAAGAATAATTAAAAATTAAATTATTTATTTTGAATAGGTTGTACCTGTTGTTAATAATAAACATAGCCTTGTAAAACATTTATTGAATGTAGTCAAACACAGATTAAAGTTTGAAATATGTATGACTCACTTAGATTTTCATAACAAAATTGTACACTTTAGTCCAGAAATAATCACTTGGTTAAATGAACCTGTAAGTTTAAAAATACTTTGCATCTTATAATAAATTAGATTACTAAGTTAATGGTTTTAGGTGACAATGAATGTTGAAAAATCATTATTAACACAAACTTTAGAATTAGTCCAAACTATAATAACTTTATTACCGGAAAATGATAATCAACACACCTTTGTTACCAATCTGATGGATTGTTTAGTATCCTTAATTGACAGCCAATAAAATATATGTATGTATAGATTTATTCATATTTTAGAATTATATATAATATTGTATTAATAAAATACATTTTAAATTGATTTGAATAATGATTTAATTATTTTTAAATTTAATATAATTATACCTTTCAGATACTTAATGTGCAAGGAGCTTTGATTGTTGAACTTATAGTCTCGACTGGCTACCGAGTCTTTTCTGAGTCCAAATTTTAACTTACATTTGTTGGTTGACCCTCCTTATCTGCTAGCTTGAGTTAACTTAGGATTGCTGCATGTTTGAATAGGACTACAGTTCACTTTTTATGTTCTTTTTAAAATTATCAATCTAATATGGCAACACCTTTATATTTATATCTAATTTATTTTACCAATTAGAATTCGTTATTTTTTTACTATTATCTACTTCTTTTATTCAATCTTTCAATTGGTTTAATTGCATGTGTTTCTATTTATAATCTCTTCAATTTGTATAGACATTTTCCCCTAATTATGGCAATTGGTTTTGTGTACAGATTATCTTGGTCTTTCACTCTCTAGTTTTATTTTAATTAATTCTATAACTAATAATAATTTTACTAGTAATGGGCACTTCTATAGTTTTACTTTTGATAATTTGGATAAACTATAAACTATAAAATATTTCATCTTAATATTTTTTCTATGACCAAATTTATTTAAACTATTCAAATATTTTTTCCTCATATTATATTTCCATTTATAAAAACTACTTAAACAAAACCGTATTGTCATGGTCAGTATTTATTAGGTATAGAACACAATTTTCAAAATTTAAACAGTACCACAATATAATTATTTTGTCAATACAATAGAATACTAGCGTTTGTGATTTGCAGTAGGCTACTTAACAGCAGTTATATAGTTGATAATAAAAATAAACTAAACAAAGATAATACAGTTTTATCTTTTCAAACATTTGAATGAATGAATATTGTATTGTCAATATATATATATTAATATAAACTATTTTAATAGTTTAAATACAATCAGCTATAAAATAGTATGATAGTAATTATTTGATTTTGTCTATCACTAGTGACCCATGTTTTGTGATTTACATTTCTCTTTCCTCTCAACAATTGTTTTTTAAATAGCATTATGACCATTTTTCTTAGAGTATAGCTTTTCATGTAAAAATTTCTATTCAGTATTTGTTTATTACATCAAGTTATGAAATTTTGAAGATGTTAGACAAAAACACAATAGTGAATATTCACAAACTAATAATCCATATCTGGGAAAAAGGAAAGCTGCTACAAATTTGAAATGTTGCGGTAATATGTCTAATTTATAAAAAAGACGATCCACAAATCTGTAGCTATAATAAAGGTATAGCTATACTAAAAGTTAACCTACAAAAACTTGTCTTACTGTCTATAAGATAGAAATAAACCTCTAACCTAGGAGATATTGGGATAATACCTAGGTTGTTTCAGATCCAATAGGTTAACAACAGATCGAATCATCAGTTTCATCAGATTTAGGAAAATTCATGGAAATTCAATAAAAGCATATGTGTGCTATTTGCTTACTTTAAGAAGGCCTACAATTTAGTTTACAGCTAAAGTATTCTTAACACTATAAAGATTTCAATTTTCCTATTAAGCTGATAAATTTAATTGAAAACACCTTTAAAAACACAGAAATCAAGATTAAAGTGACATCAGAGATATCAAACACAGTCAAAGTAACTACTGACCTAATACAAGAAGATATGCTATCACCATTCTTTTTTAATTAAATGCTAGAGAAAGTAGTCAAAGAAGCAAACACTAATGTAGAAGTAGTACTAAGAAATTTAAATATAAACCTCACCTAAGCAAATGATATAACAACCATACGTAATACTGAAAAAGACTTGAAAAAAATTGCTTGGGAAATTCCTGACGATGGCAGGTAAAATAGGATTATTTGTTAATAGTGAAAAAAATTGAGTTCATAGTAATGTCATTAAGAGCAAAAAAATCAACAAAGTCACTCTATCCATGTAGAACATGTATTTAAGAGAGTGACTTAATTTAAAATACTTAGGACATCTTCTATAGTGTTATAAATGTATGGCCCTCGCATCAACACTCACGACCCACACGAGATAATGGTGAAAACAATACAATTGTACACTTGGAGAACTGTTCCAGAGACCAGATTTTTCAGTGGAGATTAGGATAAGGAAGTTGATGTGAGCAAGGCATGCGTAGCAGAAAATAGGTCCACAGTTAAAAAGACCATCGAGAAGACTAGCAAGAAGCCACTAAGAAGACTAAGACTGCGTGATAGTTGGAAAGGTTTCTCGACCAGATGTGCCATAGAGTATAGCTACAAAAGATAGGGATGGATGGAAAGAAATCTGTTTGACTGCGTGGTCTATATATAAAATAAATATATAAGAATATTAAAAAAAATAAAACTTGCTATGTTATTTATGTATTTAAGATTTGTTTTTAAAAGCCAATAAATTACAATCATAATTTGACTATAGTAATAGTGGAATAATAGTAGGTATTAGTCAGAAGTGAACTATACTTTGTTCCAAATAAAAGCTCATATAAATGAGTCATGGAACTAAGTACGGACTCATCAAATATGTGTAATTGTTATGTGATTGGTCTACTACCATCATCACTGAAAAGCCAGGAACTATCTGTAATGGAAATACACACACAAGTTTGACTAATTTTCATTTGGCTCCCTCTTATTTAGAACAGTAAAGTAAAATATAAAATAATATAATAGCACTATAGTACTTTACTTTTGTCATTTAAGTTCTTTTCACTACCGGTACAATTTGTCAGGATCCTTTCCTGGAAGAACCAATTTTCTTTTGTCTACACATTTTGCATTAGGGCCTCATAAAAATGTTAAACAGCTAGATATGGTAGCTCTATCAAACATTATAAAGGATTGATTACAATTGCACAGAATTTTATAGACAAATTTTTTTTTTTATAAATTACGTTATTAAATCTAATTAATTAACATATTACACATTTTGCAAATTATATAGAATAAAATAATGGTATACACATCAAATATTTTTTTATTGTCATACAGTTTTATTTTTTATTTTTTATTGTTCCATAATTTTTAATTATATCAATAGATTGTTTATTTTTTTTCATGTTAAGATTTCTATTATTCATTTTTGATGTCCTCACCATAGTCTTTGGTAATTTAAAAAGTTCGTCTTGATGTTTCTTCTTTTCAGTATTTTGTTTTAATTTCTCTTTCAATTCTTTATAGTTTAAATGGTTCTTTTTTCTAGGTTTTGCTCCTAATTTAATAGCAAGCTGTTCTTTTGCTTCAGTATTCTGTGCATCAAAATGGGTTGTAAATTTAAATATTTCATTTTGTAATTTTCTCATATTAATTTTTTGATCAGTTTTTGTATTTAAAGTATTAGATATTTTTTCATTGTTGTCTTTGTTAATTTTAATTCGTTTCTTTGATTTATGTTCAATTATTTCAATAGGTGGACGTTTACCTTTTAACTTTGAACATAATGTTTCGACAATACTATTGGCTTCCATAATTCTTCCTAAAAAAAAAAAAAAAAAGATTTAATTGTAACTATAAGTATAACATAATAAATCATAATTTAATTTACACTTTTAAAATTATGAATATTATAAATATATTATGTAAACCAGAAAATAGCTGTAAAAACTAGGTGGCCCTAAAAATCAAACCCGAGAGTCTCGCTTGCTGGGCAATTCAACACTGAGATACCTGACCTTTAATGCTATTTTCACCTTTCTAAACATGTTGCTAACAATATTTTATATTTTAATATAATTATGATACCTACTACTAATTTATTTTATGAATTCTATGACAAAGGACAATTTGGAATAGGTTTTTCAGTGTATAAAACCCTAGTATCGACAATAGTAAATTTCAGAATCATAGACATTATATTTATGTTCAAAACAGTAGATTTCAGAATAGTCAACCTAAAATTTGAAGTCAAGTAGATAAATATTGATTGTAATTATACATACACCAACAGAAGATAATACAGAAGGAAAAGATGATTTTTGTGATGAACTAGAAAGTATATATACCTAATGTCAAAACAAAGATTAAAATGATGGAGGACATGAATTTAAGAGAACAAGAAGTAGTATATAAATTTAACAACAAAGTTATGACTGTTTTAAGTACAGTGATTAACCATAAAAACATACATAAAGGTATATAAAAATCACCTGGCACCTGCAAATTGGATTATTATTAATCAGATATTGGATTTTTAGAAAGACTAAAGGCTTTCAAAATTAAAATTTTAAGACCTATGATGGGCCATGCTTTGATGCACAAATAATTGATTGGCAAAGAAGAAATAATGAATAACTAAGAGATATCTTTAGCAAACTGAATATTCTATAAAACTTGGACAAAAATCAGTAGGATGTATATGGAAAAGGTAATGTTATAGAAGATTCCGAAGAGAAGACTTTGTTTATACTAGGAAAATTATATAAAAGGGGAGGATATTTATAAAATTAAAATTTGTAATTGGGTAAATCCCGTATTGAAATAAATAATAAAATGGATTTTCATCCAAATACAATCTGGTGAAGTCGAGCTGAAAACCAACAGATAGAGATAGATTTGTTTGGATGTTTAATTTAAGAGACCATAAAAAAATGACAAATAATTTATATTTATGTTAGATATAAATAATTATTCCAGTTTACAGAAAAATAAAAATCGTTTTTTTACAATACTAAAAATAAAATATATATTACAGAAGTATTTTGACAATTTTGATTTATGGTGAATTCTATACTTATTTCCATCTTTTTCTATTAATATTTGATTTAATTTATCTAAAGTTATTAAAATGGTAAAGGAACAAATGCACTTTAACACACGCTTTACGTATTTCGAATATTTTTTTTTAAGTTATTTTTTCCATAACTTTTAATAATGGTTTCAGCAAAAAAATTCAGTTTCAAAATCAATGTTGAAAAATATGTTTTAATAAATATATAATTAATTTTCTAATACATAATTTAAATTTTAAAATCTTAAGTACATTACAAAAGTAAAAATTAGTATTAGCATTTTAAAATTTAATTTTCCCCTTCTTTGGTCATCCAATACTATATTCTTTTGTAATAATTGATATCACCCAGTAAATAAATTAATGTAGATGAATAAACAATAATCAGTATAATCCAATAATCATATGGAATATCAAATTATAATAATATTACACTATTTACAAATTAAATAAAAATTAAGCGGAGATTTTTACACCTATAATATAGATACTATGAGATGAAAAATAGGTTCTTGTTTGGAAGACTCAAAAACCTTAAGTTAATATTAGTTAATTATATACTGAAAGTTTAAAAACAATACACAGTACTTAATTTATTTCTAAAAAAAAAATAATTTTGTGTAGTTTTGTTCTATTGCCTCCAACAAAATCAGGTTTCGTCTTAACGTTTTATAAATAAAATATTTATTAAAATGTACTTACTATAAACCAATATTTTTTATATAGTTGATGAAGTTTTTAATTCAGTGGAATCCACACATAAATGTATAAAACAACTAAATATATTTATATTTATATCTGTAAATAAAATTTGAATTACGAGCGTCTAGACTTCTAGAGCATAGAACATGTAGAGACAGCGTCTTTTATCAGCATTTTTTTTGTTTTTATTACAATCATATTATCACATAAATTGCCTTATCACATAATCATATCATTCAATCATGGTAGTCCGTGCATTTAAATTTAATATATTATATCAATTATAAGTGTATTGTATTTATTTATTATTTAATTTTGATGGCCATTTGTAGTTTGCAACATTTAATATGAAAAAAACATTTTTTTTTTTTAAATTACTTCAAGTCAGATTTAGGTTAAATAGACGTTTAACTTATGTAGATTCAGTTGAACTTATCTATAAATTCTTATTTTCAAAGGTGAACATTAATTGTAGAAGAGAAAGAGGAATTGGCTAGATAAACACTGGCAACATGTATTTACAACTAAAATTATAGGGATAATTGCAATAAAAATAACTGGATTATGTAAAATAGGTAAAATTAAATAAATAGCTTATTTACACATTATTTTATAACTTGAATAATATTCAAATTAAGTCAGGTTGGACAGTGTACTTGCTGGTTAGGTTAAGTGGTATACATTAATATATATTTTTGTTCTTTACAGTTTCAGTATATTTGTAGGCATATATATTTTTTAAATAATATATAGAAAATTATTGTTTATAACATAAAATACTGGGAATTTTATGTATTGATGCATACAAATAATGTACATAATATATTCTATACTAAATAAAAAAAAATTAAAATGAATAGGTACATATTTAAAGTACAGTAGTAATATTAATTTCACTCTTTAGTCTATTTTTTCTTTTATAGTATTATTTAGTTATATTTTTTTGTGTGTTTTAATAGAAAAATTACTAAAATTATGGAAGTTTTATATTTATTTTTTTTTTAATGTAAAAGCACATTTAAAATAATATACCTATTTTTTTTATATAAAGATAAATTATGCTATATTTATTAATACATATAAATACATAATATAATAGTATAAAGAGTCGAAAAAAAAGAAAATACATTTGTTTTCAATTAATACTTTTAAAAGTGTTAATAGGTATTTATATAATAATATAGAAAATTAAAACTATTAATATTATTTACCTACCTCTTAGTATTTAGTAACTCTGTGTTATCTACTTTTTCAAGGAAATCCTGCATAACTATAATTTTAGTTGCCAAATATCCTTATGCCATAAGCTATTTATATATTCTAAAATCAATTGTTTAGTACGATTGAGTGTGGAATTGGGAAAATACATTAGTTTTTTTTGAGAGCAGTATCCAATAATATACATAAGTGAACTACGACTGACTAATACAATATTAAATTTTTTTTAAATTATTTATTATTATTATTATTTTTTTTTTAACAACTGTGTGCACAATATACATTTAAACTATATTCAATTTTTTTTTTATACATATAATTTTGACAGTATAGTTGCTTTGGGGATTATTTTTCTAGATGTTTTATTCAGGAAAATTTTTTTTTTTCTGGAATTCTGCTATGACAAAGTAGTAAATGTTTGAAGTAGTTGTTTTTTGTGGCAGTAGTGTCTTCTCAATAGCACAAATTATATGAAATCCACAGATATATAAATATATTATACTGTGGTCTGTACTCGGGGTCGGATTGATATGTATCAGCCCATCAAGATTTTCACTTCTATGCAGTCCATTTACATATTTACTGACCTAAAATTGTTATGAGCTTATTGATGGCTAATGTTTTAGATTCTGAGTAGAGCGAAGAAGCTTATGGTTCTAAAATGATGTTTTTTTTTTTGTTTCTGTGGACAACTTTTTTACTAGTAATTTTGTTCAATTTTTTATGATAGCACCTTTTCTAAAAGGAAATCTGACTGGTAAGGTACTTTAGGGAGGCCATTATTCGATATTCTCAGGAGTTTTCTCTTCAAATGTGAAAAACCAAAAACAAAAAAGAAGAAAAATCGGGAAATGTAGGTATCCTAAAAAAAAAATATTACAATATTTTTATATGCCATAATATATATTGTTAACAAAGCATCACTATCAACTGAACTGCGCTCAGAATCGTTGTTTTCGTAAGCAATGGTTTATCGTTGTTTACAGATATACATTCAATTAACTTATGTATCTTAATTTCCCCAACAACAGTGGCTGCATCCATCTCAATTATCCTATGACAGTTTTTTTAAACATGAATTTATTTTCACGTACACTCACACCACGTCCGGCCAAACTTTAAGTGGCCCACCGAGATTTTCTCGTTAGTTTGCTTAACCAATCCGGCCCTGTCTATACTTAATATAACATGATTAAAGTATGAACAATCAGGGAATAATGCTGTTTACTTATTACTTGAATTGATAAGATCAACTTGTAAGCATTGACCTACCTGCAAATGGCGACATTGACGACAAAATCGAGTAAACAATATACGGAGTTAGCTATCCAGTATAAATAGTATAATATATACAGTGTTCCATTAAGGTACAAACTAGTTCACTACACTCATTATCTCGAAAAGTATTAACTTTTTTCGGGATTTGTTTTAGAACATTAAAAAAACTAGCAGCTCTTCTACAATTTTACACCCATATACATTTCTGTCATCCTCATTTTTGGAGGTAAAATTACTACTTGATTTTTAAATGGCAACCTATATTAAAATTTCCATAAATAAATGGAGTAGGTATTAATTAATATACATTTTTGAGTTTTGTCAATTCGTTGACGAGATATTCCACTTTTAAGTTTTGGTCGGGGGAAAGTAGTGGCGCATTATTTATATGGCGGTATGGCGCGCAGCGTTTTAATAATACACCACAGTAATCAAAAATTTAATTTGTCATGCTTTAGTCATAACTCATAGATAATAAAGAAATATCTATGAAGATTGGAAGTATTTCTTTAATCTTCATGGTATTTCCACGGAAATATCTATGACTATTGTAATGATTGTATATATGTATATATTTAACATAGACGTGTCTATATTATTTAACGAGAAATAATTTCTCAACTGCTCTCTGACGGTAATAATTGATTTTGGATAGTACCTATATAGTTTTATATATTCTCCGCTAGAGTATGATATGTCGCATAACGTCGGTAAGTGGCGACAATCTTGATCGGTTTTTGACTTTTTGTTCGTTCGTGATTCGTGTTCACTGATCGTTGCGTTGCCTTTTCATTGAATTGTGATGAACACTCCATATCTTCTGACCTTTTAGCCCGTGACCCATAGAAATGAAGGCGCCGCTGTCGTTGTAGTCGTGCTATGAAGTGAAAAGCTTAGACATTTTTCAAAGAATTTCTTTCTGATTTGGAATTTTAATTTCATATTAGTTTTATATTCGTAAAATTAAATACTAGTGTATTTTTAAACCAACGTTGTCTACGTTTAGTTAATTATTAAAATGTAAGTATAAATATTTAAATATAGTTATCTACTAAAATTTGTAAACATATTTTATTTATGTACTCCATATTCAGTGACGATGACGATGGTCCGGGGTGGGTGTAACCTGTTCTCCAGTGCCTTTTATTTTTGGTTTTTGCTAACGAAATATTTTTTTTTAATTTTAAACAATTTTATTAATTAATTAATAATTAATTTTTATACCATTTTAATAATATATTGCTAATTTTTCAATACAGTTTTATTTTTCAAGTTTTATCACGTCACACGATCTTACCATACCATGTATCAAAAATACTATAGATGTGAAATTAGAAATATGGATATTACTTAATAGTTATTTATATAATCAATGGTTTTAATTACACGAATAACGGAATGTTTCGTAAATTACCTACCAAGAATAACTCGAAAATCAAATCTAATAATTATATTATAATTTATAATATTGGCATTGGATTCCCTGAAATCAGAAATCATGATTGAAACATTAAGTACCTATACATATTCAACGATTGAAATATATCGAAGTATATTTCATGGCAAGTACTACCATACCCCACACAGAATGTCAACACCACTAAACCGACTGGCAATGTCACGTCTAAATAATTTATCGTGTATCTACTTATATGTTTTATACGATTTATTCTGTTCACATCACAGTGCTCGAATTTGGTGGAAGGGGGAGGGTGGCGCAAGTAGACGGAGTACATTACAAATTTTTCAAAACTTGAAGCGAATCTCTATTACATTTGTTTGAAGTGAAACGGATGGGACACATTGGCGAATACTAGGTGGGCGACAGGGCGATCGGCCTCTCCCCCGTGGGCCGTGTTGTCTGTATTTTGTACGTACGTAATTCTTATATTCTATTATTGTTCATATAATATATACATTTTCAATCAAATCCGTCCCCCTTGTTCAATCTCTGGATCCGCCAGTGTTAGGAGGTACATATTTTCATTAAAATTTGAACTTAAAACGTTTATGAAAAAAGTAATTGTAATAATTTACAAGACGTTCGACTTTTTTTTTTTCACTAATTCTAACTTGCTGAAAAAATTTTAATCACATAAAATCAAATGAAATTCAAAAAAAAAAAATCGAAATATAGAAAATATTAATTTTTTTTTTTACTTTCTTACGCAAAATAATTTATTGTATTCAATGGCGTACCCAATGGTGTGCTTCATACCTTCCCCATTGCCCATATTATTTACAAAAACAGTTGATCAATAAACCAATCAGCATTGTAAAACTAATAAAAATCAAGTAGGTACGATTTATGTTAGCTTTTTAAATAATTTTATTTAGATCTGTATGAAACGTTGCACACTTGACATTCAAAATAAGAGGAAGGTTGGTGTCTACTTTTTATCTTGAAATTCAACCGTTAAAGAGTAGCGTTACAAAGGTTTTAGTATTTTTAAAACGAAAATTGAATATGTTTGTTGATTTACGCGTAACTTTGGCGACACACATGAAAAAATAAACAGTTATTAATATTTAATTTGGGTTTCACTGACAAGAAAGTAGACACGTTACCAGGATAAAGGGTATATGGGTTTTGGACACCCCTAAATTTAATCTTCTCACCAAAATATCAGATGGTACTTTGATTTTATACTCGCTACAATTAATTTTTTTTTTCCTACCCAGACAATTATTGGTAGTTGTAGATTGTATGTTTGAATTCCCCCCCCCCAAAAAAAAAAAAAAAAATTACCGAACAACTATTTACTGTGATAAAGTTAAAATTATATAACATATAATTCAGTTAGTTATTTATAAAATCATAATCATTGTACATTTACACTACTTATTCAACCAAGAACAAATAATTATGTATTTCCAAAAATCCAGTGAATCCAGCTGGGTATGCCACTAGTTGTATTCAATTTGAAATAATAGTATATGACTGCATTAACAGTCAAATGATTTTGTCATGGGGAAGGGATAGGTATAATTTTTTAACAATTATCATTTATATAATTTTTTTTTTAATATAGTATAAATATTTAAGGGAAATGAGGATATGGAAGATGTATCCTCCTCATCACCCTGTTTGACCACCCCTGTGTTACTAGCAACTTCAAATAGTTGCCTATACTTGGGATGGTAAAGTATTCAACATTATATCAGCATTTTTTTTTTTATGATTATCTTAGCATTTTAAAATATTAAAAAAATTAAAATGTGGCTCTTTGAACACATAACAGTGTAATACTGAAAAAACTTATGATTAATATAAATTAATGTTTATTTTAATTTTACTTGCCAAATAACCATTTTTGTTTTTAGATATTTTTATCAAGTCCATATTAAAGTTTAAGTGATTTATTTAAAAATTCAATGTCTTCATATTATGGTGATTTGTCACCAATCAATTGTTTAAATGATAATTATTATTCCAATAAGATAAATAATATTGAATTGAACTTCGAAAATACAGTAAATTAATTTAAGATAATTTAATTCAAAATATAATACTAATTTAAATATTAATTAATTTATAGTAAATATATTTATTTAAATTTTTTTATCAAATACTAGGATACTATTCTTTCAGTCCACTGGAAAAATGGTATGTTGGGAGCTGCATCTTATAATAGACATCAATCTCAAGTAATATTGATTAAAAACTTGATAAAATATAAACTACTAGTATATTTTAAAACACTTTTTTTTATGGTTTTAGATACACATATTGTATGATGCCATGGAAAGTAATTTAGACTATAAAATATTGAATACTTTGTTTATGCAAATCAAGCCTGTGTATGTTATATATAAAATATACTACTTTATTTTTACAATATAATACTTCAGAAAAGAATTTAAATTAAAATAATTATATTTGTATAGACATATTGTAGTGTGCAATTTAATAAATGGGACTTTTTTAAAAATAATTAAACAGTTAGCTTATGATGGCAAAATAAATATGTATGCAAATTCAAGTACAACAGTTAACTCCATATTGGATGAAAAAATCCACGTATTACCCAAATGGTGTTTCAGTGAGTATTTTAATATAGTTTAAAAATAATTAAAAAATATTTTTATATTATTATTAGTTTGCTGGATTAAAATATTTAAATCAAAGAAGTGGGAATTATTTTTTTATTGTAACTTTCTAAAAACAATTAGTTAAGACAATTAATATACAAATTTAAAACATAATAGGTGTGTTTTCATTATGTGGTTTTCAGTAAACATTTGCTGCATTGTTTGCTACTTGGTTGCAATATCGTAAAAACATATTGTGTAATGCATACTTACAAAAAATAATAAATTAAAAACAAAAATATTAAAATAGTTAATGCTCGTAAATAAATAAATTAATGAATGTGTCGCCTGGAGTATTATTGAAGTACTTACTTACTATTTTACCAAAACGTAACCACTTACTAAAGGGTTAACTATCACCTAAAAACACCTAATAATGAATTTAAATCTGTTTTAATTTTATATTATAATATAATATCACTAAGGTTGAAAAAAAAAGTTTCATCAAAAAAATTTTTACTTTTAGAATTTAAAACTTGTGAACAATTAATTTTATCCATGCCATTGGCTTCAGCACCTAAAAATAAGGAATCACGGATACGTTACATACGAAGTTTAGTAGATTTTACTCAAGAATTGGCTGTATGTGCATTAGGTGCATTATTATACTTCATGGATAATTCATTGGAAAGATTAAATTTACCATCAAATTTCACTATATTATCATTAAGAATCCTTAACATGAATGATTTAGTTTGGCTGGGTATTAGTACATATGAATCGTTACAAATATTTTCTGCTCATGAACATCCATCAGCAAACAATTGGATTGTAAAGTCAAATAAAGATAATGGTCTAAGTTCAAGTATTTTCAGTTTATTGAATAGATGTAACTCAGTTTTCAGTTCAGAGTATTTAAAGAATATTTTAGCTCAACCTACTAAAAATCTTGATGTACTTAGATACAGACATGAAGTAATAGAATTTTGTTTAAAACCGTGTAATAAAAATACGATAATTTCAATTATTGATTGTATTAAACATTGCCGCTGTGTGTTAGTAAGTGAAATATTATTGAACATATGTTAGTTAGTTAATATTTAGGTAGGTAACAACAAATTTGTATAATTTAAGATGTTTCAATGCAACTTATTAATCTTACTAATTGTGATTAATTTTTTGAGTTTTTACAACAATAGTTTATACAAATCTACAATGAAATATTTAATAGTAATAATTTTTTTTAATTCTGAGTGGAGGGAGGGATGTATTGGTTACAATGATGTTTATTTATTCATTATATATTTTTTTTTTGTGAACAACTTTTCTACCAAAAATTTTCCTCCTATTTTCAAGTGTCCCACTACACTTGAAAATCCTTTTCTGAAAGGATATTTGACTGGGGAGGTACTTTGGGAAGATCATTTTTTGATTTTCCTAGTTTTTATAATAAATGGAAAAAAGTGAAAATGGTCAAAATGTACATGCTCTTCAAAACTCCCCATTGTCCGTTTGTTTCATCATAGTAAAATAATACATATTTTATTTACTTTTAATTATTGTATTTTATAATTATTAAAGTAAAAAAGCCAATCTAAATATATTATCAAAAATAAAGTAAAGTCTTTGATATTTACCACTATATTTATATTTTATTGAATAGATTCCTTTAGATGTATTAATATTCAATACTAATCTGTTTTTATATACCTAATTTTAGTCCATAATGGTTAAATTAAATGGTGGCAATGCTTCAATATATCAATGGAAATCATTATATCAAGTAAATATATTTATTTATTTCACAGATTTTACATAATTATTATTTCTACTATACATTAAGTACCTACATTAATTTTACTTAAAATCATCTAAATTTCCTTCTACAATTCCCTTTTTCACATTCTATGTGTTCAATGTTAACCATTAAAGATTCGACAAAAACATTTTTTCATTTTTTTACTTTCTTAAATTCCATCAATATTATATTTGTAACATTAAACAATTTCTGAGACATATTCTTTTTTACAATTTTATCATCGCGTTTTCCTAAATTTTCCTGAACTGAATTTTAATGATTTTCGTATTAAAGTACCAATATCGTTAAATTTTCAATATAAAAAATATCTACTTAAAAATGTTAACACAATTATTGGAATATTAGAATAGACATTCAGCAGTCAAAATTGGCATAGACAAATAATGGTACTAGAATTTTCATATTTTCTCAGTTTAAATTCTAAAAATGTGTAATTTTAAATGTACTATAATATTTTCAGTCAGTTCTAAATGCTATAAAAATTGGAGAAATTTGTGGAAGATATTGTGAAGAAATTAATTTGTTTAGAAAAGTATGTAATTATAAAATATTGAATATTACATTTAATTATCAAGCTGTACTAGAATATAATACAATTATAGATTAATAACTCATTAAAAGGTAGTCTTTATAATATGGCTAGTTCTATGACTCGTATAATTGACTTTGAACAATCGACCAAACAAGACAAATTTATAGTTAATACTGGAGTTTTACCAGAACTTGATGAAAGTAAATAAAAACAATTTGAATACATTTTATCCATTATTAATATTAATATTTTCCTATAGAAAAGTTGAAAATCAAAAATATGTCTCATGTATTAGATGTAATGACATTAATAGAGTTACAAGATTTACCTTCACACATTCAGGAGTGTTCAATATGTAAATGGCCAGAATTAGGATTTTTTTTATGCATTCCAATTTGGAAACATTCTAGTGAAATGACTGAAAATGATTATAAAATACAAAATTTGGAATTTAAAGTACATTTTTCATTTGTTAATTTAAACTATATTATTTATGAAATATAATGTTATAATGGTAATTATTTATAATACTTAACATATATTTTATTAATTTTAGTTTCAGATGGCCAATGATGTTTATTACAAAACTTCAAGATGCTATGGTATGTATAATATTACACATAGATAGGTATTTTATTAAATTTATTAAAAAGTTTCACTTTTTTTATTTGATAATAGTGCATATATTACTGATTGAATGCCACCCATGTCTTCTGCCAAAATAATGTACACTTGTGAAAATAATGAAGGGCTAACACTAAATGTACCATCAACAAACCACGTCTTTGAACATTTTAAGATATTTAACCCCATCTGTCTTTCAAATATTAAAATTCTATTAATTTCTTTATCACTATCAGCTAATACAAATTTTTCTTGAATGCCTTTTACTGGTGAATAAGTTTGATACATTTCAGATATTTCCAATGAAATTAGATTTAATGGTGCAAGTGGAGCAAACTAAACTTCCTTTCTTTTTCTTCTGATTTTCTCTTTCTATGCATCATTATTCAGAAGAACACCATAATGTAAAATTAATTAATCTAATTAATATTCAATAAAAAATAACTATTGATTATTATTTATACAATATATACAATAATTATACCTTCGCTGCTTGAGACAAGCCTAATGTACACTCAGTAGTACCACATGATGTTTGTTCCATTGTGGACAACGATCGTTTTCTTATATTAGTAATTTGTGTCTCAACTTTGGCAGCATCAGAATCATGAGTATGCATATTTTCAGATTTTTTGAAAATCATCAAATTGTCAATACTAGTATGAATTCTTGCCAAATAATGATTTTTTTGGCGACATCTTCAAAATTTGTTTTGTTCGTCAGCATTAAATTTGTCAAATATGTACATAAAAATTAAACAACACCCTTCGATTACGTTTGGACTTAATTTTATGCATTATTATAATACATATTATAGTGTGTTTTTAATTTTTTAAAACTAATGAACGGTAAATTTGTGTACTTCACTAGAGACGACTGTTTGTAAACTGTAGTAAATAATGACACCAAACAATTGGGCAAATTCATTTTATCATCATAAATAATATATACTATGGTATAGTAAATCTGCTTTAATCGATGACGTCGCCAAAACGTCTATATCTGCAATGCGACTTATATGATTTTTAAAATAAATAAATTATTAAAAACTAATGGAATTGTTTGACAATAACTATTAATAATCTCATTTTTCTCCTCATCTGTTTAGTTAATTATCAAAATAATTTATTGTTGATTGCCTCTCCATATACAATTATTTGGTATAAAATAATTAGACTGTTAGGATTTGGGTTTCTTTTCTGTTTTTTTTTTTTTACAAAATAGTTTGTATTTATTTTATTATATAAAAATGATGTCTATGTATAACATTTAAAATTTAATTATCAAAATAACACTTAAAAGCTGTAAATATACAAATACAAATTTGTTTCTTACTGAAAAGTGAGAATGTTTAGGGTTCTCCATAAAGAATATATGCAAATTTTAGAACTTCCAAGTATTGATAAATAGGTACTAGTTGACTAATATTTGAAATTAACTGATATATTGGTTGAAAGCCAGATCTATTTTTAAATATTCTAGACATTAATATTTTTTTCTGAATAGTTCAAACATATCAAGTCAATAATAGGCTTTTTAAAAAAAAAAAAAAACCAATATCGTGTTATTTAATTTTTAGACTTATTTCTAATAATAAATAATAACGTTTTTAGAACTAGACAAATTTTTTGGGGAAATTGAATATGGTATTATTAAAGAAGAAACACAAACAATGATTAAACTTACTGAACTTATTACTCAATATTGGATTAGTGATCTACATGCAATTTTATATTTAATTTCAGAATTAGATTGGTAAGTATATATAATGTTGAAATATATAAATCTAATTTAGTACCCTCCCCCTCACGATTTTCCAAATTTGGTTCTATTGAATGTGTTTTTTGATGCTGAATTATATGATAGAACAATGAGAATTTGGACTAAAATTTGGTTGGACTTTGAACTATAGCACAATGAAGATGGATATTATGATGTATTGTGATGCAAAAGTTACAACTAAAGTAACCAAAGTTATTCACTTTTTAAAAAAAAATTGTATTTAGCACTGTGTGCATGTATTTATGTGATTTGTATTACATTAGACTATATTATTAATTGTTATTATTAGGGCTCAAAAGTTATAGGAGTTGCATATTTTTCTGTATGCGCTGAATTTATAAGAAACCATTTATAGAAGTATTTTAAAATTAAACATTATGCATATTTCATAGATTTTCATTGATTTTCGCATATTTTTTTATGCATATAATATTTTCTAAAAAAAAGTTTTCTTCCTTTAAAAATTTATTTTAAATAATATTAAATTTAAAACTCAATATTATTTTATTATTTCTTACTGAATTAGTCTATTATTAATTTAACAACAACTGTGCGATTCGTATTTAAACTTTATATTAGATTTACATATTAATAATGACATTATATGGTATTGATTAATAAACTGAATAATTTTTTGCATATTTTAGAATTTTTTCGTGTATATTTTGCCTTTTTTAGCTTCTATAACTTTAAGCCCTAATTATTATTAATAGCCAACTCATGAATAGAGGTGACCAAAATCCTTGTCTCACATAATATATGTTGGTTTACATTTAGTCATTTAGAACACTATATATTCTTGCAGTAGTATCAGGTTGGAAGTGTAAATTAAGACAGCATTATTGGATTCCCTCCCCTTAAATAAAAGTTGCGCAGCATCACAGAATTAACAAGTGAAACCAAAAAGTATAAGAATCTTTCTCTTATACCCACATTACTATTTTGCTTAATAGGTACTTATAGACACATATTTTAAATCTCTATAATAATTTCTGAAATATTTTAATTGCAAAAACATTTGTTTTGCCGAAATTTCTTTAATCATGGTAATTGCAAAAAATTCAAATATTTTCAGAATCAGTGTCAAAAGACGTCTAAAAAAAAAAAAAAAAAATTGTGGGGGAGCTAAACTAAATTTATTCTAATAATCTAAACTCCTAAGAGTAAAATTAAATATTTTTTTTAAAAAATGATTCACACAATGAATTAGTCATTTTTTCCCAATGCAAGTCTAAGCATTCTAATAATTATAATTTGGTGGGATCAAGTTATATAGGTACCTATTTATTATTTTATTAGGATGAAAATAACTCAAATTATACATGTCAACTTTTTACATTTTTATTATAACCAAAATTTTTTTTTTCTTTTATTTTTATTAACTGTAATAAAAAATTGCTCATTTTAAAATCATATTGACTTAATAATTTCCAAGCTTTTGATAGTAGTGATATGCTGTCAATCTCAAATAGATTTCACAATAGATTTATATTTTCATAATTTGTGTCTTATTATTAAACTAAAAAGTCGTTCACAGACACAAAAAAAAAAAACCATAATCATAATAAAACTAATAAATCCCTTGCTCTGCTCAGAAAAATTGAGATAGTAAATCACCATTTACAATCCCATTAATAATAATCTAAAATTCAAGTAGACATAGTATGATGTAATCATATTTAAATAAAATTGCTTAACAATATTTTAAATGTTTAGCTTAATAGGTTTTGCAGAAGTTGCTCAAGACTTAACATTAATAAAACCTAAAATGCTTCCAAAAGAGAAATGTATGATACATATTGTTAACGGTCGACACATTTTACAAGAACAATATGTGAATAAATTTATTCCAAACAATTACAACTCTTCAAAAATGAATCAAACTATTAAAATTTTAACAGGTTTTAATTCAACTGGAAAAAGTGTTTACTTAAAACAGGTTTAAAATCCATATAATTATTTCATTTTAAAAATGTAATTATATTTTTAATATTAATAGGTAGCACTTATATCATATTTATGCCATATTGGATGTTATGTACCAGCAGAGTATGTGGAAATCAGTGTATTAGATCACATTCACACTAGAATTCAATCAACTGAATCTGTAAGCACTTTAATGTCAGCCTTTATGATTGATTTAAAACAAGTTAGTACTCATATTTTAAATATTAAAAGAACATTTTCTCACTGTCATTTAATGTTTCTGTCATAGAATATTGACTATAGGAATTTTAATTTCTTTGTATTATTTTAAAACATCGCTCAAATGTTTTTATATAATAAAACATTGCCAAGTTTATAGTCTAATCGACTATTAGTTAAGTTTAAGTAATTATTTATTCAATTTCATAAAATTCAAATCCCCAATGATTTTGGAAAGTAGGAGTAAGAGTATGTTATCTCAATTTTAATTATAATTGTGTATTACCATATTAGTTTATTAATTTTATATTGCTATATTATCAATTATTTCAGAATTCAGGTATGTATACCCATTATATACCTATTTTCAGATATACTAATTGTAACTACAGCACCCCACCCCCCTATATTTGCTTCCTATTGCAATTACTGGTGGATTAAATAACCTATAGTTATGGAATAAATGGCAGGGATGAAACATCCTGATTTCGTTTTAAATAAATTTATCACTATATTCTAACTAATTAAGTTATTAAAGTAATTTATATTAACAAATAGATGTCAGTAGCAGTAAATGAATCAACGTGTGGATCTCTTATAATATTAGATGAATTTGGAAAAGGTACATCTGAACTTAATGGATTAGCTCTATTATTAGCAAGTATAAGTCACTTTGTGCATAGACCATTACATTTATTACCACACATTATTGTTTCGACTCATTTTTATTCTTTGCCAAATCTTCTTCAACAAATAATAAATACAAATATTTTATATCATAATATAAAGGTAAATACATATTATATTGATTTAAATACCATTATTAACTGGTAAGGAAAACAAATTATTTTATTTTTAGTTTTTAAGCATGAGTTATGAAATAGTAAACTCAGAATTAGTTAGTTCATACATGGTGGTTGATAAAAAAATTAATCAAAACTTGAGTATGGCACACCATATAGCAGCCTTGAATGGTTTACCAACAACTATAGTTCAAAGAGCTACTCAAGTATTCAATAACATTTTTTAATCAATCCTTAATGACTAATATTTATTACAATATAAATTTAAAATTGTTTTAGGTTCTTCAATCAGTTCAAAACAATGAGTATGTAAACCCAATGGTAGAAAATCTTAGATTTGAATTACTTTTAAGGTAAATCAAAAATATTGTTAATTTGTTCATATTTATTAGTTAAGTCAAGAGGTGAAAATTTAGTTTCTCATGAAATGCAAAAGATATTCTTTTAAAAAAAAACTTACAAAAATTAAAAAAAAAAGGTTCAATAAATCCAAAAAAAATTTCTCATTTAAAAATACATGATACAAATTTATAACAAAATGAACCACATGTTATCTGAGTTACCACTGTCCAATAATAAAATAAAAAAACTTCATTGTTTGAATTATAAAAATTTTGAATTAAAATTTTAGATCTAAATATGAAAGAATAATTAGAAATAAATTTATTTATTTTCTTTAATAATTTATTAATATGAACACACGAAAGATAAATTTTCCTGATTTCTTCCAATTATTATAAAAACCACGTGGAAAACAAAAAATTATCTCCCAAAAGTACAACCCAGATTAAAAAAAAAAAAACATTGTAAAACCAATACATGTTACTGCAACAAAATTAATATGTTCAACATATATATTTTGATTACACTTATTTACAATAATAAATACATTCCTCGCTTCACTCAGAATCTAAATAGATCAGTTTTCTGAAGTTGGAACTTCTTAGATTTTTTTTTTTTGTAGAAAATCCAGATAGTCAACATTTCTATTTATGATTTTGTGTAGGAAAACATTGTTGAATATTGTCGTCTATTACTAATTTTTAATTATAGCAACCTATTCAACATTTTGATTAAACCAACCGGGTTTAAAAGTAAAAAATTGTATAAAACGAGTGAACTTTTTTTCCAATTTATTAATTAGACTAGACTGGCATTAATAATGCTAAAAAATAAATTGAATAATTTATTGCAAGTTTTATTATTTAATATATTATAACATTTAATTGTATGTTTTATACAAACTTTTTTTTTTTTTAGGAGAAAACAATACATTGGAAATTTACTTGAACATATACAGGTAGATGGAATTACAGAGGGTATTTTTCAAGATTTGGTGGATGATTTAGAAAATATAAGGTACCCACAAAAATATTAGTAGTCATAATAATTTAGTTCTGTTATATTTTTCTTATTCAAACTTCAACAACAAATATTATTATATAATGTATAAACAACTGTAATTATATACTAAAAAATATAATTTAATTCAAACTTAAATCTATTTATGTAAATACTTGTTAGTAACAATGTCAATGGATGGGGATTTAAAAAAAAAAATGGAATGTAAATATAGGACTCTCATTTTAGTTTGATAAACTTTAATATTTTTATGCATAGGATTCTAATTTAAGTTTTTTAGTTGTACATACATATAATATATACAGAGAACATTATTTTATATTCTACAAATAAATATATATATATATTCATTTAATACAGGGAAGTTTTTATTTATCTGAGTACTATCCACAACTGAATCGCTAAGGTCTATAATATACATGCAAAAGTGGATGAATAGGTCTGTGTGCACTTTGAAGATAGAATTCTGAAATTCCAATTTTAAAGTGGCTTGGTAGTTTGAAAACAAAAATTGCATTATTTTTGTTGATTTATATGTTACTTTGTTCACATTGATTAAAAAGAGTTATTATTAGTTAACTTCGTTGTCACAAGCAAGAAAGTACCCTTTTTATAAATTAAATTATCAGGCCATAATGCTTAATTATGATAAGGATGAGGATGGAAATAGGGAGTCACAGCATTCTTACATTTTTTTCATTCAATATTGTGCACAGGAAAAGCCCATATGTAACAAATATTCTCATATTTGGTAACTTAATAAAATATAAAAAGATAATTAAGCTTACTAAACTGTAGAAATATAAAACAAAAAAGTAATTTAAAAATACTATTATAACATTTATAACCTAAAATAAACTTCATAAGGATTAAGGATACAAATTTATAATAAATCACATATTTCGAATAATTCAATAATATTAGTATTTTAAGTATTGTAATAGTAGAAATTATAATAAAATATTCATAATTTAAGTATTTGTTAAAAAACAAAAATAATAAAAACCTAGGTCTATTTTCTAATCATACAGAAGAGTAATGAATAATCAAATCTTGCAATGACCATCTTATGTATGGTTAGACAATAGTTCTCGGAGTATTATTGTTTTATTAATAACCTACTAATTAATATTAAAAAATAAAATAATCGCATAGATGTTGGATCAGTTTTAAATAAATACTTATTATATTTTAATTAAATCCTGTTATACTTTTAATAATTTAATTTATTTTTGATGAGTTATAACAGTTAGATGTAAATTTATTTATATATTTTCTTATAAATGTATGTCAACTTTTAACTATAATATTTATATTATGCATAACCTTTTAGAAACATTTTAAGGTTTATTTTTAATACACCAGACTAGGGTATTATAGTAAAAAATATAATTAACAAAGTCTAAAATTCTTCTCAGAGTGAAATGTATAATACATATAGTTAACATCTGCACATTTTACAGAAACAATAAGTAAATAAATTTGACCAAATTATAATAGATTGTTAACATGTCCATCAATAATACTCCAAGAATTTATTCTTTTAGATTGAAAAACCCTGTATATATTATATTTTTATATTTATTTATTTTTGAGTATTAACCACTAAAATAAGGTTTTGTTTTTTGTAGTTATTTAACCAACTTAAAGCATAATTCATATTAAAAATTTAAATTTAATTATATTTGATAGACCAATATGTCTAAACATTATTAGTTATTATTACAACATATACTTTAATAATTTAAATTGTTTATTATTTATAACTTTTAGAAGAAAAATATTAATAACATTTTGTTAACTCTGGTTTTAATGTGAAGTTTTATAATTTGATATTGAGATGTTCTTCTATTTATTAATTCAAAAATATAATAAAATTAATATTTGTATTTTTTAATAATAGTTGGGGGTTAATTATTGCTATTGGTATTTTAATGTTAGTTAAATAAAATCAAATTTATAAATAAACGTAACAATATATCTAATTATATATGATATAAATAAGTTAAAATGTTATAAAAACTAATTAAATGCAACTTATCTATCAAGATGGAATTCATTTCATTCAGTTATATGCAAAATATTAATCAGCAATTTTGGTATTATAACATTAAAATTAAAAAATAACATTACCCTATTAAAATATTAAGTGAATTAAATTTCTTCAAATACCTATAGTAAAACAAAGTTATTTCCATTTATAGTAAAATAGGGTAAAAAAAATTAATTAATAACCTTTGGTTGTGTGTAGCAATGTAAACAACTTTTTTAAGTTAAATAGTTTTATGTAGATGTAACACCTCTTCTGGCAACTAGTAAATTTAGTATCTTATGCTTTTTAATATAGTCCACCGCCTTTTTATGAGTTACCATTGTAAAATCATATCCATTACACTAAAACACCAAATATCATAATGTTAATTATTTAAATAATTCATAGGTAGTAATTATTGATATTCGTACTTGTAATATTTTATCATGTATTCGTAATCCAGACCTTGATGCAGGGCTTCCATCATGTACTTCAGTTACATATATGCCCTTAAATGTGTAATATGGTTAATTCAAATATAAATATTGAACCTATCTTAAATATAAGTCCATACATTGTCTGTATATCCTTGGGGACTTCTTCTAAAATCTTGATCGATGCCTCCTCCAATTTTGAACCCACATTTTAGTAATTCTTGGCCTTCAGTATCAATCGCTGATTCTTTGGTTAAAGTTATAGGTATCTAAAAAGTATGTGGATAGTTAATAATATTAGGTTATTGTTATAAATTGAATTTTATTGGAGTGGGTATAATTACACTAAGGCATTCCATGGCAGTGCCAGGTTGATGGGTAAATGCCATTTTAGCACACATTGTGTAAATATTTGAATGTACAATGTTTGGCTTAAAACTTAAGGTGAACCCCTTAAAATATCAATAATTATTTTGCTGTTCGATATAACTAAAACACGAATTATGAACACTCAATAAACGGTAATTCACGACTGTATTGGCAATTGTTAAATATATCACGATGACGTCATACACTGACAAACCTTATCAGTTATCACACTTGTTTTAATATTATCACTCACTTTTATTAATTTTTTAGACGTTCAACTCCATTCATACATACAAATGAAAACACCTGGTAAAAATTAGGATCAGACATTTTGCTGCGCTCTAGTAGTGATGTTCCAAACTAAATAATAACATGAAAGTACCTACTGGCTATTGGAATTTGGAAAGCTAGTTTAACTCCCAAGCTGTTTTTTTTTCAAAATGTGTTTTTGAATGCTTAATTTGATGGTATTTAAAAAAAAAATGTTAGTCAAACTTATTTTAGGAGTTATATTCAAAATACTAATAATTAGTGTAGCTACAAAACAAGATTAACCAATTTTCAATTTCTTATACTAATTATTTAAGTTAAATAATTATAAAAATTTAAAAATTGTACTCGACAATTGTTATAGAAATTATTCACCATTTCAGACTTGACAAAGAAGCAGCTACAAATAGAATAATACTATGATTATTAATAATTGGAATAGCATCCTGTCAAAATACTGCATTTTTATATATATTTCCTAAAGCTTAAAAAATTGTGTTTATTAAGTATCCAACACAAGTATAAAATTCCATTTGGTCTTAATTCAGCAATAATGTTAGCTAATTAAGTAAATTTAAAATTTTTCTTTTATATTATTTCTACTGTGGAAAAATGTAGTAATTTGAAGTTTGGTAATAGATTAATTCACTCTAATATTAAAACAAATGGCACACAAAATTACTCCTTATATGAGAAGATTAAAATATTAATGTATTATCTGCCGGTAAGAGGTGACAATTAGAGTTGTACCAGATCGACCAGTCTGTGTAAAATTTTATCACATAGTATGAGGAGTTCTAAATAAGACTTTGGTGTCTCATCTTGGATATGTGCGGTGACAACAAGTAGAAAGGATATCATGGTACATGATGTTTGTAGATGATATAACTTTTATAGGAGAATGTCTGGAATAAGTTAATAGATCAATAAAGAATACTTGAGGAATGGAGAGTAGCACTTGATAGAATAGAAATTATAAGTAAGGTCGAGAGTTTTAAGTGGGTATCTAGGATCTTTTATAAAAAAGGACGATGGCTTTCTAAAGAATGTAAAACATAAAGTTAAATGTGGTTAGGTGTGAAGTGAAGAAAGTAAAAGGTGTTTTATGAGAAAAGAGAATTTCTATGAGATTTAAAGTTAAGTTATGTTGTGTGTTTAAAGTGTTGGGGAATAGACAGAAAAATATAACTAAGAATGAGTGTAGCCGAGTTGGAAATGGTTGGGTACGTTTTCTCTTAAGCGACTGTTGATACAATGTAAATTAAATATACTTGGTTGTCCTGGCGCGATCAACAAGTTGTTTTGAAAATAATTAATAATATGTAATTATAAATAGAAATTTGAATTTAAATCTAGTTATCTACAATTATAATTTTATAACTGAGCAGTGGGGAAGTCCACATTGACATAAGCTGTGTTCTGTCAAATAATATACAATAGTATGATAGGCAGGTACTCATTTCTTAATTGACCACTCGTTAACATCGGTCGTTCAAAGGTAAATTTGAGTTCTTCAATGGCCCAAGTAATAATAAAGTCGAAGATGATAATAAATCATCTCTTATTAGATTCAAAATAAAATCAGACTGATTGCGGTTTATTCTTAAAAATTCCCTGAACTTGATTTCATTATTTTTTAAATGACCGCTGATAAGTATTTCATGATAACCTTTGATACTTCTCTTTGTAAATAATAGATCATGCTCTTTTTTTTCTCTTCTGACATATACCAGAGCAAAACCTCATCATCATCATATTCTCCTAGTAAAAGAATTTTTAAAATGTCTGTATCTAAATATATCCTTACTAATATTTTTTTTAAGTGAGCGGTTCGCGTGGTCTCCCAGACTTGAGCAAAATATTGAGTACGACTGAATGTAAAATTATTTATTTTATAATATATTTATATTTCATTATGAAGTATAAATTATATAAATTTCTGAATCATAAAGTAAAATCTAGATTAAACCAAGACACCGCGACCGCGATCTTATTTCGTCGATCGCGCAAGGAAAAACGTACCTTTAAATAAATGAGTGAATTGAAGAGAAAAGAAAGGTTAAGGAGATAAACACATAAGAGGTTGTTTTGCTTTGATAGTAAACAAAATTAAGAAAAATAAACTTAGATTGTTTGGGAATGGAATGGACAGAATGGAATCTGAAATCAATTGTAATAAAAATAAACATAGAAGAAAAGAGGCAGAGAAGACCGAAAAGAGGTAGTTAGATGCGATTAAGAATGGTATAAGGACAGCTAGTATATACAATATGAGAAATGTGGAAGTTGAAAACGAGGGGGCTGCCCCAAATATTTGGAATGAAAGCGGAGAAGAACGGCACGAAATAAGTCCTACTGAACGCGAATTTGCTACTTTGTGTATTTATTAAACAGAGACAGTGACGTTCTTTTAATGGTCAGATGACATATTATTAAAGAAACGAATAAGTGACATAAAAAAATATGTTATGTTTGAACCAATATAGGTAATTAAAATGAACAATTTTATACCTAATTAACCATTTATAATCCGCGTCCAGGGGGAATTTATTAATTTTAGTTTAATCTTACAACCATTGATGTAACCACTTCTTACAAGTAATATTGCTGTAGAGTATGTTCAAACATTTAAACTGTAAATTGCAAGGGTTAATTATTGGCTGATACTTTTTTTTTACACACCCTTATCCGCAGAATAGTTTTTAAATTTGTATAATTTTAAATATGAAAATTATAAGTGTATCATACATAATTTATATGACAACAAAAGAATTTTGAACAATTGTTTTTCTCTAAATCCCAAAGACGATTGGAGTAGTGAAGCCATAAACGTTTTCGGCTCTAATAAAGCTACCTTGTAGATGGAAATAATCAAGTTCCAGAATGACTTGGGTTTAAAGGAAAAATGTATTCAAGTCCTTGAACACTTTACAGTTCATCCAGATCAATTCTGGATGAAATGAGTTTGTTCAAGTAAATATCTAGAACTAAAAAGTCTGGTCACTAAACTATGTACAATATTTGGTTTAATATTATGTTTGTGAAGCCTATTTTTCTAAGATGAACTTTATCAAAAACAATTTCAGATCTCGGTTAACAGATGATCATTATAACTAGTTAATACAAATCGGTTGCACCTAACAAATGAAATTTTTTTTTTGTAATAATAATAAAATTAAATAAATCAATTAATATAAATGCTAATTAAAAAAAAAAAAAAAAAAAAAAAAATGTAATTATTTAAGTGTATAAAAGTCATTAAAACTGTTTTGGGACTGCGGAAAGTTTAGTGAGTTTCAAAACAGACCTTTATAGAAATTAATTGGTGAGCCCTGGTATAGTGTATAGAACGCATTTGAAAATACAGATAGTATTTTACAACTTCTACTGAAATTGATCAATAAGTCTTAAGAAAATTGATTTCATTAGATTTCCCAAAATAACTACAAAATTCCCATACTAAAAAATGTTCTTAATTGTGATGATAATTATTAAATATCTGTAAACTATCATTTCTAGATATTAAAATACTGAGATACCTAGATTTTTAAATTTCTATATTTCTATTTGTTTATTTGTTGAGTAATAAATTATTGGTTTTATTTTTGTCGATTTCTGTAATACTTTGACTTCAAGAGAAAAAACACTACTAATACTATGTTTATAAACTAATTTGTTTAATGTTAAATAATTTAAATAAATAAAAAATTTTAAATTGGTGAAACGAATACCTACTTTACACGGGATCTTAATGATATATATTTTTAATTTCAGGCAATTACCATTTGTTTATTTCACTCTGAAAGAAATCATTTTCCTAAAAATATTAACACATTATAAGTGTCAATATTTTGTGGGCATGTATAAATATATAATCTAGAAAAAATAATACATCATGTACAACAATTTTGTTTAAGTGCAAATTTCACACATTTATTTAGTGTAAGGGAACTTGCGTCATATGTTATTTAGATCGAAAACTTATCTACCACAGTCTACACCATTCCTTTTCAGGTTTTTTTTTTTTTTTTTTTTTTTTAAGTCTGAAAACAACTAAATTCTTGTTATTGTTGAAAGAAAATGTTACAAAAAAAAAAAAAAAATCCCCCAAATGGAATAAGTTTAATGTTCTGTATTGGTTACTGGTTAGACCATACAATTTATATACATATAAATGTATATCGGTGTTTTAAAGGCTAAACACGTCTGGTTTAAAGGATAAACTAGTTAATCCAGAAATCAGGTTTGGTCAGTACTATATATATACCTACGATATAAAAGCACACTGTCAATGTCCGACCCACATTTATTGTCCGAGATGTAAAAACAATGCCATCAGATAGCATACGACGAGAGTTCCAGTGTAAGTAGTATTTACTTTAGAACCGTACAGGATATACAACTGTATGCCCAATTGCCAAAAATATCAGTTGAATTTTTCGTTTTAATGACCTTTGTAATGGTTCTCAGTAATCTGCACTATTTTTAATATTTACAATATTTTAAGAATATTTTGGTGTTTATTTTTAATACAAATTTTGAGTATTATGTGATAATTGAGAATATTATGTAGTACCTATAATATGTGCAATTATGATAATCTATATTAGTAAGATAATGAAATAAGGTATTTTAAATTTGAAGTAATAGCAATTTTTTAAACATCACATGAATAATAAGTTATAGTAGAATGAATTGTATATATTACTTATGAACATGTGAAGACAGAATTTTGTATGGCAATTAAGTTTCTGGATACTTTAAACACAACTCTGGGCTCCCTCTGTGGATTAGAAACAGCAATAAAAATTTAAATATAATATATGAATAAGAGATTTATTGGTCCTAATTAATTACAAAACTTATTATAAGTAGTAAAAATAACAATTATATAATAAGGATATTGGATAACAATAAGTAATGCACAAGTATTGACATTAAGCATATTTCCTACAAGTTACCTGTTATTTATTGATATTGTCAGTATTGGTTACAATTGTTTGCTGACTGTCAAATTAATTAAAAATGATGAATAACAGGTATACCATAAATGCCAAACTGCTTCAAAAGCTGTTGTTTTTTATTTAATTAAGTTGTTTGCGCTGCTAACATTTCTCTAAACCAATTACTAAACTATTTGCTTTCTGCATCTCTGCAAATATTATTATAGAATAATATGGTTTATTCTAAAATTGATGGTGTATACGGAGAGCATATGCAATGGGTTAACCTTCATTTTAATATAATACATAAATACAAACTTCTTTAGTACAAATCCTAATCTAATCCAACACATACATACAGAACAATCTTTATAGATTTTTGGTTTTATTTTTTCATTAGTTTTTTAATATTCCATTGGGTTAGGTTAGAACAAATTTGTTCAGTCTCTTATAATACGATTTTACGCTGAATTTGATCTCTGTAAGAGCATTTAATTTGTTATGCCATATATACTCGTTACATGTTAAATATAACTGAAAATCAGTCAAAGAAGGAACTAAATCACTAAATTGTATGAGACTAGTTTTAAAATCTTCCTGTAACAAAAAAACAAACAATATTTATTAACATCAAAACTGTCATATTTTCTTAATTATATAATCAATTAATTATTCCAACATTTAAATGTCCTAATTATAAATTGAAAAATATTTGAATTAATATTAAATGATAATATTCCAATACCAATTCATGATTCAGTTTTAGTGATAAGTAGCTGATTGATAAACGTTTTAAATCCAAACATTTAATATATTGAAAACATTGATATGATAACTTTGATTGAAAAAGCTTTAAAGAAATTAATCCTAAAAATATAAAAGTATGGATTAACTAAATAGTAATATTAATATGTATATTTGTATACAACTTATTTACCTTTAAGATTAGATATTGGAGATTTCATTAAATTATTATCTTCTAAGTTTGTACAATTGTAAATCCTTAAGTGTCTTAAACTGGTAAGATTTTTGAACAATAATTGAAAATCTTCACCTTTTAGAATGTCACCATTAGATAATTTTAAATTTGTTAAATTTTTACCAAAAATTATTATTTTCTGTACATCAATAAAACAATTAATTAAGTGTAATGAAGTTAAGTTGCTCATTGCACTGACTGGAATGGCAACAGTTGAATCATCATTTTCCATATCCTTCAATATATCAAAATGTAATGTCTTCAAATGTGTCATATTCACCAATGATTCAAAAAAATTAGGTACACATGTTATGGTATTACACAAGATCTCTGTAACTTTTACATTTAAGTATTTGAGATTATATAGTTTTGTGACTGCTGTTAATGCACAACAAAACATAAAATCCATCTCCAATTTTTGTAAAGATATATGTTCACTTAATTTTAAATTTATTTCCTCCAAGTAAGATGGTGAACTGCAAGCGCATAATATCTTAAATCCATCGAACTTCAAAGACTCCAACTTAATATGGCTGGATAGTTCAACAAATATATCACAACACTCATCCAATCTTAGATTGATTAATTTTTTAGTGGTTTTCAAAACATTTATAATATTAGTACTAGTAAACACAAGGTTTGAATTAAAAACTGTTAATGAATTATTATCTCTGTATTGAGGATAAAACCTTCTAATAGCTTGAGGCCATCTTATTAATTTACATTGCCCTAGACCTATATCTGTTACATTTGGAGCTAATTGCATTAATATATTAAAATCTTCATCAGAAATGTTTATCATATAAAAAGTTATACTTTTTAAATTGAGTAATTGTTTCCGAGATTTCATAGTAAATGTAATATTAAAGATTTGTTTGAGTACTAATTCTTTAAGATTGAAACAGTTATTTGTAATAGAATCTAGAAATGAATCTTTTAACAAATCTATGTTTACTAAATGTAATGATACAATCCGATCTGAAACATCTACAACTGAAATAATATCTTCTAATTGTTGAAATGTAACAGTATTTAGTCTTACATTAAGTATGCATTTTTGTGTGTTTAATAGTGCCAATTTGAAATAATCAAACTGTTGTGCATGATAACAAATTTCTTTATTACTAGTCCCTTTTGGTTCATCATCATACTTTGTTTGATCATAATTAAACAAGACTTTCTTGGCAAATTTTGGATGTAATGTTGCAAAATGGCATGTAGTATTAACCAAAGTCATTTGATGACGATCATCAAACGGCAAATATTTTACTATATTTGTTATAATCTATAAATTAAAGACATTAAATTACTAAATATATAATTATCATAAAGTTTTGGTTAGAAAACCTGATTGTACATACCTCTAAAGGTAGTTTTTCCATGGTTTTTATGTTTCGTCACAGAATGATTCGATACCTATGTTGATCAATGAAAAATGACAATACCACGGCTATCTGAGTCCATGACAATGCCAAAAAAAGTTATTTTTAAACCAAACCATAAGCTGTAAAGTGGATTATAGACTTCTAAATGATAGTATGGACCATATATTATTCCTATGAATATGAAATGGACTATTGAGACTATATAGTAAATTATAATCTTCAGTAAATTTTGTAGTAGTGGCCTACCTAGTAAAATAATAATTAAAAAAACAAAATATTGTACTCATTATTTTATTTCATTATCATGTTTAATGGTAAAATTATATTGTGATAAACAACCACAGACACACCCAATATTATCAAGAACCAATGAGAGATGGCAAATTACATTCTCTGGGTAGAGAAGGTAGGGGGTTTGACAAGTTGTTATTACTCATCATACCTATTTACTTAGTCATAGTATGGACTATGAATAACTGCTTAGAGCACTGTACCACTAGTCAGTGTTTATTTCAGACCTTCATCTCTTAAGGGGGATCGTAAATTCCTAAAAAATGATAAACGAACAAATTTACGGTGTATGATTTCCAATTTATACCACAATGTTTTTTAACATAAATATTAATATAAAAACACAATAAGATATCTTTTTTGTTGAATTTTTGATCTAGATAGTGATAAGCAAGTCGCTTTTTTGATTTTCTTTTATGAGTAGATTTTTTAATAAAAATACGTAGAAAGAACGGGGAAATTTACGAATATAATAATTTACGATTTAAAATTTTGTTTTTTAAATTCTGAATGATTTATTTTTATAATTTTCTATCTGTGAACTACTTTTCTACCTGAAATCTTACTCCAATTTACAATAATAGAATTTTTCTGAAAGGAAATCGGACTGGAGAGATACTTCAAAGAAAGTAATTTTTCGATTTTCAACAGGATTTTTCCAATAAATGGAAAAAAAAAACACGGAAAATCGAAACAATAATAAACAAATATTATTATAGAAAATATATAATGTCAATTTAATTATTTTACTATAATATGGCATATATATTATTGACAAAGCATCGCTATCAATTGAACTCCGCTCAGAATCGTTTTTTCGTTGGTTTATCGTTGCTTACAGATATACAGTAAATTTTCTTCAGTATCCTACCTTCCCACCTGCACCCGTCACCATTATCCTAGGACAGCTTTTTAATTAATATAATTCAGTTAAAAAAATTCTTAGAAACTTGAAATCTAGAAATACTAGAAAACTTATATAAAATGTCCTACAATGTTATCCTTATGCTAATAATTCTGTCAATATTTATTTTATTTTTTTTTCAATCGGATTTTGTGTAAGGTGGGCACTAATGTACAGAAATATTACATTTTTATTTTCATTCCTTAGTTATTGAAAAAAATAACTTTTTGTTCTAGGTATCACTTTTCAACATTTTCAAAAACAGTCATTTTCTAAAAATATATTTTTATAAAAAATATGTCCTAGAATAATGGAGACGGGTGCAGCCACTGTTCTAGGTAATTTAATGTATATATGTAAGCAACGATAAACCATTGCTAACGAAAAAACAATTCTGAATGGAATTTAATTGATTTGTCAACAATATACGAGTATATGCCATATTATAGTAAAATAATTAAATAGACATCATATATTTTCTATAATAATATTTGTTTAATATTGTTCCGATTTTCCGTGTTTAAATAACCATCAAATCACGATAAATATGCATTAGGAAGGACAATATAAAGTTATTTAACATAAAATAAAATATCCGCATAATATCAGCACTTCAAAAAATTATAATTTCAAAACTTAGTTTACTTAATTCTGATGTCATTCTCGTTCTTAAATAGGCAGTATACATAGGTTCAGAAAAAAAAAAAAATTAAAAAATTAGATTCGTTCCACATAATTTTTTCGTCAAAATTTGATATTAAAATTCCCTTATGAAAATAAATACTATGTTAAACTCAATTTTTTTTTTAACACAAAGTAATACTCTTAATGAGCCTTCTATTATTTACAGTTTTGAAGAATTTCTGTTCAAGTCTAACAATTTTACCACAGAGTACCTACCGAATAAATATTACGTATAAAACTCCTAAAATTAAAATGGTATAAATAGCAACTGAATCTCAACAAAAATATTACAATTTTATAAATAGCTTAAAAATGGCCCAAATATTTCGAAAATTTTATCGAGTCTAGAAAAGGCAAAATATATAAGTTTTGGTTTAAAATTTCAAGACTACGAATATTCTTAATTTAATTACAACAAATAAAAAAATTAAAAAATAGGGCATTATTTTCGAAAATTTCCCGTTTTTCTTACGTTTAATCGTGGTTTTTCCCAGATGCTGTGAAAACCGCTTGGGAAATCAAAAAATGAACTTCCATCTGGACAACATTCCCTTTAAGAAATGGTGCCGTGCGTATATAGTTGAGCAAGATTTCTAGTAGAATTTGTATACACATACACATTTTTGGATAAAAAAAATAATAAAAATAAACATCTAAATTCATTTAATTTCATACGTTCTTCGCTTCACTCGGAATCTAAAATTTTAATGGAACAACAAACATTCATATTCAATCAATAGTTTCTTAATTCTAAAATCTGTTTTAATTTCTAGAGAAATTTTAAAGAAAATCTTAAATATTATGGCCTTTCAATACATGTATAACTGAACGTTGGCAATGGTTCTTCGTTGGTTATAGGTATACATTAAATTAAATTACCTATAACAGTAGCTGCACCAGTCCCTATTATCCTAGGATGTCTTTTTTTCTTTTAAGTCTTTTAATAATATGGTTGCATTTAACTATTTCTGAACCTTCGAGGCTTCGTCAAAAGGTTTTTTAAAATCACCAATATATTGAATTATGTCGGTGATTTCTATTACAAAATTAAACATGTACTTTTATTACTACAAATTGTAAACAAAATAAGTTTTTATAAGAAAATTAAATAAAAAACTAGTAATAAATGGATTATTTTGGGTAAATTACTATTATTCTAATGATATTATGGCGCCTGTGACTCATCGACTAGAATGCTACCCATAGTTCCTTTTAATAGTGAATAATCTAAGACCGTGCGCAAAATGCGTATAGATGGATAAGTCTATGCCATAAAGTAGAATAATTAATTACCACAGATATAAAATAATAATTACACTATAATTTTATATCTGTGTTAATTACTATTTGGCCTATGCGGCTATGCCGAGCACGGATCCAATCTTCAATTTTTCGACTTGAAACTTGATAAACGCATATGACGTTTCATCTGTGATTTAAGATCTTAAATTGTGGAATGGCCACAGGTGTATATATTTTTAAATATCTGTGAAAATGACATTTGTTCGAAAATGATAAGAATCCAATGCAAAAAACCATGAAAACCCGTTGAATATTAACATCATAGATAAAGAATTTCTTTTTTGGCGGGTTACACCAAGACACGAGGTTTATGATGAGGTAATAAAAAAACGTTTATTTACAACATAAAGACATAAAACAAGTGATCGCCAGCAGACGACTTTTGACGGAGGAAAAGGCGAGCACGCAACAATTAAAAACAACATTAGTTAAGAAAAAACAATTATACATAACAATTATTCGGAGTAGGAAAACAATGTTTCGCGAACGGAGTCGGTGCGAAAAGAGCGAGCGGAACAGTCGTGACGTCGAGTCAAGCGGAACTGTGGACGATGACCGCTGAACGCCGACGGCGAGGGGCGTGGCCGACGTCCGCCGCGAGCGACGCGCAGCGGGAAGAAGAAATGTGGCGCGAAACCCGCCACACTTTATTATCTATCACACTACGATTAAAGAAAATATACATAATCATACTCTATAACGACACCACAATTAAAGATGATACACAGCACGATATAAGATATCTTAAGCCATGATGTACAGGGCACACGAAATACTATCAACTACCCAACGTTCTTTTGTATAACAAATCGGAATTGATTGATTTACTTGTAATATTTCGTTAATTACTTCATCTAAAGCTAAAGGCTCCATAAAACAATATTGCATTTTTACTCTAATATAGTCACATAGTATTCAAAATTCAAATATTATAAAATCGGAACTATTATCTATAATAGGTTACCTACTTTTTTATCTATGGTCAGTACACAGTGATATATGGTTGTTTTATTTATCTATGGTGGCTGCATATCATTTGATAAGAAAAATTGACTTAATTAGTAATTTTTGTTATTTCGTTGAATAGTCCTTTATAGTATTTTAATATAAAATTATCTTTTATGTTTATATTCTTTGTATGGAAGTTAATATTAGTGAATTATTCATATAATTGTAAATAAACTAATTTGTATAAAAAAATTGTATGTTGTAATTAAACTTACGTGTCATTTTTCGATAGAATTTATCATTTTTATTGTACCAAAATCATAAAAATAAAAATACTTAATTTTTAATATGGATACTAATAACCTAACTGTTGTGTTTGACATGCAGACTTTTTCAAAGGTACTATTACTAATTTATTTGTTTTCTTGAATTACTTTACATAATTTATACAATATAAATAATAAAAGATTGGATTGCACATTAAACTAGCTTTTATTATACTACAGGTTTAAATCACATATTAAAATATTTAAAGGTTACTAACTAAAATGTAATGTATTCCTGTGGCTGATGGGATAAGCACATAGTTTTTGGTTTAACTAAATATAATTAATCTTATTGTAAGAAAACTAGTTTACCTGTTTAACAATCCAAAAAAGTTGCATTATTAGTTTTCTTCTACATTTGTATAAGTTAATCACATCTACTTTTTAACATTCTACCAAATAACATTTCCACTTCTGATTAAATGCATTATTATTAAAAAATATAACCAACATGTTATACAGTAATTATTCAAATCTTTTTTTTTATAGTTATTTCATTAATTGATTCAACATACAAAATGTTTTTAAAAAAATAATAGTAATCTAATTGTATCTTATCAAATTAATTAAATATAAACATATGTAAACAAAGTATAGCCTTTTGATTTAAAGATGGTTAACTTTTGTTATAGTATAAGTTATTAATTATATTGTCATGTTATAAAATGAATTATAATTAGTTTTTCTCATAGGAATCATTTTCTGTTGATGAATTTTTAACCGAAAATCGAAATAAAATGACCTTAGAAAATATGAGAGTTGAGATGGGCATCTTTCTTAAAGATCTTCGAAATAAGATGATTAACTCACTTAATGATGATTGTGATAAATATTTTTATTTATCTAGGGGATTAATTGGCATTGATCAGCAATTAGCCACTCTAAAACCTGAATTATGTTTATTAAGTAACTCAGTTAATGTATGATATTATATTAATAAAATTATAACTAGAAATATAAAAATATTAACATTTTTATTCAGGTAGCTAAATGTAATTTGGAAAATACTTTGAGCAATCTAGATAACGAAATAAAATTGAATAAAAAAATATTTGAGGATAAACAATCATTACATACTATTGTTAAAGTTCAAAAATCATTGGACAAATTGGATGAATTGTTATTGGATCAAAATGATTTTAATATAATAATTTTAACCCGAGCTGTCACTGAATATAATCAGCTCATGTCTAATATGACTAAATGTACCAATTTATTGAAAAGTATGCATTTGAAGGTATGTATGAAATATTGATTTCTCTTTTTGCTAATTAAATTTTATATCTTTTGAAATTTGAACCCGAAAGAAAAAAATTTGCCAAACTTACTTTAATTCATTGATATTTTTAGCGACAATCAATGCTGAATAATTCACTTATAAATAAATTGAATAAAACATTTGTTTCTTCTATTTCAACTGATGCAAATACTTTGAAACAGTTTCTTGAACTATATTTATCTTTGGGTAAAATTAAATCTGCTGAAAATGTATGTCGGACTGATATTATCAGACCAGCAATAGAATCTATATTAAATGAAAGATATTTGTGGAGTTGTAATGGTGGTTTAAAAGAATTGTACAGCCAGTGTTATGCATTTCTTCAAGAAGATTTAAAATATTTACTTCAAGCTGCAGCAGAACAAAATAATGAGTATAGTTTATTTACTAATTAATGTTAAAGCTCAGAATTGAGTAATAAAATGAGTATAGTTTTGCATGTTTATGATGATTATATGCATTATTATAGGATTTAAGAATGTCAAAATTAGAAGGTTAAGTTAAATTAAAATACAATATTTTATTTTGCATTTAAAAAAAGGGGATAATTTTTAAAAAAAAAGTAATAACTAGTTGTTATTTATTAATATATAGTGCACAAATAATTATACATATAAGTGTAAATCATGTTTGTAATAAACCAATAAAAAAAAAAAAAAACATAAATTAATCAAAACTTTTCAAATATTGCCCAACATTATAAACATAAAAAAAAATAACACATACAAATTATTATAGTTATAAAAAGATAATTGTGAAAACAATGTTATAATAAATAAATAATTCCAAGGTTTCGGTCATTTATTATTTTGATCAAATTTTTGATTATATGGAGATATTTGTTACAAACAATTATTATTCATTTTTTTCTTTAAAAGTTTGAAAAAATCTTCACATTTATAGTGTTTAAAATTAAATTACAACATCATAACAACTTTAATATTTTCTATTTAAAAACTATTATATTATTTTTTTCCATTGATTAAAAATAATAAAAATATATTAATTTATTTAAAATGTTTTAAAAACTTGTCACTAAAAATTTTTTCTTCTTTAATTTACTCTTATATTGCATTAAGTTAAATTTTTACTTTTATCCTTTAAGTTATAGGTAATAAAATAAACAAATAAATAAATATTAATTCAAAATTGTAATAATTTATCATTTATCCATGGTACTGTATATAAGATAATTGTTATAAATTAGTACATTAAGCAGAAAGTAATCTATCGATTGATAATACTTTTGTGATTTTTTTTTTCCAAATCTAAAATTATTTATACAAATAAAAATAGTATATTTTAATATTTATGTAAAATCCTGGACAAACGAGAACATCCCTCAAAACAAGACAAATTAGACATGTGATTACTCTAATTTTGCATATTAATATCTTTTAGGTATAAATATGTATAAGTATACATATTTTACCCAATCCCCACTAATATAATACCATAATACTAACATATATTGTTCACATAGTTGAGGAACCTATCTTATTTTAATAAATAATTGTATGAAATATAATTATATTTTCTACTAATAATATCTATCACTTTTTTAATGTGTACTTTAAACATAAAATTATAAATTATTTAAAAACTAAAAAAAAAATTGAAAAATTTACTACTTTTATTACTTTAATTTTATCCCACTTACATGGGTCATCTAGTCCTATTCTTACCTTTAATGTCTTCCTAATCATCACCATTTATTTGTTTATTTCACATGTCTTAATATCTTTTTGTATAAATATAACTTTTGTTTTTTCTTTTATATACAAATTTATAACCTTCAATATTAAAATAAATATATATTAGTGTATGTTCATTCTAGACTTTAATTAGTTAATTCTATAAATTCCATTTATTAATTTTTTGCAAAATATTTGTTATTATTTTATAGAAGTTACAAATTCAGCAAATTTGATTTTGTTTCAAAAAGCTTTTGGCCTGTTTTCTTTGATCAAGTAAAAAATAATTTGCAATGTATTTTTAACTTGAGAGAACCTGATATTTTCATAAAAGTATGAATTTTATCTTATTTTAAAATCTAAATATGATTCTAAAACCAAATTATAATTATTTTAGAACTATAAAGTAACATTTAATGAATTTATGAAGCCCTTAATTGAATTATCTATTTCACAACACGAATCTGATCCATTATATAAAGTACCAAGTTGGAATGATTTTAAAAAATGTTGGAATTTGCCTATTTACTATCAATATCGGTAAGTCTAAATAATTTATTTAAAACTTTAAAATTCATTTTTTTAGATTTGGAGTGTTACGAGGAATGTATTAGTTTTACAATGATGTTCATTTTTATGATCATTATTACTTTTAACAACTTTTCTAATCTTAGTTTAATATATTAAGTGTAGCACCTTATCTGAAAGAAAATTTAATCTATTTGGTGCATTAAACAAGCCATTTTTTGATTTTCCAATGTGCTCATAATTATTAGAAAAAAAAAGAAATTTATGTTCATGTATGTAAGAAACTTCGCTCCGAATTGTTTTTTGTTAGCAATAGTTGATCGCTGTGTGCAAATATAAATTGAATTGCCCTTTATATCCTATTTCCCCAACTTATCACCTGCAACAGTATATCTGTTTTTTTTCTTTTATTAAACATTATAATAGTATAAGAATTTATGTTTATATTAAATTCATCTTACATATATATTTTTTAAAATACATAAATTAATTTAAGGTATCAAGAAATTGGATATTGTGCTGAACATGCCATGAATCATGAGAGTTATGAATCATGCAATGATGATACATTTAAACTTAAAGTCACAAAAACAGTATGGGAATGTATGTGTTCTTGTTTAGACCCAAACATCTTCATAATTCAACTGAGTCATAGGTTAAATATTTAATGATTAATAAAATTAAAAGAATTAGTTAATTACTTAACAAATTTATTTTTGGTTTATCATTTCAGATTTTTCAAATTTATATTGCAGTTAATTTCTAGATATCACACTTGGGCAGAAGATGCTAATTTAAAATCTAAGACTGATTTAAATGATTTTAGCACTCGTATTAAATTCCTTGAAGATTTGGAAAGTGATTTAAAAACATTTTATTTTAAATTACATGATATCTATATTATGTTGGAAAAGTTACTACACAAAAAGGTACCAGATGATGTTTTAGAATTACAAAAAAGTAAGTAAACCATACATTGAATGATTATTTATAATTTTACATTTTCTTATATTTAAATAGGTAGTATTGTAAACATAAATTTAAATTCACTGATCAATGATTTAAGTAAGTGTAAAGTAAAATCTGTGACAGATGAAGCAATGTCTCATGTAATACGGGTAACTGATGTACCAAGATTATTCAGACATACAAATCGTGATTATCCAACAGAACCATGTGCTTACATGAAATCAATTGTAACCACATTAGAAACTTTACACAGTAAAAATTGTAAAAAACAAGTATTAGACCACACAGTTACACAGTAAGTAGTTATTCAAATAACATCAGAATTTAAATGTTCAAGTTTTCATTAACAATACAAAACAAATATATTTTAGATATGTTGCTTATGTTGATGATGTTATGAAAGCTATAAAAAAAACTGAAGAAAGCCTGAGAAAATTAAAAAAGATAAGAGATCCAAACTATAAAGTTAACTCTGATGATGATAAAATTCGTTGTCAACTATCATTGGATATCAATTATTTATTACAGTCTGTAAGTACAATAATGTTTTAAAATTATTATTAGTTTTAGTATTTGATAAATGTTTTTCAGTCTATATATTTTTAATTTCTTGTAATTAGTTAAATAGTTATAACTGTTTATTTAAATTTTATAAATACCAATTAAAAATATATTTAATATTAAATTTAATTATTCAAAGTAAAAAGTAACATAATTTGAAAATATAACTAACTTGTATGTCAAATGTCTATGACTACATTTTTCTCGTAGATGCACATGTACAATTATTTAAATATTAATTTATTAAATGCATATACTATTTAATTTGAAAAAGTAGTTGTAGACCTTGAGTAAACTAGGATTTTGGATAGGATATAAATATTGAATTATACAATTTGTAAATCTGACAGTTCAATGTACTATTTGTATTTGTATTGATATTAAATTATTTTATAAAGTAGCTGATTGCAATTTTGTGAGCATTTAATTATCCCAAAAGTATCTTGTGAAAGAAAATGTATATTATTATATCAATATTAGACATAAATGGATCAAAATTAGTATTATTAACTAAACTAGAATTACAATTTTAAATACTCTACTGCAGTGTAGAAAAATAAATTATTTCACAATTTTTATCGAAATAAATTATGATAGAAAATTTACAATAAAAATATTAATGATGGGCTTTAAAAAATTTCAAATTTATTTTGTTTTTAATTTTTTATCATTGTTACTAATTAACTTTACTAGTTGCACAAAGTAAAAATGTACTTTTAACCTCCAATAGTACTTGGGCTTTGTTAGTCATATAAACTTGATTTTGTTGCCAAAATAAACATGAGAAGTTTCACGCAAATGTCTATAACATATTAACATTTTTGTAATATATTAGATACTAACTATTCATAAACAAATAGTGCAAAGCAATAAGTAGTTAAGCACTAATCTATAATTCAATATATGTAGTATGTATTTAGTTAACAGCTAACAGATGGTACTTAAAATCAACTACAATTTTAGACTACAATATACATATTAATTTAATACAATTAAACTAAATTAATAAATACAATACCTAAATTAAGTCTAGATCTTGAGACTAACTAAATTATTAATTTATTTAAAAAAAAATTTTTTTTTCGAAATTGAATATAAAGAAAGAATACATTATTTAATTTCAATATTTACTCACAACTATATAGTTAATTATATTTATGTAAATACATTTTTAAGAATATTACACCTAGACGTTTTCTTTATTTTTTACACATAAAATAAGATATCAAAATCAATGTATAATATACCTTAGCATTGGTGTAAGAATTCTTATTGTTTTGAAGGTTAAATAATTAAAATTAATAAGAATGGAATGTGATTTTTATAAGCTATAAATTTAAAAATAAAAATAAACAACATTAGTGTACTCTTATTAAAACAAATTGTAATCATGAAGTTAACAAGATTGTAGCTTTACTTTAAACCTTAGGATATATTAATATAATGTAAACAATTCAAAATTAATAGTTCATAATATTATTACTAAAATATTAAAAAAAAAAAAAAAACTATTCTTCAGTGCTATTTATTTCAATTAAAGTATATTGGCGAATACCACTAATGTTATAAAATTGTATACATTATAAAAACACTTGACATACAAACATAATTTATTATTTACATTAATTGAATATATATTTAATTTCAGATTGGTGGTATGAGTTTACCAGAAGTTGATGAAATTGTATTAAAATTAGACACTGTAAAACAAACAATTGTTATTGATAAATTATCATAGACATTATAATATTACTAAATATAATAATTTATAAATATATTATACATATCATTGTTAAATTAATCAAATGTAGACTTACATTAACTGGGCCTACACATATATATCTGTTCTGGTATTTCTCCTTCATCAGGTCTTCTCTCCATATCAATATCTTGTTCTACGGATCTTCTCATGTTATGCATTATTATTTCAAATGGATCAGCTATCATACGCCTTTGGTTTAACAAAGCTGTTGTTTTATAGTGTTTCACTGCAAATGTATTATCTACATCCTATAAAATTATTTTATATTACTTTATTTAACTGTTTTTATTAAAACTGTATTATTTAAAAACAAAAAATTGTACATCTGATAATGGAGTCCATAATTTTACTTCGTTATCAATACCACTAGTTGCTAACATAAACTCTGAAGGATGTGGTTGAAGACAATTAACAATTGAAGTGTCTCCTTTCAATATAAGTAAATTGTTCTCGGTATTCCTATCCCATACAAAAAAAAAGCCATCATCTGAACCAGCTACTATGAATTGACTTTGGCTATACAACCGGATTAAAATTAAATATTTACTATATATTCAATTTGTTTATGTATTATGAAAAATTGAACATTTACCTTCCAAAAAAATTAGCTTCTTTAATATCAGTAGACGTATTACAATGACCATAATATCTATGATGGTAATCTTTGACATGTTTACGAAAATATAATTCTGCTGACATATTTTGGTATCGTTTTTCTCCTAGTTGTCCAATATCTTTATCGCCATCTCCAGTACTATTACTATTATCTTCACAGACATCTAACAAATAAAAATATTTTAAATTTAAACTAAAGAATTTATATAAACCACTAAAAGTTTAAATGCAACTATTATGATTACCGCGAGTTTTCTTTTCAATTTTCTGTTCTACGAGTAATAAATCATCATGAAGAATTTTGAAGGCTACACTAGTTTTGTATGATGGATATTTCATTGTGAACTGATCCAAATACATTTTAGAATCTTTGTACTTTTTTAATTCATACAGACATAAGGCCAAACGGAAATGAGCTTTCATGTGATTGGGGTCCAATTTTAATGCAGTCACACAGTCTATAAGAGCTGCGTAGAAATCACCATGCCATTTTCTTTTTATGTAAGCTGCAGCTCTATTTGAAAATAAGACACTGCACTCGAAAATATGAATAGCTTTATTATAGAGGTTTATAGCAGCAGTGTAGTCTTTATTTTCAAATAGATAATTTGCCTGTAAATTATATTATAAAAATCAAATTAACACACAAGATAATCAACATTATGTAAGAAACTCATTATCTTGGAAAATATTAATATTTTTCAAAATTAGTTTATTAGAACATTTAAGAAACGAGTAACTCTAAAATATTAAATTAATCTTTTTTTTGTCACCCTTATTTTAGGGGGTAAAACCACTATCTATTTTTGATTTTGAAATGGCAAACTATATTGAAAATTCCATATATAGATGAAGTATTGGTTAACCCCAATTTTGGTATTAACATTTTTAATTTTAATAAAAATGGTGTTAATAGTGTTCCACTACTTTCTCTTCGCTCACTCAAAAAACATAAAAATAGAATATTTCGTCAACGTCAAGGTTGACAGAAATCTTTTTAATAACTTTTAATATAGATTGCTATTTGAAAATCAATAGTAGTCAGTGGTTCCATCTCTTAAAATAAGAGAGTCAAAAATAATCCTAATGTAAAATTGTAAAACTATATACTATACTATATCAATAATATATATGAAAAAAATTTGATATTTTTAACCTGAAATTTTAATTTTTCTACTTCATCGGGTAGTGTCACGTGTGGAACAGGAACTGGATCTATATCTGTAGATGATCCTTCCCCATTTTCTCCTTAAAACATTTATTTTATTTTATTTTTTGGCATTTTAATATATTTTATAGTTTTACTTAAGTAAGATATTTTTAACTAGTAGATAAAACTTACGGGGAAGTTTCATTACTTTTGGAATATTGCAAAATGCACTTTCAACTTGATTCAATATATCATAAAGATATACATATTCACCACCATAATTAACCAACAATTCTTGTCCATCGGGACTAAAAGTTAAATAAGTAACTCCAATATTTTTATTAGATACATTTGATATTTCTTCTGAATGAATATGCCCAGGTATAAAATATTGAGCAATTTTTTCAGGCTCTGGGTTACATGTATTATTTTCTGGCGATTTCATTGTGAAAGATGACAATGAACGAATCATCCTGCGATCATACAATCGTACATATGGATCACTTGCACCAACCGCAATTTGCTCAGTTCTAAGTTGATTTATATCTAAACATTTAGCTTCAATCCTGTCACCCTTAGTATTATTTGTAGTCACCAAAATGATATTAGTTGTAGAGGAAGTACAATCATGCCCCAATCTCAAATCATGTTGTCTGTGTGACCATAAAACAAATATACATTATAAATGAATAGAAGATTATATACAATTTAAAATAAATAAAAAATTTCATGAGACAAGTAGTTTTCAACCTTTTGCTACTACGGACCACTTAGAGAACTTTCGACAGGTTTCAGACTATATCGATTTACTAATGACCTTTTTTTTAACTTTTAAAAAAAATGTTTAAATGATATCTTCTTAGATGTAATTAGATAACTCATTAACTAATTAAAGGTTTTCGAATTATTTATAAATGAATGAAATTTATCTTTATAAATGGGTTAAACATTGTACTGGGTGTCATTTGTGAGGTCAGATGATTCTGACAACCATTATCGCTTTTATCATTTTTTCAATTTTGTAAGTATGGGTCGCAGACCATAGGTTAAGAATCATCTATTAGACATTAGATAAATTGTACATACCTAACAATTCCATCTTCTGATGCACTCCAGTAAACATTAGGTGTATCATTTGCCACTGCAATCCGTTTTACTCGTCCTATAGGACAATTACAAACACTTAATTGTTTGCCTGTCGTCACATCGTATGTATGTGTAGTCCAATCCCCAGCTCCAGTTGCTACTACATCATCATTATGACCCGGGATAAACTATAAACAAACACCATTTTTAAAAATTAAACACAAGTTAAATACAAAAGAAATTAAGTATCTTGTTTTTTTTTATAATAAATATTAAATACATTTTAGATTTCAAGCGTTGTAAGGAATTTATTGATTTTATTTATGATATATATATATTTTTTTTTATAAAGTAATTTTTTCGTCTTAATATTGGAAAATGAGAACATTTATATAATAATGGTTTCTAATATTTTTCAAAACATACTGGCATTTAGTGTCGAAAAAAGTTGATCATGTTTTTTTTTTTTTACATTTTTAGGGTTTAAATTTTAATGAAAATGTAAAATTCAATTTAAGTACAAAGGTGTCGTGCACTGCTATATTCCGTGGTTGTTGCAGTGCTCATTTTGTGTACTATTTAAAAATGTATGTTTATCTATATAACATACATAACATACACATTTTGTGGGCTACATACAAATTTTCAAAAAATTGAGATTAAAAAACTTAAACAAAAAAATGTGTTACAAATTAATATAATATTTAATTCAAGTTTATTAAAATATGTTTAACTGAACTTCAGTTTTTATTTATCATTGTGTACAATCTTTTAAACTTTACCGCTCACTTATAAAAAATATCTGATAGTTATCCTATTAAAGAAAAATGTAGTAATACAAAAGTATGCAATGAAAAATTGTAACTTGTGTTTTAAATACCTAAAAACCGATCATCTATTTCTAGGTCATTAATCGAAATGAAGACTATTCTATCTTTTAAGTTGGATCAAATCACATACATTGAGCATTATCTTATCAAAATCTGTTGAGTAATTTCAGAAAATATTGCACCTCACCACAACTGTATGATTTTTATATGTACATTATATATAGTAGAATCCACTTAATGGGAACAAATTAGCAGTCTCAAACGAATGTATTCATTTTAGACAATTTATTGAGGACAAACCACCGGTTTAAGGAACATAGTCTAGTCTATACTTTTTTATCAAAAGTGTAATTATCTAATCTGTATGTATCTATTAAATTTTTTATTTTATGTATTTCAATTTTGTTCATTTCTTTTTCTCCTACTATTTTGAATTCTTAGTAAGTCTGTTTTTATTAATCTTAATTTATGAATCAATAATGTCTCATAGTGATTTAACGTTGATTTAAAAAATGACTGTACTGTATAAAACAAAAGCTCATCCTCATAATAGTTGGCAAGTTAGAGAAATTAATAGACGCATCTAAATCAGTAATTATTTGATTGAAAAAAAAATTTAAAAACTATTCATGAATAATGGGAAAAATTAAACAACAGCAAAAGTGGACCTATAAACACAAAAATAAAGCAAGAAGGCAAAGATCCCAAAATAGATACTTCCAAACTTCTCTGCTCTTACTGAGCGTGGAGTTTGAATTTCAGACCCCATGTTATAGCAGAAAGTTACATTTTTTGCTCAAAAATGTATATGCACTTTAATATTTTTTTTAAAAAAATGTTTTGATTAATCGAGACAGTTGAATGCGTCCCCATTAAGCAGATTCTATTGTATATATATATACTAATAAATAACTTATATTGTAAATTAAGAAACTACAGGAAATTAAAGTAAACTATGAGGGTTACCAAGTAAGGTTATACAATTTTAAAAATCTATGCATTTTTTTTGTGTTTTCATAATCACCATTAATTTCAATACATTTTATCAACAGTGATTTTTTTTATTCCTGTATTTTAGAAGTCTTCTGGCACCTATTTAATCCAGTTCTCCAATTTCACGATTACCTCATCATTATTGGAAAATTGTTTTCTATCCAAGACAATCACAACAGTTTATAAAATAACATGGCACAACAGTGAACAGAAATTTACAATGATGAGAGAGATGGACAATTATCCCCCTGATAACAAATTAGCATACACAAAACATTTTCTTTCCAATAACTATTTTGAATATTGATGACCAGCATATACCATGACATGAAGTTTTTCTGGTTAAAAAAGATGGCTTAGGACTTCTATAAGAATTAACGTAAAATCTCTACCTAAGGTTGACAAAGTAGATGGAACCATATAAAAAAATAATGTAGTGTGTCTACACTACAATCACAGCAAGTTTCATTAAAATATATACATTGTTGTATTTATTGTTGCCATTAAATAATTTCTATTGTTTGAGAGATTAAAATAATTAAATTAAAACTACTAAAGTAGATACTTATCAAAATGTAAAACATATTATATTATTTTCAAAATAAAATAAAATTGTTTAGGTATATCAGGTAAACTGTACACCAAATTCATAACATAATATTTACCAAATATAATTACCTTAACAGTAAATATATTTCCACGGTGCAATGTTGTAATTTTAGTTCTAATTTTCTGTAAAAACGGATCCCATAATATCACTTGAAAGTCATCAGATGCTGAGGCTAACATACTAAAAAGAATATAAAACTTAATGTAATGTAATTTTTCATGTGTATCTAATTTAAAATTGAATTAATAGTAAACAGTAATAGTACCTTCCACGTTCATTCCATTGTAAACAATTAACACAGCCCCGATGTCCTTCTAACTCAGCTAGCATTCCGAGTCTTGAAATACATTTGTTACTTATTGTATCCTTTAATGCATATTTGTAACGAATGTGATCCTAGTCATGTTTAATATAACAAACAATTAAAATATTGAACTTAATTAAATCAAGAATACATAAATACAAACAAAATTACATTTAATTCTCGATCTCTCATTAGTTGTAAAATGTTCTGGCGCTTCATAAAGGAAGACATTATGACAAATCTAATATTTTTATTAACACTAAGAACAGATCTTTTGTTTAGTGCTTATAACATTTTAATTTAATTTATATTTATGAAATCGTATTAATAAAGAATTTAAACTGTGATTATAACAATAGGATAAACATAAAAATAGGCAGAAATTAGAATTCAAATTTATAAATGAAAGGTTAAAATTAATATTAATACTGATTAACACTAATAATAGGTGTAAATAAAATAATTTACAAAGTGGCTATTTTCACGTCCGACGTGAAATTATCTTTTCACGTCCTGTTATCTGATTGGTCGTAAAATTAATAATGATAGTATCTTTTCTATGATATCATCACGATTTAATACTTTTAAATCATGGATAACTCAGGATCACGAAATAGATCATAGAATAAATTATGAATAATGGATATTATATAAATAGATACTCTGTCCATCTCATAACTACACATCAACGTCTTTTTTCCTCAGAAAATCTCACTACACTCGGCTAATATTCAGTCATATCCATAATTTATGTGGTAAATATGGGTCTTATCACAGCATATTTTCTTATCAACAAGAAATATTTTGAATTTATTAAATCAGATTTTATATTAAACTACATGTATAAGCAATGTTTATATTGAAAAGCGAACCGAAGGTAAAGAAATATGATGAGTTTTATGAAAGACTAGGAACAAAAGAAGATGAAAAAGGTTAGAGGTTAGTGAAAAGCTGTCAAGGGATTTCCAAAACGTATGGTGTATAAAAAGTTACCTATTAACAGATGATGAGAATAAGGATATAAAAATGATATGGAAGTAGTATTTTGAGAAATAACTGAATGAGCAGAATTCAAGGGAGATGTTTTATGGACGAAGGTATTCGTAAGTTTAGTGAGAGAGAAGAAGTGTGATGGGTTGTAAAAGCAATGCAAAATAAAAAAAGTGGTAGGTTCAAATGGTGTACCACTGCATCAATGAAAGTGTGGAAAATGTTAGGTGAGCTATAGGCATTGGTTGGTTAAAATATTTGATTTAATAAGGTGTTTGTAGAAGGAAAAATGTCAGACAAGTGGAGGAAGAGTTGATAAAACCTATTTATAAAGGTAAAGAGACGTACAAAAGTGTAGAAATTGTAAGGAATAAAAATGATGAGTCATAGTATAAAGATACGGGACAAAATTATAGAAAAGAGAATTAGAAGTGGGACATCAATATAATATTGATAACATACAATGATTAAAATACCGTCTGAACTTACCTACCACTTTTTATTTTTCATTGCTCTCATAACCCAACATACTTCCTTCTCACTCACTAAACCCACCAGACCTTCGTTCCGCAAAAAACATCTCTCTTGAATACTGCTACTTTTCATTTCAGTAATTTCTCAGTAAGGAAGAGTAATAAATTATATGATGCCACTCTACCCTATTCCTCCAGTCTAAACTTTAAACGGTTATTAATCATAAATGGTAAACCTGATATTAGTTTTGTACAAACATTTTAGAAAAATACTCTTAACTATTCAAATATGTGTTCAAAAAGGAAGGTTCCTATTTGAAAAACGAAAATATATACTTATTTAAGGTACATGTAGTTGTTGTAAAAAATTACAAATGGTTTTAAAACAAAGCTTAACCGATTCTATAATTATTAAAAAGAATAACAGAAATCAAATTCACTTAAAATCCTCCCAGAAAATTGCTAGTTTATGATTAAAAATTGGCCCTGTAAATTTTCAAAATTGAAATCAAATTCGGAATAAAAAAATAAAACCGGTATCTAAAATTTAAACCAAAATCGAAAAAAAGAATAAATGATTTTCGAAATTAAAACAGAATCATAATTTATTTTTTTGGTTTCAATCCCTGTTAAAAAGTACAACCTAATAACATGCGAATACTTAATTATATAACAGATAGACAGTCTAGGGTGTCCCTTATACTTATTAATTTCAATATTTCTTCAGTCTCATCCCCTACCTCTCAATTTGTATATATGCATAAAAAAAATGAACAAAAAGTTTTAGAACAATCTATTAAGGTTAACACATGTCGACTTGAATTTGAAATTTGAGTATATTAATTCACTCGTAATTAAATGATATAGTTTACATTTGTATGAATATTTCAGTTAAATAAAGGAAAATTTAAATTTGTTACATATTATGTTTTAAATAAAATAAAATTGTCCATAAATTATATTCTTACATATAAAATTACTATACAACTCAATATACAACATTACTCCTTTAATTCCTTTAATTTGATCCATTCTTATATTATAATCTGTGGTTATATATCTAAGTCCGGAATAAATACGCAGTGACAGTGAGTATTGAAATTGATTATTACCAGACAAACCTGTGTTTGTCGTTAGCCATAACTAATGTTTGAAGTAAGCTAATGGTTGAAGTATGGCTTTTGGGTGTGGAAAAAAAAATACGCGAAATTCATATTACTTTGTAATAGTGTGGAGAACAAGGTATTACCGCATGCTATCGTGGGCCCACAGAGTAACCAACGTACGCAACATATATTGTATCAAACTATAAGGTCGTAAAAACGTACGTGACGTCACCAGCCGTACCGGCAGCGGGCAGAGTGTAGACTATACGCAATACATCTGGACCGCGTCATTAAATAATATTATTAATCGATAGTTATTATGACCGTTAAGTCAATTCACAATGAATTTATACATTTATAAAATCAAACCAAATACAAAATATGCACCTTGTTAGTATAAGTATAACTCTACGGATTTTCACGATCCTAAAATAAAAGGCCGGGGTATAATAAAACACATATTCGTGTTTAAATTTTTTTATTCCGTCAATCCGTTGATAATCCATTTTTAAGTTTAGGCAGTGGGTGAGTAGCAGAATTTGTGTGGCGACTCAGCGCTCCTTGATTATGTTTTACAGTTAATTTATTTATTTTAATGTAAAATATATTTATGTTGCCAATATATGTTATTATTATTATAATTAAATAAACTATACAATACATTATTTAATTATCGCGAAAATGAAAAAATCAAAAATCAGACCACGGTCTTTTATTATATGATCGTGAAAATCCGTTGAGTTGTACCTATACTAACAAGGTATATAGTTTTATTTGATTTGATTTTATACATTGTCTGCACTCTAACTGCCTTACGGCTAGTGACGTCACGCACGTTATTAAGATGTTATAGTTTAATACAATATATGTTGCGTACGTTGGTTACCCTGTAGGCCAACGATAGCATGCGGTGATGTTGTGACCTTGTTTTCTACACTATTACAAAGGTCTATGAGTATTTTTTTTCTATATTCAAAGACGTACTTTTCTAACAACTCTTAAGAATAATCCCTATGAAAATCGATTTTACACTGTTAGAACGAGTAATTTGTATTGATCATATAATAATGATAAATAAACCGGCTGATTGGAAAATTGCACCTTTTTTTTGTTCAAGATCGTGAATACATTCCATTGATCCGATGAGAACAAACTCTTGTCTGAGTATTTTATTGTATTCAATATATCTTTATAGCTTGCAAAACTTTTATTAGTTTATGGGTATGCAATCATTATGATTAATATAATTTCAGGTTAATTTAAAAAAAATTAAAATATTAAATTTAAACAATTTACAGTAACACAAAAATTATTTTATGAAGTAGGTGTACCTTGAAAATATAATAACGACTATTATCAATTCCTTTTTTTTTTGTTTTAATTTTTTAAAATTCAGTTTATTACAATGGTCCTTAATTTTACTAATGCCCGTAAATTTTGTACTAAATCATCGTTACTTAAGAATGCTGTTCAGTTAACTAAAGATAAATTTCCAAATTTAATAAGAGGGTCGTATGCTACAGTAGATTCTAAAGATATTGATTATTTCAATAAACTTTTGGGTGCTAATAATTTTATCACTGGTGAAGAAGTAAAATCTTACAATGAAGATTGGCTAAAATCAGTTTCTGGTAAATATTTAATATTATGGTATCTATTATTTCAATAATAAGTACATAAATTGGATGTCTTTTTAGGTTTCAGCAAATTTGTGCTTAAACCAAAAACTACAGAACAAGTATCAGAAATTCTTAAATATTGTTATAAGCATAATATAGCAATATGTGTTCAAGGTGGCAATACTGGTCTTGTTGGAGGTAGTGTTCCGGTTTTTGATGAAGTGATTCTATCTACTTCTGCCATGAATAATATTATTAGCTTTGATAAATTATCAGGTATTAAGTTAAAATTTTGAAAAAGAACATTCATTTAGAATAAGGTTTTTTGTCAGAAATCATATAGTTTCATCTAGCAACTTTTTAGATAGTAATAATACTTTTAAAATATCTTTAATTATATGTGAGAATGTAAAAATCTGAATTTACTGAGAATTGCCAATCTTATTTTTAAACTATACTTAGATTCACTTTTTATTTTTTAGTTGATTTTAATAAATATTTATAATATTTAAAACAATTTCCATATCCAGTACATATCTTAGTTGAGATTTTTATTTGGAAATCCGTCTGAAAAATGATAAGAATTATAGAAAATATATTATGAGTGAAGTATAATATACCATATTTTGTGTTTGCATTAGTTTTGACTAATTGCATAATTTTTGTTTTGATTATAAGGTTGGTTAAGTGATAATTGATGTAACATGCTTCTCCATTACCATATATTAAATGCATCTATTTTGACTCTTGGCCTTCAGTAAGTCTGCCTAATTATCTATTTATTATTTTCATTTGTGTTTCATTTATAGTTGAAAAAACAATTTAATTTGTAGATATATTACAAATTTTCATAAGAATTATAGTTAAAAGGCTTCTTTTCTTAACTACTCCAGGGCCCTTTCCCATTGAGCTATGCCACTTGCTCCATATAGAACTATGCTTCATACAAATTTTTTAAGGGATTTCTTGGAGTCCAAACTTATTGTGTTTGAAGTAAAAAGATTTCTATTTTTAGTCTGCACTATCCTGCATACAATGTCTATATGGCTTCCCATTGCTTGTGTTTTTACTTCTTTTTCTCGTATCTGGTGCCAATTATGTCATGTAATTTTACTGAAACCAAAAATTATGTTAGATTTTACAAATTGAGTTTAATTTAGGTGTTCTGGTTTGTCAGGCTGGGTGTGTGTTAGAAAATTTAATGAATTATGTTCAAAACGAAGGGTTTATAATGCCATTTGATTTGGGTGCAAAAGGAACTTGTCAGATTGGTGGTAATTTAGCCACTAACGCTGGAGGGTTAAGATTAATTAAATATGGAAGTCTACAAGGAAGCGTGTTGGGATTACAATCGGTAGTTTTGTTGATGCTTAATTACTTATACCTAAGGAGCGAATTTATATTCTCTTAAATTCTACAAAAAACCATTTAAAACTAGAAAAGCAAAAATGATAAAGTGGTTAAAAAACCCCCATTAGAGCTTTAACTTATAAATACAAATGTTAAATACTATAATAATTTATATTTGATAAGCCCTAAGAGTAGGGAATTTAATTGGTAATAGTTGGGCTCCTCTATTATTTTAAATATTTTTAAGTGCTTTTTTTGTGAATTTAAGAGAATATAATTCTAGACTCCACTAAAAACTTATGAATTATAATATTTTACTATTTATGTATGAATTTAGGTGTTAGCTGATGGACAAATTTTAAATTGTCTGAATACATTAAGAAAAGATAATACAGGATATCATTTAAAACATATGTTCATTGGTTCTGAAGGAACATTGGGTGTTATTACAAAAGTTGCTATTCAGTGTCCAAACACCCCAAAATATGTGAATGTAGCATTTATTGGTCAGTTAAAAATGCTGTGCAAATAACATTTTTTTTATATTAAATAAAATACTAGTATTTAATTGGAGTTTTTGGGAAATGATAGGGAGTACTGAAATACTCATTTTCAGGCAAATTTCAAATTATTATTACTCCTTTGGTTTATTTTCTACAGATTTTGATAGAGTATTTTTTTTAAACAATTCATGTTCAAAAAGTTTATTTCTTAAAAAAAATTTGCAAATTTATAGTATGTTGGAATTTAATATTTACGAATAATCTGTGTTTGATAAAATTTTAAATATGTACAACTTATACTTGAAAATCAAAATGATATCTTTGATATTTTGAAATAAATACTTCCTTTCTTCCTATGGGGGTATTTAAAAAGTACTATAAAAGCAGATCTTCTTAATAATGTAAAAGGATCTAAAAAACAAATTATGAGAAGCATGTAATAATTTAAAAGAAGACCAAATAAACGTTGCCACATCAGGAGAATTTTTAAACCATTTGAAATCATATTTGGAACACCAAGACTGAAACAATTTATTCGTTAAAACTATAATTGCAAATAAATAAATCTTAATTTCAAATTCATAGTTTATATTTATAATTTTTATTTCCTTTAATTATTTAACAAATTTATTGAAAACAAAAAAGTATTTATTTGTGTTTCATCTATCTACAAGGTATTTCAAAATATTGGAAACATCATTTCGTTTTTTGAGTATAAGTTGAACATAGTTAAAATTTCATCAAAAATAGATTATAATTTACTATAACTAATTTTTCTATAATTTTGCAATTTTTGTACTTAGAAAAAAACTTTTTCTAGATACAAAAGTTTTTTTTGAAAAATCTGAATCTGTAGAAAAAAAATGGTGTTGTCATTTAAAAAAAAAATTAAGTTGTATTTGTTACATGTGTGAACTGAAAGGGTTAAAAATTAAAAATTTGTCTGAAAACATGGGTACCTATCATTTCTCAAAAATTCCATTTCATATGACATCCAACTTAAATATTTAATGGTACCATTTAGCATGAACATTGCTATAGATGTAGATAAATGTGTAAAACAAATAAATCAATAGACATTAAAAAAAAATAAAACTAAGTCTAGAGTATTATAATGGTTTTATGTAAATATAACCGGTTCCGATTTGAAAAATCATGATCAAATATAAAAAAAAAAATAATAATAAATATGTGTATGTTTTCTTCGTCTTTGATGTTTTATTTTCTGCAATCAAAACCTGTCATATAAGTCTTATAATACTCCATTGTTTTGTTCTTTTTCTGTATAATATACTTATTTTTATTTGTTTCGCATTAAAATAATGTTCTACAAAATTCAATCAATACAATAACTTTGGTTATGTTCGATAAATATATAAATTTTTTTAATAATTACAAAAGTTTATTATTTCTCTATTATTAATTTTAAACAAAACTTAACAATTTCAATTGTTTTTACAAAATCCAAGATAGCCATTATATAAATATATATATTTTGAAACAAAATTTTGTTGTTATAAGTATTTGCTTATGATTAATTTTTAAATATTTTTGAAGTTTACAAAAATCATTAACAAATTTATTTTCTTATAAAATAAGGTGAATCAATTGATATTATTCTATGAAGTTTAACATAATTTAAATTGTTTTCATTTTCACTAATAAATTATATGAATTAATTCACCTTTGTTTCCATGAAAAATAAATTTGTTATTGATTTTTGTAAATTTAAAAAAATTTAAAAATTAATCATGAGTGAATACTTATAATAACAATTTTTTTTTCTATATATATTATATTTATAAAATGGCTATCTTGGATTTTATAAATACAAGGTTTTTAATTTTAATGTTCCAAAAAATATATCATTTGTAATCAATGCACTTTAGCAATTACTTTAAAAATTAAAAGATTGAATGAAACCAAAGTTATTGCATTTATTAAAACTATGCGAAAAACACCTTGTACATACAGAGTGAGGAGAGTGACTCAAGAAATACCTTTAGTTCATTTCAAAATTAAATAAATTTGTTTTTAGGTTTTTGTAAAGTAGATTTTTAGAATGTTTTTAAAAACTTTTATTTGAGTATGGTAATTTATTTTGTACAATATTTTAAAGTTGTTGCAAATGTGAATCATTTTCTTAATTATTATATCATATTAACTCATAGAAAAAAATTTCAAGTGGTTAAACTAAATAATCTATCCTATACTTTTAGTAAATAATTGTCCTTTTATTATTTCCACACTCAAAAAAGAACTAGTGATGGGGATTGTAAGTAAAATTTTAAAATCGGTAATAATATTTTCAGTAAACCAGACAAGAACCGGTACCTATGCTTTTCAGGAATCTGCCCATTCCTGTGTCATTTTATGCATATGTCGTAGCCATTTCGTAAAATTAACCTTTTTTCACGAAAAGTTATCCATTTCATGAAAAGGAAACATATTTTTTATGAAATGGTCACTCGAATTTGACATAGTGTAATTTTTTTCGCATTTTGATCAATCACTTTATTTACTGAAGTAAAATATTATCAGCACTCAGCTATTATTGTATTATTATTTAAATTTGATATTTTTTTAATGAAGGAGGTAATTTGTTCAATGTTTTATTTATTTGAGCAAGACAAGGAATTGTAAAAATAGTTATTACAACCACTATTTATATTTTATAATCCCAATCATAGTTCTAGTATAGTTCTTTTTTTTGAAATTATAATTTAAGAGAAAATATCTATTTACAGTTAATTAAAAGTAACGGTAGTGAGCTGTATTTTTATTTACAAGCGACTATAGCAATATAAATTTATTTTGTGCTATAAAAAAAAGTGTTCTGTCCACCAAAAATAAATTCCTACACCTAAATAAAAATGTCTAAAAATCTATTTTACAAAACGACTATATGACTATTTAGATTTTTTGCCATTTTAAGTCTCACAACCTAAAAACTTTTAATAATACTTTAATTGCAGCACAGAAGATTACTTATTAAACATATAAAACAAATAATAATAATATAAAATTAAAGTTATTTCAGAGGTCAGATAAACATCTTAAAACCTCCTTGCATCAAATCACAGTAATGTATCTGTGACTTGATGTAAGAAGGGCAAATGTCAAAAAAAAAAATGTATTACAAAATAATTATGAAATTTACATTAGATTTTTTGAAATAAATTAATATTTGTTTAATTTATTATGTAGACATTGGCCCTAATAGCACTTAGCTCAAAGTGTAGATATATATTTATTTATTTAATTTTTATACATATTTGATATTCGAGTATTAATCTAAAAATAACTTTTTTTTTCATTTTTTCATGTTTAGGTTTGAAATCATTTAATAAAGTATTAAGTTTCTTCTCATTAACACGAAAACAGCTTTCTGGAAGTCTTTCATCATTTGAATTAATGGACTCTGAAGCAATAAAAAGTGTACAAACCAATATTGGCCTGAAGTGTCCTATAGATGACAGTTTTGAATTTTATGTTCTTCTAGAATTATCAGCTGATAATAATTTTATAAACCTTGCTATTGAAGAACTTTTAGAAAAAGCCCTTGCTGAAGAAATAATTGTAGATGCTACTGTAGCAGATCAACCATCACAGATTCAAGTAATACATAAATAAATTAATATAAATAACATTAATGCAAAATAAATTATTTATTTAGAAAATTGAAAATATTTAGAATCTATGGAAGATAAGAGAAAATATTCCTGAAAGTTTATTAAGAAACGGATATGTCTATAAATATGATATAACTTTACCTCATGAATACTTTTATGAGGCTGTGCTTGAAATAAGAAAACGGTTAGACAAGTTAGATGTGAAAGCAGTTTGTGGCTATGGACATTTAGGTATTATAAATTATTTGTTTTATAAATTTAGTATTAAAAAATACAATATGTGTTTTTACTATTATGTAAAGGTGATGGGAACTTACATTTAAATGTGGCTACTACTGAATATAATGAAAAAATAACTTCTGCTATTGAACCTTATATATATGAATGGACTAGCAAATACAAAGGTAGTATAAGTGCTGAACATGGTATTGGACTTTTAAAGAGTAAATATTTAAATTACTCAAAATCTAATTTGGAAGTAGAGTTGATGAAAAAACTAAAAAATACTATTGATCCAAAGAAAATATTAAATCCATACAAGATATTTCCACAAGATAAATAATATTATTAAGTTTAAGTTATAAACTCTGTTTTTAAAATTATATTTAGATTATATTATATTTAGGCAGAAAAAGAGACAAAATAGATTTTAATATATCTTACATTTTTACCATATTTTTATACTAAGTAATAATAATATTTCAACTATGTAAGAAGTTTTTTGATTTTCTTTGTAAATTTATGTTATTTATACTAATTGGATATCATATAACTAATGTGTAGCTGAATTACCAGATCTAGTGGAATTACCAAAGATTATTTAATTAAAATTGGATAAATGTTATTGAAAATATTAATTTTTCTAATAAAAAAAAGATAAGTAAATACATTTTGTTTAATTTGTACCCATTTAAATAATTGTTGATTTAATAAATGTAGGGTTCTTAGCTTTGAGATTTGTTTCCAGTTCAAAAAGCCATGAGACATTGATAGTCGGTCATAAAATGCGAACATTTGATTGTGGATTCTTTATTATTTATTAATAAGGGCATACAAAGAAAGGTTATCTTGTTTGTTTTTTTGACATTTTTTCCCCTACCTTAAATCCAGGATACATATTATCACTATTTATAAATTTAAAAACAAAATACAAATTAAATATAAGAATATTATATTAATAATATTTTTAAATAAAAAAGTAAAAAAAAAAATAATTTATTAGTTGCTATTCAATTTGATACATTGTCATTTCATAAATAACATAATTCTTATACATGTTAAAGTTTGATAACTGTTAATATGAAAACAAAACTAATTATAATAATATAAACTGATATAATTAGGATTTTGTTAACTGAACTCACTATTACATTTTAAAAGTATTATTTACAAATTGGCGTGTATGATAATTATGCTTAAAACTAAATTCTTAATAACTATAAGAGTATAAATTACATAAAACTTCTTTTTTATAAAGTTGTTTAAATTTGAGTAAATTAAGTATAATTTTTATTAACGATAACAGTATTTGTAATTATATATTAATTTGGCAGTTTGAAGGCTATCCTAAGAAGTGAATTTTTCATTGATGTAAGTTTTTTTAGATGTACATTATAAACTCTTTCCAAAGCTGAACACTATTTATCAATGAAGAATTGAGATACTTGGATGTTGGATTTTTGATAAAATAAAGTAAGTGCTTTTTATTTTATCATGCTTGGAATGTTAGACTAACTCGGCCAGATATTCGATTTTAAGGACTGAATCAATTGAATTTCCCAAACAAAAGGACATTAAAATATTAATATAATATGGCCTGGATTTCAATGCAAAATGCATTTTTTTTTGAGTGATACTAGACAATACTTTCCAAGTAAAAAATCTGATTCATGTAACAGACTTCAAAGGTGAAACTTTTATTTAGCCTTTTTTTTTACATTTTTCAATGTATTTTCATTCTCAGAGTATTTTTCAGTTATTTGTTTTGTTTTATTGCATATTTGTAGAGTAAATGAGTATAATATAATATAGTATTTATACATAATACAACCATATTATACATATTGTAACCTTGTGCTATTATGACCAGATCACCAGCACATACAAAATGTTAAAATGTACAAATTTCTCCAATCGGCTGATCATTTGTATATAGATTGAAGGAATTCTGGAAAATAAATCCCCAAAGCAACTACACTGTCAAAATAATATATTGTAAAAAAAAAATTTGAATATAGTTTAATCATGGTTTGAGTGTATATTGTGCACACATCTGTCAAAAAAAATAATATGAACAAATAATATAGTATCAAGTCAGTTCACTTGCATATACTATTGGGTAAGTACTGCTGTCAAAAAAAAAAATTAATATATTTTCCAATCCCACAATTTATCGCTCTAAACAATTTTAGAACATATATAGCTTATAGCATGGCTTAGCCCCCCCCCCCTATTTGCACCTATATTTACAATATAGGTATTTATAATAATTTATATTATTTTTATTATTATTGACTTCAAACTAATGTTTGTGATTTTTTAGTAACTTGCATTTAACATTTTTTTCTTAGATTCTACGAATGATAATGATTAAACATTTAGATGATAATTTATACATATAAATAAAATTGAAGTATGTCAGCAGTAAACTATTTTAAATATTATTGTTGACAGTAAAGTTATTTTGTAGATTTATTTCCAGGGATTTTTTTATGGATTATCAGATTGAAAACTGTTCATACTTGGTGCTATGATATTATTCCGGGTCATTATTTTTGAACCCTTTATCTAATTACTGGTTCTACCTTGAATTGTCACATAAAACCTACGGTCTTTCAATAATGATCTTAATAGTTCTACAAGTTTATAAGTAGTCATTAGCCAATTCATGGACTTTCCCCAACAGTAACTGGTAATTTAAAGTGTCATACACTGCACTTAGGTTTACAAAAACTGCTGCTTTTCTCAAAACCATCTATATATATATAGATGCTACTATGTGACGTTTAGCACCTAACCAGTATACAATTTCCCTTCTTGAAATCCTGCCTGTTGCTCTATCAGCTATGACTATTGTTTGTGATAAGTATGCAATTTAATATTAATTTTTTGAATAAGTAGTTGGAATGTGTGACATAATAAAGTACATGCATGGGCTTTCTTCCATTCCTTGAGTAGGTATCTTGATCTTAATACCTTGTTGAACATTTTCAGAAGCCATTTTTGTCTTCAATTCAAATTTATTTATTTGTTCCAATAATATGCCAAAATTGACACTAGCTGCTTTTAACATAGTCTCATCTAATTCTTCAATTCCAAAAGGTCCTTGAAATAGATTTACTTCATAATGTTCTTTTAAATTTTAATCTTTGTATTTTAATTTTTCTTTTTTTTCTTATCGTTCAAAAATAAATGATTAGTTATTTTGTTTAGTTTCACATTTATATGTTCGTGTTGCTTCACCTTTTGACTTAAGGTTTTCTATGTAATTTCCATGCTTTGTAACTATTATTTTTCATGTCTATTTCTTAAACTACATTTTTCCATTTTTTTTCTTTTTGCTCCTGAGATAATATCTTCCATAACTTTCATAACTATTCATATAACTGCTTAAAAATTATTATTAATTTGCTTTTTTTTAAAAGTGTAAGTATAAGAAATTTTTCATAAAGAAAAGTAATCATCTGTGGGTTCCTCTTTTTCTAAGTACATGTATAATATATAGTTCAATTATTAAACAATGTTCATAACATTCCGAATTGATATATAATCAAAATTCTGTAAGTTTATCCGAACAAAGACAAACCGCGATTAAAGATATACGCGTTATCACATAATTTTCCGGAACAGTTGCTTAACTTAGTGCGCTCTCTGTCTGTGAAAATAATGTTTGATTATAATATGAGAAATTATATTCCCGCCTAATTTAAAAGTAGTAACCATTTTATTAGTTTATTATTTTATATTAATTTATTTTGTAAATTTGTACTTTAGTTTGTTAGTTGTGATTGCAGTTTTAGTCATAAATCTAATCGTAAATCGTAATAACTAATGATTTAAAATTTCATATTCGAAAAATATGTTTGTGAATTGCGATAGCGATATAATATAGTACATACATATTCCACTACGGTCTACGAGCGCTACGGAATTGTTTTATCATCTGAGTAATTGTAATCATAATTTCATAGTCCATTGGGCAAACGGTATATAACTAATCTATATTATAGTATAATATAGATATCTGTGGTATATTATATTTAATTATGGCACGATCTTAGTTCGTGGTTATCCGTTACACCAAATTGCTAATAAACAGTGCACCGTTCGTTAATCTACATATTCTGATTGGCTGAACCAGATAATACATGGTATCAACCACATCGTTTAGCCAATCAGAATACGTAGATTTATGCATGAGACACGACGGTGAATGGTGTATTGGAAACTCAATGTTAATCGTTCCTATGTTCATTTTCACTAACAATGTTAACACAAGATTATGAATTCTCATTATTGACAATTGATATTTTATGTGATTGACTATAGTGGTAATATCTTATTTATTATTGTAAGTATTATAATTTTTAATTTCTTTACGATACAAGTTTTTAAATTGTTTTATTTTTACTGATTTGCTGCAATTTGAATGTTAATTTTCCAATACTGAAATCAATAAACCTCGAATATACACGTTTATTTATTGGTAATCTATCAAACCGTCACGTTTTATTAAATTTTTCATTGTATTTAACCTACTATGTAAACTAAATAATTCTTGTTTATTTTAAGAGATGTTTTTAAAAACTAATTGTACAGTTATAAACATATTTTAGTTTATAAATTTAATTAATATTTTGTATTAAATTGTTAAAATCATGTCCATTACTGTGGATACTTCTTTCTCGGTACCTCCACCTCCAATTAATTTTTCAATTCCGCCGCCTACAACCAATACATTCATTCCGACAAACTACAGGTTTCAAGGTCCTATACCTTTAAACATACGTGGTTCTAATATGGGTGGACCACCAAGACATTCACTAAATAAAAATGCACCGCCACTAGATTTAGATTTTGATGGTAAACGCTTGAGAAAATCTGGTCTTCGTAAAACAGTGGACTATAATTCATCATTGATTCGAATGCTTCAAAATAGAATTTGGCAGCGAGACTTCAGAGACAGACCTTTTTTACAACCAGACATACTATATACACCCCAACTTCTACCTCCTCAGTGTTACATAGATAATTCTGTAAGTTCAGTTACTACTGCTTTTGTCAAGACTGTTACTAATAAAGTACGGTGTCCTGTGTTTTGTTTAGCATGGACACCAGAAGGTAGACGTTTAATAACTGGTGCATCCAGTGGTGAATTTACTCTATGGAATGGATTGACGTTCAATTTTGAAACTATTTTACAAGCCCATGATTCGCCTGTTCGTTCAATGGTATGGTCTCATAATGGTAATTGGATGACTACTGGTGATCATACAGGTTTTATAAAATATTGGCAATCAAATATGAATAATGTTAAGATGTTTCAAGCACACAACGAAGCTGTTAGAGGTATAAGTTTTAGTCAATCTGATGATAAATTCGCAACTTGTTCAGATGATGGAACTATACGTATTTGGGACTTTTTTACCAATAGAGAAGAAAAAATACTTCGAGGTCATGGGGCTGATGTGAAATGCATTGATTGGCATCCACAAAAAGGTCTTTTGATATCTGGCAGCAAAGATAATCAACAACCAATTAAACTTTGGGATCCAAAAACCGGTCAATCATTAGCTACTTTACATGCTCATAAAAGTACAGTTATGGATGTTAAGTGGAATACTAATGGTAATTGGGTAGTATCTGCGTCTAGAGATCACTTATTAAAATTATTTGATATTAGAAATCTTTCTCATGAAGTTCAAACATTCAGAGGTCATAAGAAAGAAGCTAGTACCATTGCTTGGCACCCATATCATGAAAACTTATTTTGTAGTGGAGGTTCTGATGGGGCTATATTATTTTGGAATGTTGGTGTTGATAAATTTGTTGGATCTGTTGATCAGGCACACGATAGTATTGTTTGGTCATTGGCTTGGCATCCATTAGGTGAAGTATTATGTTCTGGCTCAAATGATTATACTTGTAAATTTTGGACACGAAATAGACCTGGAGATAAAATGACTGGGAAATATCATTCAGTAAATGCAGTTTCTAGCATGTTAAAAACAGAAAACATGACAGCTGATGCACAATCAACTATACCAGGAATGGGTCTTGAAGATATTACTGAAGAAGATTCTAATAAATCATTAGTTGACAATAATACTATACCACTTTTAGATATTTCTTCTACTGAAGAACCAGCCAGTAAAGTTCGGCAGATTAAAAAAATTCCTTACTCTAAACCAATTCCTAAAAATTTCCAAAAGTTTTGGAATGAATACAAAACTAATGATGAAATAATAGAAGATGATTCTGAAGAAAATATTGGTCCCGATAGTGATGTGGTGAATAATGTTGTTGAGAGTTTAATGGATTTGATACCAGGTTCAAGACCAGCAAGTGATCTCAAACCAGAATCTCTTCTTGTATATGGACAAATGATAAAAGTAGATCAAAATTCACCATTAGCAAATGCAATAAGAGAAGGTCGAGAGTCATTAATGCGTCTTCTTCATTCTGGTGCAATACCAGAAGTACGACAACATCTATCATTTGAAAGCAACAAAGATCCAATTTATGCATATGCTGACAAACACCTCCAAAAGGATGAAGATTTACGCAGAAATCCATTTAATAATGATGTAAATGTGAACTTTCCTAAAAATCAGGATGTTGATCTTAGAATCAATAATAATTTTAACCAAAGTTATGGATCTTCTACTAATTTTCAAACTGTTTCTAATGATAATTTTAATAGACAATCTACAACTCCGTCAACTAATAAAAGTGGATACAGTCAATCAACAAGATCATATTACAATAAATCCCACCCCTACAATAACAACTCACAAAATAATAGGACATCACGACATCACGGAAATAATCAAAATGGTATACGAAATGGTCCCCCTAATTTAATGGACTCCAATTTTTCAAGACCATCCAGTTACAGATCAAATTCACAAAGACCGTCTCAAAATTATAATAACATGTGAATTGTTACTGAATTGGGGTACCGAGAAAGTAAAAATCTATTACATGGTAAAATTTAATGTACACGTGTTTTGTAAAATAATTATTGTTTATGTTTTGCATGTAAAATATAAAATAATTTCCTTGATTTAGGTAGGAATATTTAATTCTATGTCTATATTTTTTAGAATATCAGTTTTTTATGTAACATATTTTTTTTTCAGATTATTGTTATTTATACTTGTTTATTGTTATATTGTATATACATTTACAAACTATTAACCTCTTAAAAATGAAAAAAAAAAATATCTACTTAAATCCATATTTTATTCCTATTCCTTTTGCACTTAAAAAAAAATGTTGGTACTGCATGTGGTTATTTTTATTACATAAACTCAAATTTCTATTTTAGTTATCTAAATTGTTTTAATTTTCCAGGCAGTGTATTGTATATTAATTATTTAAATTAACCTAGAAAAAGAATTTTTAATCTCCATTTTAGTTGTTACAATAGGTAGGTAAAGTGAAAAAAAAAACAGTAAATTATAAAAATGATAGAAAATGGTAAATTAAATTACGTGCAGATAGATGTATAATTTAAAAAGATTTTATGCTAAGTAATTTACTTAACAAAATTATAAAACAATTTTTAATTGTTTTTACATTTTTACGAATAGATGAAAATGATTAAATGTATATTAAAATTCATAGTGAATATCAGTTACTTGTATTAAAATATAACAAGTCATACAAATTGTTAATCAAAAGAATTTAATTAAAATGTATTTATTTCAGAGCAGTATAGTTAATAATAATAAATATAATTAACTACTTAATATTTTAGGATATTCAACAATCTTTTTCTGATTTGACTATAATTTCTATGGAATATTATTGATATGAAAGTTTGGACTATAATGACATAATTTACTCATTTGCAGTTATAGCAAGCAAAGATGATTTATAATTTTTGGATTACCTTAGTAGGTACTAATTTATAAACATATTATAATAAAGAGAGCAGAAGAAAAGTTAGACTTGGTTATGAATTTTGAAAGGATTATATTTAATATAAATATTTATAACATTTTTAATTAATAAAACTATTTAAGATGTACTTACTTTAAAATATATACATTTTGAATCAATTTATACATAGCTGCAAAGGATATTATAATCTAGTATAGCAGATGAGTAAGCTACAATAATGTATTACTTAGAAACATTTTTGTCACCTTGTAAATTATTCACTTATTATGTGTCTGAAAAAAAAAATATGTCTTTAAAACTTACAAGTATTATGTTTTATTGCTTTAACTATTTAGGTAAAAAAAAATAAAGGTGCTTATTACATTTTTAAGAATTTATCAGTATTAACAATATGATTAATAAGTACTTTGTTAATGGTTGAATTATTTTATATATATATTTTAATTTATTATTATATTGTTTATAAAAATATTTAAATGTTAATTTGTATGTAGAATTATTTTTTTTAGGTAGGTAATATTAGTAATATTATATTATCATATATGTATGATTTTATATCTACAGCGAGACATGCTTACTACCTATTCATTGGTTTACCATGCGCAATTTTTCTATTTTTGTATGAACAACTTTTCTACCAGAAACTGCCCCAATCAAAAGACTAATAAAAGCTGTTAAGTTGGTACGAGGTCGTTTTTTAAAATTTTCATAAAAAATTGAATTCCTGTTAAAGTTTATAGCATTAACAGTTTTATTATTTTCAATTTTTTTTTTTTTAGAATTCGTATAAAAATCAATATACCTGAAATTTTTACACAATAGATACCCACTTATATTGTCCGTTCTTTTCTAGACGTAAAAATGTTCAAAACTTTCTATTGATTTTTGAGTTATTTATAATTTATAGATTATTGACTTTTTTGAGTTTGTTTATAATTATTATTTGGATAGAATTGTTTCGACCAAGTAGATAAAAATAATTTAAAATTTAAAACAAAATTCACCTAAATTGTAATAGGTAAAAAAAACTATAGTTTTTTTTTTATATAATACTTATATTGTTAAGTTTGATTTTTACGAAAATTGTGAATATTATTAAATTTTAACCAAACTTCACTCAAAATCGTTAATTAATTTATTACATATTAAATCAATACAACCATATCGCAGATTCGCATAAGTGCAACTTAATAAATAGAGTAGGTAAAATATTGAACATCTAATAATTTCAATACCAATAACCCACATTATTATAATGTCAATGTTTCATTCACGTTCATATAAATGTAGGTACTTACCTAATTACGTTTTTCTTAGTTTACTTAGGTTAAAATTAAAAATAAAATAGTAAAAAATACGGTTCAAGAGGGATGGTAATTAACCTGGGTACCCTCCTCATGAAACCGCCACTGGTATATAGGTATCTCTAATATTTCTTTCAATTGGAACACATGGGACGCAGTGGTGGATACAAAGGGATGTGATGAGGCGAACGTATTCCTTTGGGCCGTGTTTTCGACGTAATTCTTGTATTCTACGACAATAATAGTTTATAATATACCAACATATTAATTTTTAATAAAATCCGACTCCCTTGAAAAACTCTTGGACCCGACACTGACGCTACACATATTCAAACATTTATATTTTGGACTTTTTTTTTTCATTTGGTGTGTTTAAATTTAAGTAGGTACTAGAAACCATTACATCTAAATTTAATAATCGGAGTAACAGTTCTGGTAGAAAATTTGTTTGCATATAGAAAAAAAATAACCGAAATATATATTAGGTAGGTAACATCATAATTTAATCATTTTAGTAATCTACATAGTAGAATCTGAAATAAATATTATCTATTGTGAGTAAAAAAAGTTAGCTTGCAGTACCTAAATAGGTACCTAGTATTTGTTTTTGGAAATTTTCAATTGCTGAATTAGTTACCTATGTTTAAAAATTGGTGTGAGGATAAATCCCCACAGATGAGGTTGAGTTCAATAATTAAATAAAGACATTAATTTGTTTTAAGTCTTTTTTTTTTTTTTTTTTTTTTCCATAATTCCTCAAACATGCTTATTGTAAAAAGTATTTACAGATTGTATGTATTATAATTAAAATTAAAAAAAAAAAAAAAAAAAAAAAAAGTCTTAAGTGGTATCACTTCTTAGCGAATGCAGCCACTGTTGTAAGTGGGATGTTGAAAAGGTAGCTAGGATACAGACGGGAATTTAATGTCTGTAAGCAAACGATAAACCATTGCTAACGAAATAACGATTCTGAGTGGAGTTTTGCAGTAGATAGTGATGCTTTGTCAACAATATATATTAAATATTATGGTAAAATTATTAAATAGGCATTATATAATTTCCTTAATAATATTTGTTTTATATTGTACATTATTTGTACCAATGTTCCCGGTTTTCACATTTGCTAAGAAAATTCTTGGGACAATCAAAAAAGTGACCTCCCTAAAGTACCTTCCCACACCGATTTCCTTTCAGAAAAGGTGTTGTACTTAAAAATCGGAAAAAGATCTCCGGTAAAAAAGTTATCAAAAAAAAAACAAAAATCTTTGTTAAACTATAAGATTCTTCGTTCCACTCAGAATTTAAAATCCTGTCCATTATTTTTAAATAAAGGTTATAGTAAAATAATACCTACCTAATATAAGTAATTATAATAATAAATCGTTAGGTATAGTAACAATAATATCAGTCAAATAATTATAATTAATAAAGTAAAAGTTAAAAAAATCATATAGGTAATTAAATGAAACGGTTTTAACAAAAGTGTATCTATGAATTTCAATAATTTTTTTTTAATTGCTTCTTCGATAGTTTTAATCTCTTAATATTATGTTTTATATTATTGTTAAATTATCATTAAACTACTAAACTAGATATTATAAATTTTAGGTAACCAATACAAATTAAAATTATTCTTTTTCAAATGTCTTCTGGTGGAAACAGGATACGATTTTTTATTTTTGGCGAAATAGGCCATTATTATTTTGGCGGAAACGGCAATCAGCCATATAGTAATATTAAATGACTAAATTTTAATATAATTAACTTCATAATTATTACTAAATTATCCGCTCAAATAATTGGTTTATTTATAGTTTAATTATTTCGCTTAGTGTATTTTTAAGTGTCGTTTTGGTTAAAATTGTTATCACCGCTGCTTCGTTATGCCAAACTAGGAAAGTATTATGTAATATTAATAAATATTATGTAATGTTACATAAACATTTTTTATTTTTATTTACACAATTAAGTAAAAACTAAAAAAAAAATCCAAAAACTTCAAATGGCTATACCTAGTCTTGCCATAAGTTCTGTCCCTTATATAAAGGTGCATACTTAATAAATAAAATAAAATAAATATAAAAAACTAATGTTTTTTATTCTTTATTAATTAAGTAACTAAACAAAACTAAATACTATTCAAAATGTCCACCGTTTGCATTTATATACTTCTTAAAGAGATTTGGCCACTTGTCTATGACGGCACGCACCACTTCTAACGGTATTGAGGCAGCTGATTTTACCAAATCAGCTTTTAATGATTCGATATTTCGATGGGGCTTAGAGCAGGCTTTTTCCTCTAAAATACTCCACAGTATGTATTCCAAAGGATTGAGGTCTGGACTTCCTGAGGGCCAATCTTGAGCGGCGATAAATCCTGGTAAATTGACCTCTAACCAGCGTTGTTGTTTTTGCTTTATGTGCAGGCGCTGAATCCTGCTGAAAGGTCCAGTTCTTTTCTACAAACAAGGTATCACTTAAAGGCTTCACTGCCTTTTCTAAAATATAATTTTAGTAGTTAACCGTGCGTGTTTTTACTCCTTGCTCACAAAAATGCAGTTGAGTAATACCCTCATATGACACTCCCCACCAAACCATCACTAAGGCTGGATGATGTCCTCTTTCTATTCTTTGATTTTTTTTAGCAGCTTCCCGAGAGTTGCGAGCATAAACTCTATCATTTTGACGGTTAAATATTTCTTCTACAATAAAAATTTTTTCATCTGTAAACAGTATCTGTCTGTGGCCATTTTTCGCGTACTGCTGAAGTAACTTTTTCGCTCTTGTCGCTCTAATTTGACGTAAAGCGTCTGTCAACCGCTGACCGGTGCTTCATCGATAAGCACCAAGGCCAAGGTCTTCTTTATTTATACGTGACATGGTGGAATTTTCATTTCTCTAGCCATGATTTTTTGTTTGCAAAGTGGATTTCTACGAATTCTTTGTGCGACAGCTTTGACTGCTGCATTTGTTCTTGTTCTACGTGGACGTCCACTTCTTGGCTTGTCATCCATAGTGTTGACATCGTTAAACCGTTTAATGGTCTGATAGACGAATTTTTTTGTTATTTTCAACAGTTTCAATAATTTGAAAATCTCTAATGGTGTTTATTACACTTAAATAACGCAATAACAGGAATACGGTTTTCTTTATTATCCCATTCCGTTTAATACGTGACGTGAACTATTGTACTAATCAGAAATAGTTGATATGACACTTATTGAAAATTATCTTCAAAAACAAAGTCTTTAGTGTTATTGTAAAACATTAATAGAACAACTGATAAATAGGGACAGAACTTATTGCACGACTAGGTAAATAGCACATAAATCGCCAGTTTGATTTGAAAATCGTACCGCGTTTAATGCATAATATATGTATTAGATCTCCACGAATATTTTGTGTATATAAAATGCACTTTACTACGTATTTAACGATTTAAAATTTTGTTTAAAAAAGTGTTTTTCGATGCTGATTTAGAAAATACTTCTATTTTTTGCAGAAAATCAGGTTTGGACCATAGATTTATATAACCGTGTCTCTTACTAATCTAGACTTCAAAACGAAAATCATGCAAAATTAATTTGATTTAACCGCAGGCCGAACATTAAATTGTTATTATTCTGAAGTTTGGCGACCTGCGTCCTTTCTTTAATTTTGTATAGTGCAGTAGGATGTGTTCATAGGGGAGCGCGTAAAACAACAGAAAATAAATTAACCGAAGATTATTTGAGCCGATAGTATTTTATCCGAAAATATTACAACGGACTGTAATAAAGAGATGTCAGATCTTCCAAGAAACGATAACGCGTGATAAGAAATATATAAAAAGGAGAGAAATTTCATACATATTATTTTAAAATGAAAAACAAGTTAACCAGATGACCCAAACACAACCCACTTCTGTTTTTTGAATTTTTGATTAATTAAGTTAATTGGAAAATATATTGGTTTAGTTTTGATAATAAATCCAATATGTGTAAGTGGATGTTTATCTACACTTGAATAATTTAAATGCTTACAAATGATTGAAATTAAAAATAATAGGTAATAATTTTAAACTTAATTAAATATTATATATTTTTATCATAGAAAATATTTAAAATTTTGTCGTTTTATTATTTTTTGTTTGTTCAAAATATGTCGGAATTCTAACTCAACTATTGCACGTTCCTTCAAAATTTTCAATTTTTGTTCAAGATATCGACGTTTAAACTTTCAAGTTTTATAATTCAACATATCCTGATTAATGACAATGATAAGAAATGTACAAGCTGATAATAAGTAGATTTGGTTGAAATACATTCAGTTGTTTTATTTTCGGCCGAAATATTGCCGGCGGACATATTTTTCTGATAATTTCATGTTCAACTTCGATACGATCGGTTGAAATATTTTCGGCTGTTTTATAGCCCCTCTGTTTATAGTCTCTGTAACGGAGCGTTATAACTTAACTAAAAGAAAACCGATGATTGTAATACCGCTCCATAACATTTGTTAGGGTTTGATCAATGTTATCGTTGTTTTGTCTTTATCTCATTGGCGGGATGAAAAATAATATTATAATCATAGAACAAATAATTATCACAGAAAAAAAGATATCCGCTGTTGTTGCGCAGGCTTGCGCTGTATTTAACAAAATAAACATTTAAATAAATAAATAAATGTATTAGATATTATTTTTATATATTAGTAATAATCGTAATAATAATCATTAAGACATCAACAACAGTTAGTACCTATGATAGATCTAAGTTTTATAGTTGATTTTATAAATATTAACCAAATTTAATTTTATTGTAGCGTTTGATGTCAATTTTAATGACACCATACATTAAGAATTTATCATTAGATTTGAGAACTCTGGTAAATCATTATAATGGAAATCGACAGTCAACAAAATATTTTATCGACCGCACTAATAATTCATCATGACATTATTGTTCAAGACATTCAAGGAGACGTAATTATGATTTTATTTGAAAATAAGGTGTTGACAAAAAGTGAATACCAAGAAATTAAATCTGAGGTAATTATCACGAAACATTGATAGAACACTAATGTTTTTTATTTTATACCATGTGTTTATTGTAGAATAATCCTGTGAAGGAAGCATCTCGTTTGCTTAAGCTTTTGTCATTGAAAGGTGTTAACGATATTACTGAATTCTTAAATTATTTATCAATATATTATTCATGGATAGCTGATTCAATTAAGAAATCTATACCAAATGCATATATTACAGAACTACAGAATATATTAACTGCTGGTGAAATTCCCCAATTATCTACAAGACATGTTTCACGAACTGAACATGTTAGTAAAAATGTGAAATATTACATTATAACTACTAAATTTATTGTTTGTCTACAATAATCAGTTTAGGTAAAAATAAAAAAAAAATAATTTGTTGTTTAGGTACAAACATTAAAGAAACTTTTAATTAATTTAAAAGAAAACAATTTTGTTGTTGTGAATGGTATGACTGGTTGTGGAAAATCTAGTCTAGTTGTTGAGGTTTTAAATGATCCTATTATTACCATTCAATACTTACAGGTAAATTATTTTTTATTAAATTATAAAAATAACAGTAATACAAATTCTAAATTATTATAAGTTATGTTTAATAATTCATGTCTATGACTAAATATTACATGTAATGTATCCTTGTCCATTTATCAACAGTGTAGTGTATGACTACATTATACTAACATTATTCATTCTATGATCATATATGCATATGTTTTGATTTGTGGAATTTTTAGGTGGAGTTAAAGTCAATATTTTTGATACTTAAATTTTTCACAACATTTAAGGGGTATCCTGTAGCGATAGCAACTTTGATTTTTCAAATGAAAATCCATATTAAAAATTCCATTAATAGATGGAGTATTACTTAAAATAATTTCTGGTATTAAGGTTTTTGATTTTCGTGAACCTGTTGACTTCTAGGTTTAGGTAGGGGAAATTAGTGGAGTATCATTTGTGTGGCAGAATTTTAACATATGTTTTAATTTAAAAAATCCAAGTTGGTATCACCACAGGATACTCCTTAAGTGTAGTGACAAATCTAAATATTTGAAAATATCGTCTTCTACTACATATAAAGTTTCCAAAAATCAGAATTTCAATATATTCAAAATTTAACCACAAAAATGGGTTGAGCACGCTTAATGAATCACTGTATTTATATTTTTTATTTGCAGATTGTAAATTTTCCTTTTAATACATAGAAAGAAAATATAACCAATTAAGTTGTTTTCATATTTTTATAAAAAAGTAGTCATTACTAAGAGTTATTTAATAATTTATCTATTAAAAATCTATTTCATTATGCAATAATTCTTAAAAAATGTATTTTTTATTCATATGAGTTTTAAAAAATTTTCTGACAGATTTTTGGGATAACAAATTATTAAATAGGTGTAACATCTTACATGTAAAAACAAGAAAATTTCTGAAATTGAATTTAAAAGTATGCAACTATGTACTACATGGGATTAGTATCCTTATTTTAAATTTAAAAGAATATTATATTATTATTTTATACATTTGATTTTTTTAGGGATATGTTCAGTGGATACATGTCGGACAAGAAAATCCATCAGATATTGCATGTATTCAAACTGAATTATTAAATAGATTAAACGAACAAGAACAACCTATTTCACCTCCACTGAATATTGATTATGAGGCCACAAGAAAAACACTTCGGAATCTGTAAATTCATAATAATAAATTTTTAAAGTTATAATTTCTTATTGAATATGTGATTTACACATATTTCTCATTAATTGTTTTAATTGTATTTATTTTGAATATTTAATAATCTTTTTTGGTATCACCACTGTCCAAAATACATTCAAATCTATAATACTCCTGGCTATGTTTTGTCTTATTTAGTATTTTAATTACATTACAATTATACTATTTTTTTACTATATTTTTTTATAGATGGAAACAAAAAAAAATAAATGGTTTGTTAGTATTGGATGATGTATCTAGTAGTCAAATAGTAAAATACTTGGATATTGGATGTAAAATATTAATAACAACACATGATATAAGTATAATGGACGACATAATAGATACACGAGTGAAATATGTAAAAGTAAATGAAGGATTTCAAGAAAAAGAGACTTTAACTTTGTTTTCAAAATGTTTGAATATTGACTATAAGTCTTTACCACACAATGCATCTGTGCTTCATAAAATATGCAAAGGTTAGTTAGTTTAAACTGTACTATAATATTTATTAAAGATATTTAATTTGTTTAGGATTTCCATTAACTATTTCACTTATTGGTGCACAACTTGAAACACATCAAGAGGAAACTATTAATAATAAGGATAGATGGACATTTTATTTAGAAGAGTTAACAGATAAAACAAGTGAACCTTTTAGGTAAATATTATTTCTAAGTACTTATAATTTAAATTTAATTACAGTCTTGTGAGCTGGTTAATATTAGTCAATTATATATTATTAATTATATTTTTAGTTTTTGAGGTATATAATAATACAAAATATTTTTACCAAAATTCTTTAGCAGATTTAATTAAATTTTTATTTATTTTAAGTTATTAGAATCGTTTTATAGACAAAATGTCTATTCTATGGTAGAAATCACTACAAATTCAACTTATACAAATATTTTAAATAATATATTTATCATATTTTCATAGGCATACACAACGTAGTTATAACCAGATTAAGAGTCTTGAAAGAGCAATAGAAATGTGCATTAAAAGTTTACCAGATTATCTTCAAAAGAAATATCAAGATTTTTCTTTGTTTGTATACGATTTAAACATTAAACCAGAAGTAATTTCTTATTAAAATCAACATTATCTTTTATGATATATATATAAGTTATATATTTGTATACTAAAGAATAAATATATAATTATTTTGAAAATCATTTTTTATTTTAGGTTTTATCTGTATTGTGGAATTTAAAGAAGATAGAAGTGGAAGATATTATGTTGGAACTAACACGTAAGAATTTAGTGGTTAGGGTTTGGAATCAACCTTTGAATAGTTATGTTTATTCTATACATGATTTGCTGTTAAAAAATTTAAAAAAAAATACAAATTATCATGAATCTAAGGTATAATTTGGGTATAATTTGCAATAATAAAAAAATTGAATAATATTAATTCAATATTATCAAATTTTGTTAGGCTCTGCACAAAAAACTTATCGAGTGTTATAGAGTTAATTGTAATGGACAATTTGCTAATCTTCCAAAAAATGACAATTATATATTTTTGTATTTTGGATATCATTTGAAAAATGCTGATATGCTCGGAGAATTTTCTCAATGGTTTTTGAATTTAAAATTTTTAGAATCAAAAATATGTGTAACAGGTCCTGCTGATGTCTTGGCAGATTTAAGAAAATACAGAAAATATATTGCTGTTCGGGTAAATATATATGTATATAATGCTTATATATAATAATATATAGCTTTAACTATTATAACTATTTTAACTATTATAACCTAATTGATAAAATACATTTTCTTATCACTTATAGAATTATATTTTCTAAGCATATTATTGTAATATTTAAACATTTTCAGAATGTATATGAAGGTTACATAAATGAAATAGAAAATTTTATTAAACGTATTGGACCAAATTTGTATCAAACTAAATGTGATATTGTCCAATTAGGCCTTCAAGAACCTGAAACTTCTTTTGTGTATAATGAATCATATAAAATTGCAAAAACTTGTTGGAATTCGTATTTTTATTATAAGTATAAATATTATAATTGTATTGTTATATATTAACTTAACAAATGTATTACTATATTGCTATAATATTTTTTAGTATTCGTGCATCTCAAAATTTCCATCCAGAACCTCATATATCTATTGTTAGAGAAAACATTGCTACTGCAATTTTTGGAAAAAACTATGATGAGGTTATATATGGCACCACAAATGGAATCATTAAAGTATGTAAATATATTAATATTATATATTTATAGTAATTATTTACTAAGAAGTTGTGTGCCCGTCAAATGTGATGGACTATAGTGAATTGTATATTTGTTTGTCATGGTACCTAGATCAACTAAGCGTTATAGACATATCATGACTTATATATAAGAAAACAAATTTGAGTTCAGTAGGCCAATTTTTATGCTGTTTTAATATTAAGGGAAATTGACCTATTACCTATATTTTTTTTTTGATATTTTAATTTTTAAGGGAGATATAAGGATTTTTAAATTGTGATAGTTCACATATTTATATCTCCCTTAAAAATTAAAATATCGATAAAACATCAACACTAGGTCACATCGTTTAACCTTAAATTTTGGAAATATGTCAATTTTCTATAATATTAAAACTTAAAGTATACTAAATTATACTGAAAGCAAATTTACCATGCCATACATTTGTAAAACGGAAACAGCGAATGCGTTTGTGGTGACCTTTTAACAAAATGTATTGTAACTTGATTAAATTTAAATAGGTATGGAATTTAATGTCACATAAATGTTTGCACACTTTTAATGGCCATTCAAAAAAAGTAACCCATTTAGTTACTAATAAATTAAAAAATCAATTTTTATCAACATCTGATGATTCAACAATATGCATTTGGAATATGTACAATTCTAATGAATTTAGTGGTATATATTTTTATTTTATTATTTTGACTGTCATTTATTTATTTAAAAATGTGTTGAATTTTAGATTCCGAATCACTTACACCACCACCTCAGGTTAGGCAAGAACATTGGCAAAATGTATTTCATCAAAATAATCAAAGATCAACAGATATTTCTGACTGTGTTTTTGTATTAAAACAAAACACTGCACCAGTCATTTTTGCACAGTTTTCTCCAGATAATAAGTATGTTGTTTCATGCTCTACGGATAAAACTTTAAAGGTGATATTATTTTTCATTATTGTATTATAACTTATATTTAGTCATCTTCTTTAACTTTTCCACGCACACATCCAATGTGAACAATCCACTAAAGTCTTGTTTAGGATTTCTCAAATTGTTTGCTAGAATTTTACTCTGGCTGTCGATCTGATGCAACCCGATTTTTCTCTCACTCATGATCTTTAGAGTTTAGAGGTAACATTGTTATTTAGGGCAATGGTTTTCAATTTGTGTTGCGGCTCTCAGGGGTGTCCCAGTTTAGAATCTAGAGAGTTGTGTCTATAGTAAATATAGTAAAGTAATACAGTAAATTTATTTATATACATTTTTATATTATTATCATTATTTGCAAGGGAGCTGCTAATTTGGATTTCAAAATCAGAAAAGCCGTGGACCCAAAAAGGTTGAAAACCACTGATCTAAGAGATAATCTATAATCACGTTACGTGATAACATTGGTTTTCACACAGATTAGTAAAATTTAGAACTGCTATTACTTAGAAACTATTCTTTGAATATAAATTTATGATACATACAAATTTTCAGAAAAATATACTTTACAAAATGGCTATCTTATCATTTTTTGAAAATAATAAAATAAAGTTATTTTGTTAATTTTTTTATTTTTAATAAAATAAATTGAATACAGATAAATATTTTTAGTTCTCATCCCTATGAGTAATATATATAAAAAAAAAAAAAAAAACAGAATTTGTTGATAATCTTTATTATCTGAGGAGATTTCAAGGAGTACATCTTAGTGGGACAATGTGTGTATATTTTTTAAGATAGTGGTCACTGAATGTATATATTGTTTGGATACTTATAACTGTTTAATTCACTTGAAAACATGTTTCATTTTTCATTTATTCCACATTTCTACTGTTCTGCTTATTTTAAATATTGATATTGTTAACAAAAACTTATTTATTGATACAAGTGTTTTAAAAAATAGATATGGAGATTAAAAGATGTCACTATTCCAATTCCATGTTCAATCAATCTGATTAGCATCGCCTATAGGTGTTACTTTTTGAGAAATGATTTTATACTTTTCTTAACTCAATCAGAGGCAGGGAAAAGTGGTCTGTATGGATGTGAATGGCCTTTTAAACATCATACAGGATTGAAGTATCCAAAAGAAAAAGTTTTATCATTTTTCCCTATATCTTGTACAGATGGTAAGTGTTGTAATTTATTATTTTAATTATTTAAGACATTAAAATATATATATGTATATTATTTTTAGGAGATGATAAATTAGTAGTTATGTCACAAAATAAAATAGCTTGTTACCAATTATGGACAGATGACCAAAACCTAAAAGAACTAATGGAATATCCTCAACCAATAGGTTATCAAAATTATAAAATGTTTTCTATTTTGGATCGGTACCCAGGGAAAATAAATAATAATGGTTATATAGCTATTGGTTTAAGTAATAATACAATACAAATTTGTGATTTATCTAACGGTTATAATTTTTTGCATTTAAACAATCCTGTTCAGTAAGTAAATGTTTAATTTTAATATTTATTTTTATGTTAATCAAAGTTTTGATATTATAGAGGTATATTGAACTTAGACTGGTATTGGTCTACAGAGGATCAAAATAACTGGTTACTTTGTGCAGCAGAAGATAGATCTATACGATTATGGTGTATAAATGAGATTGAAAACTACACATGTGCATATCAAGCAAACACTAAACATCAATCCAGTAATGGTGTTGAACACTTATGTAAAAATGAAGTCATATCTCTTCAAGACTATAAATTAATTACTGGAAAACAAAATTTGTGTTATACATTTAAACAAAACTTTGATGCTGTGTGGTTGGATAATAATTCAATATTAATAGCAGCTGCTACAAAATGTCGTACTTTAAAGGTAATAAGACGAGTTATTTTTAAAATTCAATTTAACTTTTTCAAGAATATTGAAAGTAATAATACATGACAATATTTAAGATTTAGAAAAAAACTATTATTATTTTTAAATTAATTAATCATGGGACGAATTTGAAGTTTGCCTCAAATAAAATGACGATGTTTCAAAGGAATTTGAGAGTGAGTATTAAAAATAAGAATGAGGAAGTTAATTAATGATAAGAGAATAGGACAATTGGTATTATTATTATTAAATTTAGTTGTCTTGAATAACAATATAAAATAATGGTTTTTATAGGAATAAAATATAAGTAAAAGTATAAAACCAATTCTGTAGATATATGAGGTTTAAACAAAAGTATACAGACATGAATATCACTCAGATATATACACTCAGAATATTACCTTAACACATTGAGAGACAATTTTACTGTTATAGCAATAGTACTATAAGTACATTCAAAAATCTAAGTAAATTGTCAGTGTGGACTTCTGTAATATGGCAGTCCAATATTTTATATCATTTGATAACACTGAAAAAATTACTACTATAGCAATGTTCAAGTAATAACACATTTTTTTTATTACTGCTATAGCAGTAGTATCTGTCAATGTGTTAACATCTTTAAAAAATAAAACAATCATAAGTGAATTAGAATTTTTTTTATAAAATTTTAAATAGATTAATCATTGCCCCAAACAGTTTAATTTCCATGTACCCACAAAACCCACAACAACTCTTGCACGTTCCTACCTCAAAAACTAACAAAATGCAAGGATCTATTATTAATTGAATTTCAATCAACATCTTTCACCTCACCTTAAACCAGTTCAAAATTAAAATCCAACAAATTGTATTATAATTGTATATCCAAACTACACCTATTTAATTATCCAGACTTATTTCTCCTCACTAATTTATTATTATTTAATTATTGAAACTGTATTTTTTCTGAATAACATTTCTATATTCCATGTTTATTTATATTATAATAAGTATATTGTTAATTTATTTTATGTTAAATACCATATGTCATATTCATTACATTTACCAAAAGCGTGTTTACCTGTTAATTTTTAAATTAAATAAATAATAATTTTCTCCTGATAAATGTATTGGGATTTGTGATAGTTTTGTAAAGTACTTATTACAATTGGGAGATTATTCTGTCTGATAGATGTTTAATATAAATAAATAACAGTGAACTCCCGGGGGAACATATTAAATTGATTTTTATCTGTTTATCAAAGAATTTTTAAAAATGCAACTTTAAATTGACAGGTCTAAAATCATAGGCATTTAATTTGTCATTGGTAATACTGTGCAAGTACAGTTAATTCAGCTGCCTAATAGTAATATCATTTATTTATAATTTTTTTTAGATACTATTGGAAGGTTTAGACCAATGGTCATTGATTGATAACAGAGTTTCGGCTTTTAAAATAGTGAATTCAAATCGAAAAATTGATCAAACAATGATACTTGTAGCATGTGTTGATTATTCTGTTCACATGTTGAGTCACCAAACATCTAAACATTTGTTTGACTCTGTGAATGAAGTAGAGGAAATGTATGCCTGTTATGAATATGATACATTAACTTTAGGATGTTTGTTAAAGTATCAAACGTATCAGGAAAATTATGAGCAAATTATTGAGGTAAAATACATTTCTTATCAACTATTTATAGAAAGTATGTTTATTGATTTTTTTTTTTCATAATTAGATTTGGGTAAATAATGTGAAATCATCTGGGATATATGTGAAAAAACCAGTTATTGATTGTTATATGTTTCATGAAAGAGCAATAGTGTTACACAATTTTAATCAAATTCTGGTAAATTTTGATCAATTTTATTTTTATTTATAACTAGAGATACTATGTATAACATATAATTAGAAAACATACTTAAAATATCATTAAAGTATTTAAAAATGTTGTTATACTTATATTTGTTACAGGTAAGTATTATAATATATTAGCATTCAAAATAAGTAAAAAAGAACTCTGTGTTAAAATTTCAAGTATTTCAGCCAAAATAATTTTATCTTCATAAAAATAAAAACTAAACATCAACAGAATGTTTTTAAAATTGTACTACATCTAGGCCCACATAAATATTTTATCATATTTTTAGATCTCTACAATTATTTGTCACTTATTATAATAATAATAAAAAAAACAAACCTTTATTTCTATTGACTTTCCTAATTTTCCATATAATTATAAAAATTGTTTGAAAATCAAAATACTACCTCCTCAATGCACCTACAAAATACAAAATTCTGCAATAAAATTCTCCTGTCATATTTTGTTTGGAACAAGGTGGAAAAGTTGTTAACTGACAGAAAATATAGCAAACATATCATTAATACCAATATATTCCTCTGCTGAGAATATGTAAAAAAAAAAAAAACCCAACAAACAAATTTGAATACAATCAATTTTCTACTATTATAATTTAAAACATTATATTTTATTGAAAATTAGAAATAAACAAAAACTACATAGAATTTTCCATTGTTTAATTTTTAAGATTATTGAAATTGTTGAAATATATATTATAGTAAATTTTATAATATAAAATTATTTAAAACTTATTCAACAGGTAACAGATGTACCAGCTATTCAAGGTAAAGTAAAATTTAATATGAATTGCCTAAGAATAAATGGAAGTTCATTGCTTGATCATGCAAATTTAGCAGTGGTGGAAAATGGCAACAATTTAAATATATATCAATTGAATTCTGATGATGATACATTATCTCTGAAGGAGCAATATGAAATACAGTTTAATGAATACGAATTAATATCAATTAGTATATCACATGAAAAAGATTTAATTGTCCTTGGTGGGAAAAAAGATATTGTTGTAAGTTTAATATGTTTTATTATTATTTCCTATCTATCTCACACGACTTTACCTGTATACACTTCACAGTATTGAAAAAAAAGTGTTTCCCCACAATTCCCCATATCCACCCTTAGCTTATCACAATTACACATTTTTGCCCGGTAATTTATATTTTAAAAGGATACTTTCTTGTCTATGACAACCAAATCAACTATAATTATTATTTTTCTCATCCATGTTGTTTAATTTTCATTCCAAAAATACCAAAAACCCTGTATGAGCCCCCCTTTGGGTTGAATTTTTGGAAATCTGGCTTCTAATAATCAAGAATCTAGGAAAAAAACAACATGGTAAAAAATGTCAAATGCATTTTACTTGAAAATCACAAATAATAGTTTTAAATCAATAATCAAGTTATCAAATTATTAACTATCAAAAATATAAATATGTAAATAATAATAATAATAATAAATCATAAATATCGTACAGTATATGCTTTAACTTAAAAATATGATTTATCTCTTTCCCACTTAAATATTCTTCATTATAATGTTTGAGTTCATTTTGCAACTGCATAAATGCTTGCGGATCTTTGTAAATATTTAAAAATAAATACTATTACTATTTAAAAATATTACATTAGTCACACATCCCTCCGCCCAAAAAAAAATTCTGGGCTGACCCTTTGAATAGATACAATGAAATTTATTTGATCAAGGTCAACAGCTTGCAATTAGCCACTAATATTTGTGATTTTTAAGTAAAATACATTTGTTATTTTTTTCCTGTCGTTTTTACCGATTATCAATAATCAAAACATGATGATCTTAAATTTTGTTTATTATGTCTATGTTAAAATATTTAATTACACTGTTTGTGTTTTTACAAAACATACTGATTAAGTGGTATAGTCATCGGGGAGCAATAATGTATTAATTATTATTTGAATTCATTTAGCTACAACTATAACTTTGTGAAAATTGTGAAGATGTTGATATTATATTTGTACATACTTTATTATCATACACTGGATATGATGATCAATTAAATCGAGTCCATTGGAAATTGTTATAGTTCTAATTAATTTTTACTGTATTCAAGATTTAAAAACTTACACACATAATATAAATAAAATAATAATGATACAATTTAGCCTGTAATAATATTTAAAACTTGGTATTCTGTGAAAATATGAAATTTCCGAATACAAATTGTTGTAAAGGGGGTTGAAAGTTAAAACCCCGAAAAGCGAAAAAAGTAGATCCTTGATACTTGTAAGGTTACATCATTTTAGCTCGGTTGATCCCAGAGGGAGCTACTAATAGTATTCTAAAGTAGCGTGAAAAAGATATTATGTATTATATAACAAATACAATACAGTAAAATAGTTTCTATTTTCAGGGAAAAATAAACAAAATATAGAGTTTATTTTATAGTTTTATTAAAAATACATTTTATTTGTACCCATAAATTATTCAATGTACTTAACAGTCTAAATAATAACTGTTACTGACTTTTTTAATTGGTTAATACTTAGCACATGATTTACTATGTATAAATAGTTCACATTTTGCTCCTAACATCTTATTCAATTATATTAGTGAATATAAATTATTTAATAATAAATTTGTTTTCATTAGCTGATTGACAGAAAATTAAATTTAACAAAACAATTTACAATCGATCCAAATGTGAATAATATACAATCTATGGTGTGGTCATTAGATGACACTTGCTTAGCAATAAAAGATGACAATCACATAATTTCATACGACATTAAATCTGGTAAAAAAATAGCAAGTATTAGATTAACAGCTGATAAATTTGCAGTGGATCATACATTGAAGACATTCATAGCAGTAAATACTGCTGGACAACTAGTAATGTTGAAATTATTTAGTAATGTTGAGTTAAATTAATTATTTAATATTAGTCAGGAGAACATCACATTGGAATTTGTATTACTATCTGGTGGACAATTTAGTAAAAACATGTATTCATATTTAAAATAGAAATAGAACCTTGATTTTAGTACAAACAAACAAGGGCTTATAATATTACATTTCTTATTATTATTTTTCAAACCAAATTTATTGCATCTGAAAATTAATGTTTTTATACATATTTCAAAAAAAATTTTATAATATAAATATTTGACAAATTAAAAAATCAAAAAACTAGTTTTAGACTTTTAGTTTAAAACTAGTCACTAAGATTTGTTATAACTATAACAAATCTTAGTGCAACTTTTTATGTTTATTTTAGCCCAAAAATCAACTATTTATTGCAAATTATTGTAACTATTTATTAACATGGTAAGTACTATTTGGTGTATGCAAATATATTTTTACTAAATTGTCCAATAAGATGTACAGAAACAGAGTAGCCCAATGTTGGTGTGGCATTCTCTTAAGTTATTTAGATTTATTTACTCTTTAAATTTTATTCTGTATATTATATAACATTATTTTATATTTTTGACAGCCAATTATTGAAAATATTAAAAATAATGAGATTGATTGATTTTGTAAACAATTGTAAAAACTTAGTATTAAAGAATTAATGTTCTTAGATTTAGTTATTATGAATTGTGATTTGTATAGTTTTTTTTGTTTTTACCAATCCATTTTTATAAATTTAAACAAAAGTTACTTATTTTAATGTTTAAAAATAATAATCTAAGTATTATAAGTATTATTTTGCAAAAAAATGATTTTATTATCATAATTTTTAACTTTTAATTAGAGATAATTTTTAATGTTATCTGTGATGCTATCTGTGATTTTATAATTGATTGATTGTGAATTTTTTCTATTATTTTTCTAAACAGTATTTATTGTAAGTAATTAAAAGGTTTGTGATTAGCGTTTACTATTCTCATAACACTTGTGAAGTGCCTATAACGGTTTTTTGGTGATATTTATGAAACTAATTTTTTAATTTCTAATTAGAATTAATTTTTAAATGTGATCTGTGATTGTATAATTAATTAATTGTATATTTGTTTACTATTTTTCTAAATTTAATATATAATTTGTAATTAAAAGCCTTGTGATTTGCATCTGATATTGTCTCACAAAACTCAAGGTACATTCAGGGTTTGTGAATGTTATGTTAGAGTTGCGTCTGCAATAATACTAATAATAATAATAGTAATAATACCCAATCTTATTGTCTTATCAATATCATACATTTAGAAGTGTAGATACCTATGTACAGAAATTAGTCTACAAATATTTAAAATATATGTGTATAATAGGGTGCCAGTTAATTATATAGAAAGATAATTATTTGTCAAATTTTGAAGGGCGCCGGCGGGAAATTTGTTCCAACACATCTATTATTAGAGTCTGTAAAGTATGAGCTCGATCAAACACAGTTAACACATGGCGACTTAAGCTCAGTTTTATGAAAAAACGTAAAATGTCACGGTTTGTTGCATAACTACTTAAAATTTTATTTTACAAAATATTGTATAGAATCATTATTGTAGGTCAATTTATTTCCTAAAAATAATATATCTTTATATTTCTTCGTAAAATTAATTCTTAACCGTGAAATAAAACATATACGTTGAAGCTCATGTTTTATAAAAATGTTATTTTGGAAATATACTTTATTTTTCATTGATAGGTACATGATTAAATATTTTTAAATAAAATATTAACATACAATTTAGATTTACACTTATCAAACTACTGTTCAATAATCGTTAAATGATTTCTCATGACTTCCAATGTAGCATTTTTGGGATATTTTTTACGGTAATCTTGAACGGTCTATAATAAAAAAAATAATTACCTACCTTTAATTTTGTTTACATATTACTTATCTAGAAAATGGTTTTAATATTTACCTTTAATAAAAACTGTTTTTGGGTTTCATCTTTTGTAATTTTATCATTAAACTCTTCCATCAATTGTATGTTCTTTTCAACAGAGTCGTTTACGATTTTTAAGTTTCTTATGACAGAATCCCCTTTCTTAAATGAATCTATCTCGTTCCATGTTTTAGGATGTGATTTTAAAAATTCTGTTGAAATTTTAAATTTTTCAAAAAACTTTATTGATTTATCACCAATAAGCTTAACTAAAATGTTATTATCATCGTCTTCTAAAAACTGTTTCAAAATCTCTTTTTTTAATATTAATATTTTTGGTGGATCATCATCGTTTTGCCAATCTCCGTCTTGAATTACTTGATTCAATATTTTTTTTGTCATCATTATTTTAGTTTTATTGTTTACTCTTTCATCAAATAATGAGAACACAACCGTCTCTTCATTTAAATAATATAAATGATTAATTTTTTTTCGTTAATTCGTTAATTTTTTATCAATTCCAAGCATGGATCCTACTCGACCTTTTTCTCTTTGCCTGAGTAAAAACTGCCTGTCTTCTTCAATATTTATAATATTCAAAGCGTTTTGATGGGCAATATCAAAAAGATCATTTAAAGTACCACAAAACTGTAACTCTCTTTGTTTGAATTTGTCATTTTTTTTGTTTTTGTTTTTTAATAGTTATCGCCAATTATTATAAANTAGAGATCCTCAAAATTTAATTTAGAGATCCTCATATTAAAAAATAAAACTCGTAAACAGTCACCAATTGATGGTAATTTCGATCACCAATTGATGGTAATTTCGAACCAGTTATTTGATGTTTCATACTACCAAGAAGAAAAATTTGTTCACGATTGGGCATTTTTAAGAATATACGTGGATGATATGGTATATGTTAAATATGTAAATAAATGCACTTTTCAAGAAAAAAAAAACACTAATACTATAATACTATATAACAACGCTAATAACTCAATATTCTCGATAGACGTACGTTTACGAACTAATTAAAATGATACTAAGTACTGTATCGATTTTAAGTTGTGTATGATTCAAATATAAAATAAGCCAACTATTATCATTGTTTAGATATATAAAGATTAAATTTAGATTTAAAACTGATTATTAAATTGTTATTTAATATTTATATGAGAAGTTGCTTATCACACATATTAAACGTAAACATTTAAACGTATAAACTAGATATTACCAGGTATTTTTATTACATATTTTATTATTTTTATTAGTAAAGGTGAACTATACAATGAAATGTAAAGATACATTTTTTTTAGAAATTAATTTTAACTACAATAATGATTCTATATAATTTTTTGTCAAATATAATTTTAAGTAGTTATGCGACAAACCGTGACATTNTCAGACACTATTTTTAGATGCATTGGAACAAATCCCCGGCCAGCGCTTTTCAAAATTAACAACTTCAAAAATAAGTGGCACCCTAGTGTATAATATATATAAGTGTGTTTTAATTATTATTGGTGTTGCAAAAAGGGATTTGCTGTTGAAAACTAGGGAATGGAATTTGAATTTGACTTGGGACGCAATCAGGTACACTAAATTTAAAATGATTTAATAATACCTAATAATAATTATAAAAAATTGTGTCACAAAATTATGTATTTAATTGATGTTTTAAAATTTTTTTTATAAAAGTAAACAAACAAAAAATATGTTTTTATTATTATTATAATTTTCAAAGTACAAATTTTAAATAAGTTTATAAAATCTTTATACAAGATACCATTTTATATTTATTGTATAACCCACCTTTTTTTTTTATATACAGATTTGAATATACATGTATATATATATATATATATTTTATTATAAATAAAACAGTTATTAAGTCAGTTAAAACATGTTTAATTATTTATTTTTATTTTTAAATACTATAGATCCATATATTCAATGAAGATTTATAACTTCTAGTGTTGAGTTATTGTTGACTATTACTTGTCTTTTTTTTACTAGTCTTTTTGTGGTATCATTTTCTTTATAGTATTTTGATTTACCTAAGAAAACTTGAATTGTATCAGTTCTATTATTTTTTCTATAATCATCATGTAAGTTAGTAACATTGTTTTGTTTTAGTTGTTAATTTTAATAATTAATGTGTTTATAAATTCATAGTCATCTATGCCATTAAACCATAATGCATTGTATCACGAGTACTTACTGGCATAAAATTGGAACCACTCTTACTTTTTCTGGCCACTTATAACACTAGAAACATACACATGTTAACCTAGTATTATAATAAATATTAAACATGATTAGTTTATAGTATTTACTATTTAATAATAGTTAAACAAATATTTATGTTTCTTTGATTTTTCACATTGTTTTGTGCTGCTTACAGTTAGAATTTGTTGAATTCGACATGAATAAAAATGTAGGTAATGATTAAGGTTCGGATGTTTATGAAATTTCATTTTTTTTTTTTTTTTTTGTTTGTCCAATTCAGTGCTGACTTGGATACAAATTTATTCGTGTTATACTGAATCATAAATACTATTTTTATTTTGTATATTTTCGCATATTTTATGATTTTAGATGCATATTTTGGGATTTTAAGAATATAAATATATAATTCAGTACATTTTCAAACTTTTTTAAAAACAATTTAAATCAATAACGAAATATAAACCAAAAAAGCATAGGCGCAACTAGGGGGTCTATAGTACCCCCAAAAATAAACAATATGTTTTTCTATAGTATTGGCTAAATATTTTATCCATGTATGTCATAATTAATAAACAAAACAAATACAGATTACCCAACTACAGACAATGCATGTGTATAAAAAAATAAAGTTAAAAAAGTTATGCTACATTTTTATACGTAAAAATCAAAAATTAATTGTCTTGTATGCTTATTATGAGTGTCATGTAAAGGGAATAGTGAGGTCATTGCTTACATGAGCCTGTTGTGTGCCTATAATTTTAACACTCTCAAAGTTGGCAGTCTAGTTGCACCTATGCAAAAAAGCATACAATTTGAACAAATCAAATACACTATTGTATTACACTGTAACACTTTTATTGTAAATTAATTTGTAATATTAGAAAAAATAATAAATAAAAATAACTGTTAAAAACATTACAAATACAAATTACATACTTAGGGTAAAATACATTTATTTTTGTATATTTTAGTCTTTTTGTTAACTAAAAATTTATATTTTATGATTTTTAGTGCATAATTTGATTGCATATTTGGTAATTTTTTAGTGGATAAATGCATACATATTGCAGTTATTTTAAGTGCATAAAAAAGTGAACCCCAGTAATGATGAATAATACATTCGATTTGGGCTTGAATATGTAGATAATAAGTTTACATGAGCGTACTCACGAGAAGGTTTATGGGGTTTAAGCCCCCCCCCCCCTCATTGGCTTTTTTTTACAATAAATTAATTTTAAATTTGTAATGAATTGGAAAATTCATTGTCGCATCGTATAGTTTATTTTTACAATTTTACATATATATATATATATATATTTGTTGCACCAAAAAATTATTGATAAATTATTAAAAATTAAAAGTTTAATAAATTTTGCATTATTAATTTTTAAATTCTGATTTTAGAATAATGTATTGTTTTTACAAAGATATTTATTTTTTTTTATGTGAACATTTTCTACCAGAAAGCTTACTTCGATTTCCAAGTATAGCACATTCTGAAAAGAATGGGTTCTCTGGGTTGTACTTTGAAGAGGTAATTTTTTGAAATTTTTATTAATAATTTAAAATAAAGTTGTCATTGGCAACCGTTTTTATTTGGTTTTTATTATTTTACAATTTTTTAACAATCATTGTTGTCGTCATAGAAAGGCGCAAAGGTGGGAAATTGCGTTTTTTGTAAGCAACGATAAACCATTGCTAACAAACAATTGATTCTGAGCTGAATTCACTTGATAGTGTTGCTTTGTCAATAATATATATGTCATATTATGGTAAAATAATTGAAACAATGCGCCTTTCCATAACAACAATTGCTTAAAAAATATTATAATAATAAAAACTTAATAATAACAAAAAACAAATAAAAACGGTTGCTAATGACAACATTATTTTTAATTTTTCAATCTTTTTTCACCTAAAGAACCATTGGGTTTTCCTCATTATCTCAAATATTAATGAGAATTTCAAACAATTTCCTCTCAAAAGCACCACTCGGAGAAAATTTCCTTTCAGGATAGGTGCTATATTTGATAATCGAATTATGCTTTCTGGTGAAAGAGTGTTTGCATAAAAAAAAAAATAAAAAAATAAACATAATTTTAAAATCAATACATTCCTCGAGAGGAATCTATTAAGAATCTAAAATAATATTAAATGCCATAACTAGAGGGGTGTGTGCTGATAGCCCCTTACATATTTTTCTAGAAATCACCCACAACCCCTCTCCAGTAGAAATTCTCGAGAATGCCACTGTTAGCTTGTAAGACATATAAAATGTTACAAATATTTTTGCAAAGAATTTTGCTTATTATGTGTATAATAATATGTTTATTATGTGCAAATATGCAATATTCTACGGGTTAAAAAACTACCGATTGTCCTTCAATTAACACACCGTAAACGTTTAGAAAGTAATAAAATGTAGGTTGGTAGATCCATTAAAAGAAAGTTACTGCAGATACCAGAAAATGGGTAAATAGTTTCAAGGTTGACGTCATGGTTTTCATAACAATACTATTGTTGTTATTTATCATAGTTTTATTGTTCAGTAACTAGTTTATTACAGGAATACAGCTGGAAAATAAGATTGCTCAGTTAGTTATGCAATACATTTTATCAATATTCTACCTTAAAGTCCGTTAAAAATTTTTTAATTACTTATATAAAAAAAAATTATCTCGTTATCTTATCTTATCATAATAAAAATACAATAAAAAAATATAAAATAGTATTAGTAGGCAATAACAATTGTTAAAATAAAATAAATAATTACCTATTTAGTATAAACTATTTACGTTATTTTAATAATTATATAAACATATATTCTAATTCCTTACTTAGCCTAATATTGGCCATGCTCTAATATTATGAACCACTTTAAGCAATTTTTCTTAGAGGAAATCTGGTGTGGTATTTTGGAGAGGTCATTATTTTTTCCCCATTCATTGGCAAGATCGGGAAAAAACTTAGGATAAACAGGAAAATGTATGAAATGTATCGTTTTCAATTGCTTGTTTTGATTCAGTTAAAAATAATTGTAGAGTCTTAACGTTTGAACAGAAAACTTATATTTGCCTTTTCTAGATGTGGTTAAATATTTAAAACGTAGCAACTTTTTAACTATTTACAGACATTTTAATTTTATGGGGTTTTTTTATATAATTTTTGTTCAGTGGATACAATTTTTAGACCTAATAGAAATGCTTGAAAATTTAACAGGAGGAAATTCTTTGTGGTAAAAAAAAAATTAAGTGTATGGTACAATTTTTTTTACAAGAAATTTAATATCAAAGTTTGAGGAATATCTGTTTAGTAAAAAATTGCATAGGCATATAGAATTATTTTACCATAATATGATATATAATTTTGTTGACAAAGCAACACTATTAACTGAACTCCACTCAGAATCTTTAATCGTTACATACAGGTACAATTTCTTATTAACCTTCTCAACTTCTCTCCTTCAACAGTGATCCATCCATCGTGCGAAGTAGTACCGTTGGTATCCAATGGTTTTACTTTGCATTTTTTTTGTGTTTATGTTCAACTTTTATACGGGAAACTTGTTCCGAAGTATAGACCATAGCACCTTTTCTAAAAGGTAATTATTTTTTGTTTGTGCATCGTGATTTTTTGATTTTCCAGAATTTATTGAAATAATTGGGAAAAATCCGAAAGAAAATTTTTAAGTAAAATGACAAATATTTACAGCGCGCCGCGGCCTTAACGTTTTCATTGTTTTTGTTATGTTTACATCATGTTTTCTACTAGCATTATTGCTCCAATTCAATAATGATAAAGATCGATTTTGTTTCTTTTAATATTTTGCAATTGAAAGACAAAGTCATTTTATGATATCTGGAATAGTTTTTCTAATAAATGTAACAAACCAAAAAAAGACGAAAAATACGATTTTTTCAAATTGAGGAACAATAATTTCATTATTTTAAATTTTTACGACTTATGTTTTCTACCATAAATATTGCTTCAATAAATAAATAACAAAACTTTTTTGTCGCATTTTTTTAAAACCGAAAAATATGTAGAAATTGCAAGAAAATTCAGAAAATTATAATATTATTTAAAATTTTGTTGTTTTAATAAAATACAGCTAAAAATATTCGTAGATTTGAAATTTTGACAGAAAACTTATATTTGCTTTTTCTAGACGTTGTAAAATTTTAATTTTTGAACTATTTATTGACATTTTAATTTTGCGAATTTTGTACATAATTAGGTACTTACTCTGTGAACACAATTGTTAGATTAAAGTACTCACATTGGCCTTTTGTAGACATGGTCAAATTTTTAAAACAACAGTATTTTTGATTTGTTATTTTCATGTTTTATATGTATTTTTATTTCGTAGGTATCTGTTATTAAAATAGTGCGACTTAAGAGAAATACTTAACAAATAACCCAACATAAGGTAGGTACATTATAAGTTGTGCATATTGGTCTACAAAACAAATTTGAGATTAATGTATAAATTTCTTTTACATAAATACACGTAGAGACTTGAAACTTGGTAATAATACTTATATTGGACATACCTAGACGTGGTAAAATTTCCAAAATCATCGGAATTTTTTTTTTAATAAGCGTTTTGAATTCAAATTTAAAAAAAAATTTAAAAATAAAAATACGGTACTTCAAATTATGTATTACCGAACTGCCCTCGGAATTGTCTTTCGTCAAACAATGGTTTATCAATGGCTACAGATATAAATGAAATAACCTTATGTATCCTACCTTCCCAATTTTTCACCTACAATAGTGGCCGCTCATATCCTTAGTATCAGCTTTTTTTTCTGGTATTCACTTTATACCTTATAGTTTATACTACATAATATACCACTCATAAGGTCTATGCATCGAAATATTAGATAATCTGTTAAATCTGTATCAATAATTTCAGTATCAAAATAGGGGAGTGTTAGTGGACCGCAGTCCGCGAAGTAAAGAGAGTAGATGTAGTTAGTGGGTGTCAAGTAAATACATAATTTTATCATTGTAACAGCAACAAGCCAGCTTGGAGAAAACAATCTAGTAACAGTGATATCGGTGGGGCTTATACTTAAACTTCGATAACTCTACCACAAAGGTATTTATTTTAATGTAAAGTAAAATAAAATATTTACTTTGTCATGGGGAATGGGATTACTCTACAACCCATAGTTGTCACAAGTGCGTTTCAATTTAAATCTATAATTTGTATGGTCATTAGTCAGGGAAATCAGATATGGGGTTATCATAAGCGTTAACGGTTATCAAGTCGGTAGGTAATACCGCGGACTTGGTACGGTACACAGTTCATAATATTATTGTAACACTAGGTAATAAGTGTACAGTGAAACTGTGAAAGGTAATAATTCGGAATACCACTGTAAGGTACATGTTTTTGTTAGCAGTATAGTTTGCTATTATGCAATTAAATATTATCAATTTACTAATTTATTAGAGTACCTGTCGTATTTATGGTCGGTATCAATAGTTTTTTGACATCGAAACGATGATGTATGTTTAAAAAGAACACTTTTGTGTTTATGCTTACAATACAATGTCATTTACGTTTGGAACAGATATCGAACCATTTCTTGTAAAAAACTTTAACATAGAATCCACAATCGGTAAGTACATATTTGTAAATATTATTTTTACGTTTTAGTTATTAATTTTATGTGTTGCTAATTTAGTGAATAACATAATCATTTTTTTCTACAAACTAGGTTTGTTAACAGTATGCATTGGTTTAATAGCGCTGGCAGTAGTATTCGAGTCTCTAAAGACTGTACACTTTATGATGAAAGTACACAGACGATTGTTATGTTGTAGTCAGCCAAATTGCAAAGAATATGCTAACAAAGATGCATTTACAATAACATTTCGCATGAAATTATTTGAGTGAGTTATCTAAGCAGATATGACTTAGGATTGAAATATTATTAAAAATGTGTTTTATAATATTATGTAGCTGTGTAAGGTCACTGGGAATTTACATGTTTCAAATGTTGGTTGGATATATATTAATGTGTGCAGTAATGACATTCAATGGATTCATATTTGTTGCCACTGTTGGCGGATATGGTTTGGGATATTGGTTATTTGGTTTAACCATGATGCAATTATCAGCAAAAAATTTACTAAAATCTCAAGATGTTCCAATTAAATGTAAAAACTGTACTACAATTGACATAAGTAAGGGTTTTAAATATCATTATAATTTAGTGTATTACAAATGTTTTTTGGTTACAGAAAACGATTCTGTGGAGGACAGTACTAGTACTGATATAAGTTATGATTTGCCTGGTCCAAGTTCTAGGATTCAAGTAGAAATACACCACAGATTATAATTATAAGAAATTAGTATACCTATACTATATTTTTGTTACTAATGTTTTTAAAACTTGTTTTTTGTTTTGTATTTGTTACCATTGAACCAAAGAATTTTTGTATCTGTTTAATTAATAATATGCAACATTTTATACTTTAATAATTCCTTTTAATGGAACTATTAGTATATTAATATAATTTTTAAAATTGACTCTCTAAGAAAAGTTAAAATTATTGATTTATTTTTTGTTACAATTTTTATAGCATAGGTAATGTTACAAAAACAAGACTTGCTCATTGTATTTTTTAAATAGGAACAACTGAATAGTTGAGTGTTCTAATTATATGTTTACTATGTATCCTAAAAATCTATTATTATTTATATCAAATAAAAATAAATATTAATAACTTTTATATTTGTGATATTCATTTATAAGCCTTAATCCATTTCAATTATTGATTTTAAATACAAATCAATAGACTTAATAATATACTTCTGAAGAATCTATTATATCTATTATTTTAGTTTTATCTTATTATAGATTTATTTTATAATATATTTTTAATTGTCGATAAGTTATATTTAATAAATGAATTGTTTTAATTTCCTATTATATTAATTTATGTAAAAATTTATATTGTATAATGGAAAAAATAAATATTTATATATAATACTGGTTTATTAATTTATAATCTATTACCCGTTTGTTATTTTGTAAATGTGATTTGTTAATTTTATATTTTTACACAAATATACTCATATTTTTATAGTATCCTATAATCTTGATAATTTTTTTTTTTTTATGTACCTGGCCAATCTAATTTTTTTAAAAAGTAATTTATAAATTTATATTTTGATAAGAGCTTTAATTAAAATAAGGATTAAAATAAAAATATACTAAGTATTGAAATCCTATAGTAAAAATATTTAATTTTAACAAAAATAAAGTTAAACTAAACAAAAATTTGAACAAGTTATAAATTAATATAATTACTCTGGTTCTATGTAATCTTTCCATTCCTCAGGATTTACATCGTAATCGACCATGATTTTTTCTAGATTCCACCAAGTATTCAAAAATCCAATATCTATTGCTCGTTTGTGTACTGAAAATATTGATGGTTTTAAATATTTACAATTTGCCTTGTATGCTTGGATGTCATCATTAAATTCATCAATCCACATAACTGAAAACAACATTAAATTAAGCCTTTTCACGATGCCCATATTGTAACATTTTTCTAAATATTCCAACTGTTTGACTGTAGACGGATTTCGTACAGTAGGTGGAACATACAACATGGAGTTAGTACAATCAATAAATTCAGATCTGTAACTATATTCGTCGGGGTTTGTCGATGCACAATAATAGGCACAACCTGTAATTACAGTTGCTAACGAGCTTTTGATAGGATTTTCTTTTACATAAGTCCCAATGCCCATTGTCGATTCATAATAATCTTTTGCAACGCTTTCCCAGTATTGCTTCCAACGTTCGACAAACGTACCTCGCAAACGTTCTGGTAATGTGAATCGGCTTAAATTTTGATTTGTATTTACGACGGTACTGTATAATTTTTTCAATAGTCGGAGGTTACTCATGATTTCGAATTAATTATTATTATTTATTAATCATATAGTGAAATATTTGATCGAACATTTATAACAGTTTAACACGAGCAGTTTATATATAATTCATAAAAATTAAAGAATAAATAGCTATTGCAATATATTGTATCGTTACTCTCAGTTATCACAACACAGATTACAGAAATACGGATATGAACATAGATAATATTATCTATGGACTTGTAGCACGGTACAAGGTGGATTTATACACCTTTGCTTGGTAGTGCGGTTATAAGTAGTTGGAACAACTAAATATATACATAAAAGTATATTACTACTACTAAAAATTAAAAGAAATATTATAGTGTCTAAAACAAATTTTTTTAGTAACTAAAAGTACTTTGATTTTTAATTGTTCATTTGTATTTTGTAATTTTTTTAATTTTTAATTTAGTGGTTACGGTTACAAGTTTGCCAACATAAAAAAATGGTAGACAATTTAATAACATTGACAAGCCTAGTATAAGTGTTGACTGTAGTTGTCGAGTATCCATGACCAGCCAATTTTCCGAATAGCGTTATTTTATTTATCTTAATCCGGCAATGAGATACGTGTTTCAATTTTTATTTACCATGTGTGTTACTGTTTTATTAATTCAGTCTTATTAATTCTTTTAATTCGTTCGAACAATTTACCATACCAAAATGGTTAATCCAATCGAAATACCGTTAAAGGACTCTGATGAGGTATGTATTATATGTAAATTTACTAAAATTAATATTAGGTACCGTTGTATATGTATATTTTCTTAGATATTTCGGCACATATTTTAAAATTTGTTGATGTTAATAGTTTTTTTTAATCAAGTTGAACTACTTTTAATGTCGACCCAGTTTTTAATCAATTATGTCTATTGAAAATGAATAATTAGAATAACTATAATACTATACTATAAATAAGTGTAGGTAGATATTAAGGAAAAAACGGATCTAGAACATTATTTTCAAACATTATTCACAGATACTTAGGTAATGGACAATGTACAATGACAATTTAAGAATACAATTTTTATTATTCCTACAATTTTTAAATTTCTAAAATTAAATTAAATTACAAATTATCAAAAATTTAAAAACTTAATAGTAGGCAATAGTTGAATATTGAAAGTATTGAAAATATAAATATGTATTTATTTAATTTACTATATTATTGTATTCTATTGGTAACTTAATGATAACTTAAATTTATAATTGTAAAATAAAATATACAAATTTCATTCTTAAATTTTCAGTGTACATTGTCCATTACCTAAGTTTGACATTAATACAAATAAAATAAAATATTGCTAGAATAGATATTGGTTTTGAATGTAATGATTTCGTACTGAATTAAAACTTAAAACTTTTACTGTACATTGACTAGTTAATTTTTGCCCCAAGGATTTTGTAGTATTTTATTATATGTTTGACTGAATAACAATAGCTGCTTTGTGTTCTACCAGTTTAAAAAAAGTGTAATCAAACTATTATTTTTTTTTTAAATTTATGTATACAATAGAAGTTGACACTTATAACCTATAATCGTCTGAAGAATTTGTTTCTTGATATTTGATTTTATTTATTTATCGTTATTAAAAAAAAATTAAAGGTAAACCATAAATACATTACAAGTTTACCAATACCTAACCAATACTTAGTTGAATTTCTAGGTCTTCTAACATTATAGAATGAGAAATTTGTATTAATTTTTCATTCTATGGCCATCTTAATACTAGGTATTTACTATTATTAAAATTATTTATATCATCCAGTAAATAAATTAATGTAAATAAATACAAAAATAACTATCTATGGCTTATCAAAAATACAAAATTACACTATTTGAAAATAAAATTAAAATTAGTGACTAAAGTTGGAATAATAGCCATAAGCAACTCCACTCTATATTGAAATATAGTGAGTATTTCAATAAAAACCAAATTTATTTATTTTCAGGTTATTGAAATTCAACTTGATAAACTGCCAGAATATGAAGAGGTTCTTGGTATTTTAAAATCAGAACATTCAAATTTACATATATGGGTTAATTTAGCTGTATGTACTATTTTTTAGTATTATATTAAACATAAACATGACTGTAGAATAATTTTTCCTTTCAAATTATTTAGTTGGAATATTACAAAAGAGGTAATCCAGCTGCCTTAGTTAGATTGTTGGAGTCGTCACGCAGTAATGCTAGTTTAGAGTATAAAGATAGTGATAAGGATCAAATGAGGGCTTTAGATATGTTAGCAGCATATTATGTCCAAACAGCTAACCGAGAAAAGAGTAAAGACAAACGCCGGGAACTTTTTACTAAGGCTACACAGTTATATACAACAGCAGATAAAATTATTATGTATGACACAGTAAGTACATGATTCTTTTCAATGTTTTCAATATTTATCTGAACATTTTGTAAATTTGACAGAATCATTTATTGGGCCGAGCTTTCTTCTGCTTATTAGAAGGTGATAAAATTGAACAGGCTGATGCTCAATTCAACTTTGTATTGAATCAATCATCTAATAACATACCAGCTCAATTAGGCAAAGCGTGTATTGCATACAATAGGAAGGACTACAGAGGTGCTCTTGCATATTATAAAAAGGCCCTGCGCTCTAATCCTCAGTGTCCTGCTGATGTTCGACTGGGCATGGCACATTGTTTTTTAAAACTAGGAAACAATGAAAAAGCACGACTAGCATTTGAACGTGCTTTACAGTTGGACTCTAAGTGTGTGGGTGCATTAGTTGGTCTTGCCATTATGAAATTAAATGGTGAAAATCCTGGGGACATTAAACTAGGTGTAAATATGTTATCAAAAGCATACACTATTGATACAACTAATCCAATGGTCTTAAATCATTTGTCCAATCATTTTTTTTTTAAAAAAGATTACACTAAATCTGAGCTACTTGCTAGACATGCATTACAAAACACTGAGAATGAAGCTATGAGGGCTGAAAGTTGTTATCAAATGGCCAGAGCTTTTCATGTGCAGGTAATAGTCTTTTTTTATTACTTTGTATCATAATTTTAATTTTCCTGTTAAAACTTAGGGTAATTATGACCAAGCATTTCAATATTATTATCAAGCTACTCAGTTTGCGCCAGTTACATTTGTACTTCCTCATTATGGTCTTGGTCAAATGTACATTTATGGAGGTGACATGGAAAATGTAATATTCAAAACTTATTTTTTTTAAAAATTAAAATACAATAATATTTACATGGTTTTGTGTTTGGAATTAATTTAGGCAGCCCAATGTTTTGAAAAAGTTCTTAAAGCTCAACCTGGAAATTATGAAGCTATGAAAATCCTTGGATCATTGTATGCAGATTCAAAAAATCAACAAAAACGGGATATTGCAAAAAGTCATTTAAAAAAAGTACTTTATTTGATTATTTTCTAAATTTTATTCATCTTTCTAATACTTATATTTTAGGTGACTGAACATTTCCCTGAAGACGTAGAAGCTTGGGTTGAACTCGCTCAAATTTTGGAACAGTCAGATTTATCAGGGTCATTATCCGCATATGGTAAAGCTATGGATTTGATGGGCAACAGCGAAAATAATTATATTCCACCTGAAATACTTAATAATGTTGCTGCATTAAATTATAGGTACTTATTATTTTAAACATTTTTTTTTTTTTAACAAATTAAATCATTATTTACAATTGAAGACTTGCAAATTTGGATGAATCTCGTTCTAAACTTGAAGATTCTTTGACTTTATCAAAGAAAATGGTTGAAGCTGATCCACAACATTATAATTCTATAGCAGTAACAACGACTTACAATTTGGCTAGAATATTTGAAGCACAGTGTCAATTTCAGAAGGCCGAAATATTTTACAAAGACATCCTCAAGGAGCATCCTAATTACATTGATTGTATACTCCTTTATTGATAAAATTTAATGTTATTAAACTGTTATAACATTGTATTGTATATTACAGGTTATTTGCGTTTGGGTTGTATGGCTAGAGACAGGAACCAGATTTATGAAGCTTCTGACTGGTTTAAAGAAGCTCTGCGTATTGATAATGAACATCCTGATGCCTGGTCATTACTTGGTAATTTACATTTAGCCAAAATGGAATGGGGCCCTGGTCAAAAAAAATTTGAACGTGTATTAAAAGTATGTAATACAATCTTGTTATGCTGGTGCATAGTAATTTTTTTGTATGTTTTTATTAAGAACCCGTCAACGTTAAATGATTCTTATTCGTTAATTGCTCTGGGAAACGTTTGGCTGCAAACTCTTCATCAACCGACTAGAAACAAGGATCAAGAAAAAAGGCACCAAGATTTAGCTTTACAGTTTTTTACAAAAGTCTTAAAAAATGACCCCAGAAATATTTGGGCAGCTAATGGAATTGGTTAGTAACTATAGTGTAATTGTACAGACAATTTTGTTTAAATTATTTATTATGTATATTATACTTGTTATTAATATGTATTATATATTCATATTTCTTTAAATATATTTTTGTCATTTATTTAGGTTGTGTTATGGCTCATAAACATTGCATAAATGAAGCAAGAGATATATTTGCTCAAGTAAGAGAAGCTACTGCTGATTTTTGTGATGTTTGGTTGAATATTGCACATATATATATTGAACAAAAACAGTATATTAGTGCTATTCAAATGGTATGTTTAATCATGGTGTTCTAATTTTTATGTATTGTATATATATGGATTGTTAATTGATGTATAAATAAAATTATATCCTATTTTTTAGTATGAAAATTGCATGAAAAAATTTTTCAAACATGATAGTGTTGAAGTCCTTCAATACCTTGGGCGCGCATATTTTAAAGCAGGCAAATTAAAAGAAGCAAAGACAGTATTTTTAAAAGTGAGTAACAGATAGTTTGTCTAATTTAGATAAAATATAAAAATTCATATCATACAATAATTCAATTTAATATTAGGCCCGCAGGGTTGCTCCTCAAGACACAGTCATCATATACAATATTGCTTTCGTGTTACAAAAATTAGCAGCTCAAATATTGAAAGATGAAAAATCCAATTTAAAAGAAGTACTTCAAGCTGTACATGAACTTGGATTGTCACATAAGTATGACAAGTCAACTAGTTTAATATATATTTTCCATTATTACTACATATATAATATATTTTATAGATATTTTCAATATCTTTCCGTTCATGGTGATCGTATGAGATATGATGTGACTATGGCTGAGTTGGAAGCTAAACAGTGTCAAGATTTATTGTCTCAAGCGCAGTACCATGTGGCACGGGCTCGTAAAATGGATGATGATGAGCGTGAAATGCGGCGTAAACAGGAAGAGGAACGTGAAGCACTTCGAGTTAAACAGATAGAAGAACAGAATAAAGCATTGCAACGACAAGAAGAACAAAGAAAAGAAATGTTGTTGAAACGTCAAGAGTATAGAGAAAAAACCAAAAATGCACTTCTATTTGACCCTATTCTTGAAAAACCCAAAGGTAAAGGGAAACGTCGTGAAAATTATGGGTCAGATTCTGGTGGAAGCATTGCATCTGATCCAGGTGGCAATAGAAGTCCTAGACCTTCAAAATCTAACAAATCAAGAAAAAGGTAAAATATTTATTTTAAAGTTAAAATAATTTTGGAATTTATAATTGATCTACATGTTTGAATTTTTATATTATCTTATAGTAGTCACTAAAACCATATCTTGGTTAGCTGAAAATAATTATTAATATCATTTTTAATATAAAACTAATTTTTCAATGAATTAACAATAGTAATTATAGGTAGGAGGTAGCTGTTGTACATTACTTTAATAGTGTTTCCCAAAATGTATATCAAAATGCAAGACTGAGCAATCATAATTTATTTATAGACTTATATTTTATACCATTCTGGAAAAAGTTATTTGCTAAAAATATTTTGTTCAAGATATATTATAATATTTATTTGCTTTTTTTTTAAACGTTTAATCAAATATTATTGATATGCTTGTTATTATTATAGTTAATAATTATTTTTTAGTTAGTAGCAAATAAAATAGTAAAATATTTTCTTCAATTAACCAGTTATCATTTTCATTTTTTCCTTTTAAGTTCCAGAATAATAAAGCTTATAATATTTTTACAAAATGAAATTTCAACCTTATTCTTCAAATATTATGTATAATCTCAAAATCGACTTTCGTGTACTTGAGTTTTTGCTCTAATAGTATAGATTTTATCTCAATAATTGACCCATTTTTTTGACAATTTTTATGTAAAAGTAATGACTAGGATTATGAAGTGCATTCCACATGTTTTATTTTAGCTAAATCATATAAAAAAATAGATTGGATCAAAATTTGTTTTGTGTTATGTGTAATTGAAATATAAAATTGTATTTTAATTATTCTTTTGATATTTAATGGGTATATAAATGCATGTTTTCATGATTTCTGCGTTTTAACGGTTTTTTCTTGATACATTAAAAACTCTATTAACTGTTTCTATGGGGACCAAAACTATGATTTTGCTTAATATTACCCAATTCAATTATTATTATTGAATTACACCTTTGTGCATATAATATTATAGTTTTTAGATACCTTTAAAAATATTAAAATACTAAAAATTACTATTAAATATTTTAGTAAGTATATTCTTTATAAATTTAATATATATATATATAAATTTTTTTTTGCATATTTTGAGAATTTGAATAGACTATTTTTATGCATATTTTGTTAATTTTTAGTGCATTTGATTCACAACCCATAGTAATAACTATTATTTTTCATAGAATATAGAAATAAAAATATAATTAATAACTATGTTTACATTATTAAAGGTTGGTTTGAGATGAAATTTGAATTTTAGAGAGTTAACAGCTCTTTAAATAGTTAATGAATCTGTTTTAATATGTAAGTTAAAAAAACTGAAAAGGGTAAAAATTGTTCGCTAAATTAAATATTAAATAATATCTTGTTATATAAAAATCATTATTATGTTATATTTTATTTTAATACAGTGGTGGTGATAAAGACAAGAAAAAGAAGGGATCCACCAAAAGACGGAGAGATAGTGTTGTATCAGGTGGATCTGGTAGTGATCGACCAGCATCAAAGAAAGGACGTTCAGTAAGTAATTTTTATTCTTGTGTTAATTAAACTGATTATTAATAATAATATGTTCAATAAATAATGGTCTTTAGTCTACAAGTAATAAGAAGGGACCGATGTTATCATCTAAACAAAAATTGAGAGTTGTATCTAAGGCTACTATATCAACTAGTGAAGATGATAGTAGTGATGGTGAAGTGAAAAAAAGAATTTCTGGGCAGTTAGTATAATATTTTATTGTTATTGTAATATATTATAATTTTTTTTCATAATTAATAATTAAATATTTTTCCAGGAGTTCAAAGAATATTTCACGTTCAAGGTAATTGTGATTTGTTTTTAAGAATGTGATAACTTTTTTTTATGTTATTGAAAAAATACTTAAAATAATAATTTTGTTTTATTTTATTATAATTTTCAGTTCTGGATCGCGTTCTGGATCTGGAAGTCGAAAATCCAGAAGTCTTTCAAGATCTCGGTCTGGTTCACGTATGTCTAGATCTAAATCTAGAAATGTTTCTCACAGCCGTTCAAGATCTAGATCTCATTCAGGTAGCCGTTCTCGTTCTGGAAGTCGTTCTAGGTCAGGAAGTCGTTCTCCTACTCGTAGTCGTTCAAGGTCAGATAGATCGGCTTCGGGTTCCAAATCACGTTCACGATCTCATAGTAAATCTAAGTCAGTATCAAGATCAAAGTCTGGTAGTCGTTCTGCTTCCAATTCACCAGCTCATTCAGGAAGTAGATCTGCATCAAATTCGCCTGCAAGATCCAAATCTGGGAGCAGATCTCCATCAAGATCCAGGTAAATTTGTACTATTTTTAATAATTGTTGAGAAAGTTTCTTTTGAAAAGAACTTTTTTATCTTCAAGTTTTATATTGTAGTTATGTTTATCTACACAGGTTGCAACTCTCACTATGTTGCCTTTTAATATTAAAGGTCATTATTATGTATGAGACATAACTCATGACCATGTGTACAATGTACTAGGTGATCCATATAAGTACACTCATTATCTTGAAAGTGTTAACTTTTTCCAAAATTTTATTTCTAGAACATTTATGAAACAAGCTGCTCTACAATTATATTTATGTTATTTTTTAGGATAAAACTATTACTTAGCTTTGATTTTCAAATGACCTATATTAAAAAGTCCATGAATAGATGGAGTATTAGTTTAAATAAATTTAAGTGTTGAAATTTTGATTTCTGTCAAGCCATTGATGAGATATTTCACTTTTAAATTTGGTTGGAGGAGAGAAGTGTAGAGTATTATTTGTATAGTGATATGGCGCACAGCGTATTAATAATTCCAAAGAAATTCCAAAAAAAGTTAATACTTTCCTAATAATAGATCACCTAGTACTGATGTTTTTCATATACTCCACTGTTTTATTAGTAACCTGATGATGGCGCAAAGCCGAAACTAAGAATTTACTTTATACTTTAATGTCTTAGTTTGTATCTTAAAAGGTTTAAAACATAAACGAAAATATATTGTTTAATAAATTAAAATTATTATGGTTAAGTATCTATCAGTGCAGATAGTCATGATTTTAAGTTATAAATTGACTTTCTTAATTATATTTATTACAAAACTACTATAAAAATTGAAAGATATTAGGCCTTTTGTGATTGTGATTATTTTTATATTAATTAGTTTCAAGCTAATATCATGTATATTACTAATCTTTATATCATGAGATACTGCAGGTTTTTTGTTGGTTTAATTTAAAAATTAAAATGGAACAAATCTATTTAATTTTTTCTTACAATTTATTAAAATAAATGTTATATAAGGTTGTTTTGAGTTTAACTTCATCTTTGTTGCTAAATCTTCAAAATTCATTAGTCCAGAATCATAAATGACTTTTTATGATCGTGGTTTGAGGGTAATATTTGGTTCTTTTCCCTTCAATTTTGTAATGAAAGAATTCACCATCTCTAATGTTTCACCTAATTTCCCACCTTCACTTAGTTATAAATCATGTGTGTATTTTCTAAAATTTAATGTTATTGATAATATTAGGATGTATTAATTTTAATATTTTCTTTTATTTGACATAGATATATTTAAATATTTATTATATTAAATTATAATAATTTGCTAGTATTATAAACTATAATACTTTAATTGGTTTTTAAATTAGTAATATTGTTATTATGGTTATTTTCAGAAGCGGTTCGGGTTCTAGATCAGGTTCAGCTTCACCAGCCACATAATTCAACTAAGTACAAAACTATTTTACATTACAGATTGTTTGAATTTTTTCCAGTTTCTATTGAAATTTTTTAACATCTTTTAGCTACATAATTAAAGTTTAGTTAATTTAGGTAAAACTTGATAGAAGTTTTATACAATTTATATTTTTCACTGTTTTTAAAACTATATTGAACTTGGTTTTATTTAACATAATTATTGTATATATATTTTTTTTTTCAATTTTATATTTTATTTGATGTATATTGATGTGAGAATTTGTTTTAAAAATAAAATGTTGTTATAAATTTCAATTATAACAAAAATATAGCATCAATTTTTAGACTTGTATCTATCACACTAACAGGTATAAAACTTATTCTTGTTTATGGTGTTTATTTAAATAAAAGGAAAATGATTTATATTAATATAAATAATATGAATAATATATTAAAGTATTATATTATAGTTATATTTAATCTATGTAACATTTTAAATTTTACACATAGACATAGGATGTCTGTTTTATAAAATATATTCAACATCATTTTTGGTTGAAACTTTCGGAATGGATAATTTTTATCATGATTGATTTGCTTAACAATATACTATATGTTATTTTCTGGTTCTATAATATAAAATAGGTACCAATATAACAAATACAAACAGTATCAAGGATATTGTGACTATTACATATTGTGAGTTGTAGGAATACATTCTCTTTCCTTATTACTGTCAATATATTGGTATAATGAAAATATAAAATATTTAAATAGTTTGTAACTCAAGTTACTAATAGGTATAACCATTGAATTAATAAAAAGATGAACATACTTCGTACAATGTGTGAGCTACTATTTACTGAGAAGTTGGGAAGATAGGATATAGATGGGAATTTAATTTATACCTGTGTGCAACGATTAACCATTGATAACGAAAAACAATTCTGAGTGAAGCTCGGTCAATAGTAATACTTTTTCAACAATATGTCATATTGTAATGATATACAGTGGTCGCTGCTTATGGTGTTCACTGGTTATAAGAATCGGTCATTTATAGTGATCAGAAATGTCAGGAGTGGAACAAACAACCATTATCAGTACATTTGTCACCACTTACTGTGTTCAGATTTTCAATTATAGTGACCAGAAATAGAAATTATACAATAATACATAAAAGGAGGAAAACCTTGATGATTATTAGTTTATGAATCTATCTAATCTAATGAAACCCTAATGTGCAATGATTAATGTTTGAAACAAGTACCAGTTATTAGGAGTGAAGTACTCAACGCAATTAATACTCACTGAGATGAGCTGTAGAAGAGCATAACATAGGTCCAAACTACTTTACTATGTTGAACAACTTAGATATAATTATAAATAATGGTCTCTATACTCTATACCAAAAAAATAGGTGCACATCACCGACTTTTAAAAAAACCTATAACTTATGTATGTGTTTATATATAATGTATATAGGTAATACTTATTAGGTTTATAAAATTACTTTTCATTAATAAACCATTATTTTTTTGAAGTTGCCACTTATAATGATTTCCAGTTATAGTGATCAAAATACTTTAGGACGAATGTGATCATTATAAGTGGCGACCACTGTAATAGTATTATAAATTTATACTATTCAAAAGTCATACATCATAGGTACATAATTTTTTTAGTAAAACGAAAAATCAAAATTCAATACTAAAATTCTTATAAAAATAATAGAGTACCTATTAAATACAAATTACGTAAAAATTAGAATGTCTATAAATGGCTCAAATGTTTTGAAAAGTTTACCATTTCTAGAAAAGACAAATGTTAGTTTTCTTTCCAAATTTCAAGTACAAATATTTTTATCGTATATTTTCCAGTTCTTTCCACGTTTATTCCTTAATTATTATGAAAACTACTTGGAAAATCAGAAAATTACTTTCTTCGTGAATAACTAGATTCAAAATGTGACAAACAAAGTTTTGTCATTTTACAATTGAAGAACTTTTTTTAAACAGAAACCATAAGTGACAAAAAGTTAATAAAATCATGAAATCGTTAAGCTGTAAATATTTGTCCGTATATCTCTGTTCTCGGTTTCTCCAAATTATTATAAAAATTACTTAGGAAATCAAAAAATTAACTCCCTAAAGTACTAAGTAAATAAAATTTTCTTTCAGAAAACTTGATGAGCTTGATACAAATAAGGAACAAGATTCCTGATAGAAATTTTGTACACAGTATAAAAAAAATATAACAATAATCATCATTGTAAATCCAACACATTCTTCCCTTCACTTAGAACCTAAAATAGTAGTAAGTATAATCAATAGTATTATCTACATTATTTTTAACTTGTACAGTTGTACAATACTAAATTTGATTTACCAACCAACAGTATAAAAATTATGAGAATTTATTATCATACCAAAATGAAAATAATACCTATACTTAAGTTGTTTATCTAGCAATTTTGCATAAGTATTAGGTACTTGGTTCATCGGTATTAAACAAAGTTTACAAGTTTACAGTTTAGTTTTCAGAGTTTTCATACTGTTGTAATATTTGGTGTATAGCTTCCCCTTTGAATTTTCGTTCATACCAATTTCAAAAAATATAATACATCCTTAAAAGTGAAAAAAAATACCTATTGAATAAGACAATTATAATAATAATGGTGATAAATAAAATAATATAACAATACAATTTTCTATCAACAAAAGCGTTCATAGTAATTCTTTTATTTCAAAATACGGAATCCCCACTATGTACAATTCTTGATTCGATTATATTTATTATGTTTGTCTATTGCCTGTTAAAAAAGAATTGAAAATTGGTTGGCCAATATGTTAGAGATTAATTTGAATAAGTCTAGGTATTTATATTTTCGTTTGTCAAATGAAACATTTAATTATACAAAACCTCTAGGAATTCATAGGTTGGTTGTTTAGTCAGATAAATGTTTATAGTTTATGTATAGGCATTTAAAATGTTGACTTAATTAATTATTAGTGTTATGATTGATGAAAAATAGTTCAATCATGAACAGTACCTATATAATTTGTTACTTTTTTTATGTTTTTAAAAACTTAAGACATATTCTGAGGGGTATTTTTCGATTGCAGAGTTGATAATTAATTATGGTTTTCGACATTTGGGGCTGTATACAATGATCATCTGATGAACTTATAGATTACATTGCAATTGTTAATAAAAATAATTTATGTAACCTTAGGTTATATTTTAAAATTAACTTCTTTAATGATTTTAATGCATTGAATAAAAGTCCTTTATAAAAAAGTAATCTTAAATTAGTTTGTATTAATGTGACGATTTTCAGTCATAACATATTTATAATATTTGTTTAAAAACTAAGTAATTTGAATTATAAAAGAGTAAACAAAAATGTTGGTAAATTGAATATCCTTAATGTGGGAATAAATTTATCAAGGAAATTAAATATTGATGTCACTAGATTTAAAACTAAATCAATGTTTGTACATTTTTATCTAAGTACCTTAGGTTTAAATAATGCTAATTTTAAGTATCTACCTAATTTCTATTTTGAGCCTTTTTATGTAATATTTTTTTTTGAACTCGTTCTTCTCAAGCACAAGTCTTGGTTTTTTTTTTTGGATGGGTGTGATTACTCTATGTTAAAAAAATAATGAATTTGAATTATTTTCTATCAATGTGTAATTTTTGTTAAAACTGTTTTAATGACTTAATATATTACATTCTACTTTGGTTAGAAATATATCAATTAATTGACTAGACACACTAGACAAATTTTTTATGGTACGACCCATTTTGGAAATAATTTAAATTTTGGCAACCCACAATAATATCAATGACTGTCTTTTTTTGTTTATTTTTTATTTCTGGATGATTTATGAGGTTTGTTAGTTCACATACCATCATTTGGAAGTATAGATCCAATTCGCAGGTAAAAAATTTGTTCACAGGAAAAAAAAAAAGCCCGTAATATTTTTAAATGAATGTCCACATTTCGTACATTTTCCCGTTTTTTGGTAGTTTTTACAATATATTAAGAAAACGCTTGTGAAAATCAAAAAATGACCTTTCCAAAGTAAGTACCTCTCCAGTTCCGACTCCCTTTTAGAAAAAAAAGTTGTTCAGAGATAGAAAACAAAAATAAACATTATTGTAAAACCAATGCATTCATCACTCCCCTCAGTATCTAAAAAATGTATGATTTAAAAATATAACGGGACCCTCTAAAAATATGATTGTGACCCATACTTTGGGAACCTCTAGACTAGACTATAACAAACATAGATGTTTGTTGAGCTATAATATACCTAACTTATACCAGTATCTGCAAATAATGTTCTTATATTAAAGTTAAATTTGCGGTTTGTTTTATAATACTTGTATATCATTGATCCAGTGGAAGACTCATTTAAAATGTCTCCAATTTTTATATCAATGATGGCTGCTAAAAATTTTGCTGGAATAATTATTTGTTTGAAGTTTGTGGAAGTAGTGTTGTTGAAGGAGATTCATTTAGTGTTTTTTGCCATTTTTCTAAATGATGAGAGAATAATATTTAAATTAATTTCCATAGTCTTTTTTTTATGACTACTAACTCTAATATCTCATATTAATTAATTTCTTAAATACATTTTTAAAAAAAAAAAAATTCACTTTTGTAAAAGATCTCAATGAAATCTATTTTATTTTAGTTATTAGAAGCATATGCAACAAGAGAAAGATTATACTGTTTATATTATCAGAATATTCCTAAGCTCTATATGCAGTGTTTCTGTTTTAATATTATGATCTGAATAGTCATGGATTGTAACAGTAGATTTAACAAATTTGTATTGGAATTGAAGAGCTCAATGCAACAGAGCAAACAAGACTTAATAGTTTGGAGTAGGTACCTAATGCAATAAATGGTTACCTACATAATTTGGTATAACAAGAATGCAAGTCCGTCTACAGAGAAAATAATTACATGCCTTGTAAGTACAATTCAATTTCTTTGCTAATCTTAGTGTACTTACCTAATATTTTGTCAGAAAGGTGTAGTACATGTATACATTTTAATTTCTTTGTGTTTCCCTTTGAAACAGAAGCATCAATAATGTTTAAAACAGACAATTTAAACTTTACTGATAATTGTAGGATAATTGGTTAACAAGTAGTGTTGGGTTTTAATGTATATATCATTAAAGAACCTTATGTATAATGTACATAGAGTGATGATTTATTAGTTATAGTGCAAGATATTCAATTTTGATTTCAATAAAATGATATGAGAGAAATATATTGTCTTATGTACCGGGAAAGAAAAAATTTGTAAAGTTTAACAGTGTGTGTTCTGGTGCTGTTGATAATTTGTTTGGTGTGTGCAAAGTAGACATATGTAGTCTCTGGTAGGTACTTATTTGACTTATTCATAAATGGTATCAGACCTATATTACAGCATTGTAATTTTTTCATCTTTGTTGATTATATAAATTTATTCATTCTTATTGATTACATACGTGACAGTAAAATGTTCCAAAGCAATCTTAATTGTGTGGTAATTTGATTAAGAAATGGTTTAGAACTTTGTATCCCTAAATATAATATGTCGTACCTACGTGTTATCTTAGTTTTGTTTGTTATTGCTATTTGGTTGATGATATTAGTTTACATTTTTTTGGTACTTAGTAGGTGCTAAGTAATATTGTAGACCTTGTCATTAGGTTTGATCACTTGTTTAAGTTTAATGCCCATCTTGAATGATTAACATGCATGGACGCTGACTATTGGAGTGTTGTGGTACTCGAGTATCCCATGGTTCATTTCATGGGGTGTTGAAAAATGAAGAAATATATATCTATTGTACAACTTTTTATTTTAAACTAGTTTTAATTATTATTAGATTCTGTATGGACAAAAATAATTCTATTTCTTATTTATTTAAACACAATAATTATATAGTATTATTTAATTATTTTATATAGAATAAAATAAATATACAATTTTCTAATAATATACAAATACTTCAAATACAATATTATAAATATGGATTATGTTCGGACGCTTAGATATTCTGGATCTACGCAAAAACAAAAATCCAGCGTTTAGGTAAAAACATTTTGGCAGTTCGTTTATTTCCTCTCCACGGGCCGCCTATCATCTACCCCTGGACTAATGCTTTGTTGTTTATTTTTTTTTATATTGATTACAAGTTAAATAATTTTAGGATTTTAGGCGCCCCATGAAAATTGTAGAACCTGGTTACATTTAAGGATTAGAAAACATTTGGTTTTATGAAAAGAACATAGGTATTTGAAATTTAAAATGTATACCTACCTAGTTTTCTGAACGTATTGTACACACAAACTGTGCATTTGTTCACTCCTATTTGAAATATTGTATAGTGGTTTTTTTTTTTAAAAAATATTGTTATTTTTGTGTAAGCGTTTAAAACAGAGCTGAAAGTTTAAACTATAATGAAAATCATCATCAAAATTACGACGTTTAATCGAACTTCGTTCAGAGTCGTTTTTGCGTTATCAACACGGTAATAGTAGGTACCTACCTATTACTAGTTATAGATATAAATTAAATTACCTTGTACCTATATTATATTTTGCCTTCACAACTTCCATGTTTCGGCGGTGGCACACCCGTGGTGCGAAGTAGGTAACTATTTAATTTTATTCGGAAAATTAGAAAAAAAAATGAAAAATAATAATAATAATACAAAATGTAAAACGCGAAACGAAACAACAGCGCTGCTGCGTTGGCGGTCATGCGATCGCGTCGTAAACACCGGGCACGAAAAAAGGAAACGCTTGTCACGTGACCTGCGGGGAAACCGCCGATTTTCCCGCTACCAATATCGGCAGTCAGTTTTCCCGTCCGCCTTAACCGTGTAGCACGCGCGCCGCGTCGCGTTCACCGCACACACTCGTCGTGGTCCGGTCGACCGCCGTAAACGGTCATCATCCATAATACTATCCGTCCGCGGAATTACGATTTTCGAGTAAAAATAATCAAAAATTTGCAGGAAAAAAAAATCGTCTTATCATTTGCGACCGACATTATTTCACCGCCCGCGAATAATGTGACTGTTGTTAGTGTTATTATTATCCACTATCGCGCGACAATGACGGCGTTATTTTCGTAACGGCCGCTTCGGTATCAATCTATATATATATATAATATATTCGCCGGTAAAAACAATAATAATATAAATATATATATATATATAAAAAAAAAAAAAAAAAACAAAACAAAAAATATTACACAGAATTCTGTCAGATCTTGGGGTTTCGGTCGCGTTTAACCCCCATGAATTGCGTGTATTGTGCAGTCTCGTGCGCTAAATTGTTTGGCCTACGGGGTAGATACTATCGCGTACTACGACGGTCAATTTGTGACGGCGGTGGCCGTGGTGGCCATGCAAAGGTAATGGCAACAATATTATTATTATAAACATTTGACCGATTGTCTTCGGTCGGTGTACTAATTATCTACTTAACATTGGAAGAGTGGTAAAAATATAACAGGTTAATAATTACTAACCCGGCTCGTGGTTGTTACACAAATAAAAGTGTTATTATTTTCAAATAACGAATTAGGTATGCAGTGCATACATACATTACGGTTAATGTCGTTATATTTGTAAAAACCGATTTTGTGCCGTTAGTTTTAATATTATTAAAGTATTAGCTTACCATCGAACCTAAAGGTTAGGTTAAGTTAGGTTAAGTTAAGAACATTGTCTATTTTTTCTGTGCGTTGGTTTTTTTCACGATATTTAAATCTTCAACCTAGTTACGAATACGTGGAATATTACAATTTGAAAATCATCGAATCTGGCTCAAAAATTACAATTTCGAAAAAAAATCAACGTACAAACACAGACAATTTTCTAAACTTAGGTTTGATTGTACACCAATAGAAAAATTAACAGTGCAAAATTGATTTGAGTATATAATATACTTAACGACATTAACCGATTTTATAACATTAACCGCATATTTATCATTTTGGCGCTCAGTTTTCTCAAAGTTTCCTTTAACTCAAATCACAAAAAAAATTTTAAGCAAGAAAGTTTAATTTTTCTTGCTGTTAAAAGTGTTGCCCCCCCAAAATGTATATTTTTTCCCTTTATTGCGTTTAATACTTATGCTTTCGCTAGTTTAGAAAACACTTTTATTTTACCACTCTATTTATTCCTAATAAAAAAGGGGTCAATCTTTATAAGTACATACATTTATTATAATTTTAGATTTTAGCCTATTTTTCTCAATTTTATCTATGACAATGTAACAGAATACATTATATATATATTTACAGAAATTTAAAAGATATAATAAGGAAAGAAGAAATTAACAATATTAGTAAATAACAATTATATTTTACAATGAGCTGTTTTTTTTCTGTAGAGTAAATTCTTCAATAAAATCTATATATTTTAGAGAATTGGTGATTTATGATTCAATACTCAGTATAGCCAATGAATTAAGTTTATTGTCATTCTTAGTTGATCTTAAGTATTTTTTTATTATTTTTAGTGTACCAAAGGATTATTCTGCAGAACAATTTGATACTGGACAGCATAAATACATACATAATCTTATTTCAATGTACGGATACAATCTAGAGATTTTAGTATTTTCAACTAATTTATTTAAATCTAAAATTGTTATCACAAATTATTCTCTTGTAACCCAAATAAATGACCATAAAAATGTATATATTCATTAGGGAACGATGAATCAAGGATACCTTGGATATTCTTGTTACAATTGTATAGTTTTTTCTCTTACCTTGGATAGTTGCAATTTAGTTAGATTAAATAAAAAATCAAATTTTCTATTAACTGTATCATAAACATTCTTTCTTTTGTTTAGATCTGTAAATAATGAGTCGAATATAACTGTAAAAGTGTTTATTCTAAATGAAACACTTTGTTGTAATGTTGGATTATCATGATTTGATTCTCTATAAGACATTTTTTTTTCTGTTCAATTTTTAACTCTTCGATACCAGATTTTTCTTTACCTAATTTTTCATAGTATGAAAAACTATTCCATAAGTCTCTAATATAATGAATTAATGATTTGTGCAAAGACACAATTGTTGTTAAATCAATTTGAGTACTGTAGTTTTTTACTAATATAGTTGAATTTTTCCAATGTATCATTCCAAAAAATTGTTAGTATACCCATTTCTAAACTATTCAGATTTTTCAACAGACCTTTGACTTAACATTTGTTTTTTTTTCTGTTGAACTGTTTATAATAATATTTAAAGCTTTTATAATTTTATTCCAATTACGAGAAAGACTTAAATAAGCATCATGATGTGCAGCCCACTGAGTTTAACAGGAAACAAAAAAAATGCATTTGCAAGTGTACAGCTACATATTCACCAACTAAGTTTAATGAATGTGCAGCACAAGGTATGTAAACTTCATGGATATAAATTTCTTGTATTCTTGCCTGAAACCCTGAGTACATTTCTGACATATAGGATGCATTGTTGTATGACTGACCATTGCAGTTTTTAATATTAAGTTCATTTGCTCCTAATACTATACAAATTACATTAGCCATGTCTTCAGTTTTGTGTCCTGCATTTGCAAAAAACTATTCAATTTTTTAACAGGTTCACCGTTCTTTTTTACATGTCTGAATTTTAATGAAAATTGATTGGTATGATAGTGTCAGGTGATAAATCTATTACCATACAGAAATATTTTGCATCTTTAATTTCATTTAATATAGTTTCTTTTACTTTTTCAGTCATGGCGCTTACACATTTTTCAAAAGTTCCAAAAAATAAGATGCTCCCTTTTCCTTTATTAGCATATTGTGCTAATATGGTTGGAAAGAAATGGATCAAATTCAGCTATGAGCTCTAAATTCATTATAAAATTGTTACGAGCAGTAGATCTAAATTTATTATCATGTTCTCTTAATGGAAGTCTTTTGGAATTCAAAGATTTTATAACAGCTGCTACTCTTGTTATTAATTTTTTCTTTTTTTTTACTTTTGTCAAAACAAAAATTGAGATTATCACACTTTAATATTCTTTAGTAGCATGATTTAACCGTGGTTAGTAGTATTTTCAAAATACTATTTTGAATATAAAATATATTATGGTATAAAATACATGGTTAGGACCAAGTTTTGACAGAATAGTAACCAGGGAATAGATGACATGACTTCATACCATGGGATCTGTTTATTCGCATCCGATTAGAGCACCAGAATATTTTTTTTTAAACTTAAAATGTGAGAAAATTAAAAAATATAAAGCATTAAGGTTCAAGAAATTAATGACAAAATAAAAAAAAGCTTTATTACAAATGTTATAACTTGCGTAAAAAAAAAAAAAACATGTATGAGTATCCAAATACATATTTGGATTCTGGATGTTCTTGTGATTACAAAATCATTTTAGTTTTTTAATTTTTTCAATTTTGAAAACAAGCAATTATGAGCACCTAATTTTGATTTCTGGATTACTGTGCTCCCCTTTAAGGGAATCAGAATTTGGAGCCTAATCTAACCTAAACTTCATGGTAATTTATCTAGGTTTATTAAACCATAATACCATTATATTATTAATGTATTATAATAGTGTGCCTAATATTTATAACCAATGGCATAGTAATACTATGATAAATTAATATAAATAAAACACATAAATTGAATCTAATTAATCTTTAAACATAAATTCTAAGTTTCGTTTGTTTTTAGAAAATAAAATTTTGCTATAACTCAATTTGTAAAATTGTGGTCTTGAACTTTATTTATGTGTATGCTTAACATAAATAATCCTAAAAAGGCGCGGATACAAAGGGGCATGCGAAAAATGTCCCCTCAAATCTCAAAAAAAAGAGGCTGGTGAAAATTATTTTATAATAAGTATAAGTATACATATATAGTAAATATACTAAGTATTATTGTAAGTACATATATTTAAATTTATCTTCAATAGTATCAAAACTTGCATAATATACTTTTTTGAAAGAAAATCTGACTGGGGGGGGGAGGGTTACTTTGGAGAGGTCATTTTTCGATTGTCCCAAGAGTTTTCCGATCAAATGTGAAAAACGGGGAAAAAAACACGGGAAAACCGCAGGAAAAATGGAAAAATCGGTATAATATTAAACAAATATTATCAAAGAAAATATATAATGCCTATTTAATTATTTTACCATAATGTGACATATATATACAGTTGCATGCAAAAGTGTTCGGCCAAATATAATTAGCGAAAGTTACACTTTCGCTGTATATATTAAATAAAGTAAATAAATATATATATACAAAAAAAAATGTATATATAAAAATAAAATAAATAAATGAATCTATGTTTCGCCTGGAGTATTATGATAAGTGTATTATACGACCGGTGTACCTGCCGAATTTGACGTCCAATGTGACTGCAATGTGTTAAATTAGCTCGACGTCATATTCGCCTGTTATAGCCCAGGCAAATGTGACGTCGGGCAAATCTTACTTCACGGCGATTGAAATAATTTTTATTTATATGTATGTTTTAAATAATTTATATCCAATTTATTTTATATTTTCTTACTTATTGATTATTCCATTTTTATTATTTATTGGAATACTGAATATTTTGTATTACTGAAAATTAGTATCTACGATTATTGATTAATGAAAACCACTACGAATATAAATTATTTACATTAATATTATTATATATATAGCTATTAATTACAGTATAATAAATTAATTCACTCCAATTACCTACCATAGTTTTAATTGATAGCATAATTCAATATTATAATATACAGGGTGTCAATCAGTGTTATCTATATGCTAATAACTCTGTCCATATCAATTGGTTTTTTTTTATTTTTTTAAGGGATCACAATCGCAACACGGCCATTTCTTATTCCAACGGTGGTTTATAATAATTGTTTTCATACTTTCACACCTATTTTCTAGAAATTAAAACGGCTATTACTAAGAAACTATTGATTGGATATGAATGTATGATAAATTACAATTGTATTGAATAATATATTTTACGAAATGGTTCAAAATGGTACTTTTACAAAATAACTTAATCAATATTTTTAGGAAATAAAATAAAATACAGATATTTCTAAGATTTAAGGGCAAATATTTATTGAAAAAACCATGTTGGTAGATTATTATCATAGGA